CTCCCAGTTTAGTGTCATCTGCAAACTTGCTGAGGGTGCAATCCACACCATCCTCCAGATCATTAATGAAGCTATTGAACAAAACCGGCCCCAGGACCGACCCTTGGGGCACTCCGCTTGATACCGGCTGCCAACTAGACATGGAGCCATTGATCACTTACCCGTTGGGCCCGATGATCTAGCTAGCTTTCTATCCACTTATAGTCCATTCATCCAGCCCATACTTCTTTAACTTGCTGGCAAGAATACTGTGGGAGACCGTATCAAAAGCTTTGCTAAAGTCCAGGAACAACATGTCCACTGCTTTCCCCTCATCCACAGAGCCAGTTATCTCATCATAAAAGGCAATTAGATTAGGCAGACGTGACTTGCCCTTGCTGACTGTTCCTGATCACTTTCCTCTCCTCTAAATGCTTCAGAATTGATTCCTTGAGGACCTGCTCCATGATTTTTCCAGGGACTGAGGTGATGCTGACTGGCCTGTAGTTCCCAGGGTCCTCCTTCTTTCCTTTTTTAAAGATGGGCACTACATTAGCCTTTTTCCAGTCGTCCGGGACCTCCCCCGATCACCATGAGATTTCAAAGATAATGGCCAATGGCTCTGCAATCACATCCGCCAACTCCTTTAGCACTCTCGGATGCAGCGCATCCGGCCTCGTGGACTTGTGCTCGTCCAGCTTTTCTAAATAGTCCCAAACCACTCCTTTCTCCACAGAGGGCTGGTCACCTCCCTCCCCATGCTGTGCTGCCCAGTGCAGTAGTCTGGGAGCTGACCTTGTTCGTGAAGACAGAGGCAAAAAAAGCATTGAGTACATTAGCTTTTTCCACATCCTCTGTCACTAGGTTGCCTCCCTCATTCAGTAAGGGGCCCACACTTCCCTTGAATTTCTTCTTGTTGCTAACGTGCCGGAAGAAACCCTTCTTGTTACTCTTAACATCTCTTGCTAGCTGCAACTCCAAGTGTGGTTTGGCCTTCCTGATTTCACTCCTGCATACCCGAGCAATATTTTTATACTCTTCCCTGGTCATTTGTCCAATCTTCCACTTCTTGTAAGGTTCTTTCGTGTTTAAGATCAGCAAGGATTTCACTGTTAAGCCAAGCTGGTCGCCTGCCATATTTACTATTCTTTCTACACTTTGGGATGGTTTGTCCCTGTAACCTCAATAAGGATTCTTTAAAATACAGCCAGCTCTCCTGGACTCCTTTCCCCCTCATGTTATTCTCCCAGGGGATCCTGCCCATCAGTTCCCTGAGGGAGTCAAAGTCTGCTTTTCTGAAGTCCAGGATTCTGCTGCTCTCCTTTCTTCCCTGTGTCAGGATCCTGAACTTGACCATCTCATGGTCACTGCCTCCCAGGTTCCCATCCACTTTTGCTTCCCCCACTAATTCTTCCCGGTTTGTGAGCAGCAGGTCAAGAAGAGCTCCGCCCTTAGTTGGTTCCTCCAGCACTTGCACCAGGAAATTGTCCCCTACCCTTTCCAAAAACTTCCTGGATTGTCTGTGCACCGCTGTATTGCTCTCCCAGCAGGTATCGGGGTGATTGAAGTCTCCCATGAGAACCAGGGCTTGCGATCTAGTAACTTTTGTTAGTTGCCGGAAGAAAGCCTCATCCCATCTTGCCCCTAGGTCTTGGCCAGAATGTTAAATTGCGACTCCCTTGGTTAGAGCTATGCTGCATGGGGGCATGGGGAGGTGGAGGGGACAGGGAGACCTGGCCGTGGTTATGCCGAACGTTAGTGAAGGGCTCTGGCATGGCTCTGAGCCATGGCTGCTGTGGGGGAGATGGGGCAAAAGGCATGCATAGCACCATTGCAGCGAGGGGTAGCTGGATGGGAAGTCCGATGAAGGTAATGGAAAGGCTTCCACTGACTTCACCAGGCTGTGGCTTGGGCTTGGGCCTGGGCCTAGGCCTGCAGAGGCCAGAACTGGGAATGCTGCTTGTAGGCTAAGTGACTTGCTAGCATGCTTACCGCCCCTGTCCTGCTGGTGCCCCCCATGACACCCCACGGAGCCACCCCTAGGACCTTCACACTGTCCAGACCTTTGCCTAGCCAGCCAAACCAAGGTGCCTGAATGGGTGCCATGGGAGAAGTGAGGAGGAACTCCCTGCACCCCCCTCCCTGCTCTAGGGCTCCCTGTACTGTGGGGCTTTCACCCAGACCAGGGGCAGTCTCCTGAGGCACCCAGGCCCCTGTACCGATAGGTCACTCACAAGGTGGCCTTGCTTGCTGCCCTCGACAAAGCCTCCCTGCTTCCAAATGTCCTCAGCCGTCTGTCTCGCTGGGCCACCCCCCTTTCCCCTGTAGGCTTGGAGGAGCAAGTCTGACATCTCCTCGTTTGGTAAAGCCTGGCACCAAGCCCTGTGGTTCCAGGCTCCACATGGTGGCTGGATCATCGGCCTGGACTTGGCTGAGAATCTGATACCTGTCCGGTGAGGGGAAAGACAGCAGCTGAAGGCACCTGCCCGTGTCGGGAGAGACTCTTGCTCTCCAGTGCAGTGGCCTGTGTAAGCTAAATGCCATGCAGCGTAGTTAGTGTGGTGCACATCTCTCCCCTGGTCTATGGCCTGGCAGTAACCGGAGCCTGGGAGTTGTCCTTTATCTCCCTTTCCCCAGCACTGTGCCCAAAGCTCACCAGATCCGGCTTCTTTCATGGGACATCTGGTGGGTCCCTCTTTACCACCAAAGCCCAGGGTATTTAGTTTAGTTGTTGTGATGAGTGTCCGGTAACCAAATTTCAACTTTCAATAGCTCCAGTAAAAGTCAGTCCTGCAGCTGCCCCCGAAGTCAGATGGGCCATTGTTGAGCACTACTGACATTCATAGAACTATCCAGTTACCACAGCTCTGAACCCACTGATTCTGGGTCAGCGATCCGGTGCAGTTGTGGGAGAGGCTGTGCCACGGGGGACAGGGATGCGTATATGAGGAAAAAATCTTGATAGGTTTCAAATACTGGAACTGGGAAAGGTTCAGAAAAGGGCAACAAAAATGATGAGGGCTATGGAACAGCTTCCGTATTAGAAGAGATTAATAAGACTGGGACTTTTCAGCTTGGAAAAGAGCCGACTAAGAGGGGATATGATAGAGGTCTATAAAATCATGACTGGTGTGGAGAAAGTAAATAAGGAAGTGTTCTTTACTCCTTCTCATAACACACGAACTAGAGGTCACCCAATGAAATTAATCGGCAGCAGGTTTAAAACAAACAAAAGGAAGTATTTCTTCATACAATGCAGTCAGCGTATGGAACTTGTTGCCAGAATGTGAAAGCCAAGACTATAACAGAAAAAAAAAAAGAAACTAAAAAAAAGAACTAAAGTTCCTGGAGGATAGGTCCATTGATGGCTATTAGCCAGGCTGGGCAGGGATGGTGTCCCTAACCTCTGTTTGCCAGAACCTGGGAATGGGCGACAGGGGATGGATCCCTTGGTGATGACCTGTTCTGTTCATTGCCTCTGGGGCACCTGGCATTGGCCACTGTCGGCAGACAGGATACTGGGCTAGATGGACCTTTGATCTGACCCAGTCTGGCTGTTCTTATGTTCAAATAGAAACAACGGGTTGTGCTAAGTGCTTCAGCCTCACCTGTTAGGCCCTAGCTGGGGGTGTCAGGAAATTGGGGGTGACCATGACAGAGCTGTTATCTTACCCTTGTACGACAAACAAAAGTAGAAATTTCTTTTAGCTGCCACCTGCTCTGCCCTAAAGTCAGTGACCTACTTTGTGTCTCATTTGCAAATCATGGCCCAGGGCAGGTTTTGCGTTTTAAGATGAGTTTGTTTCTGGACAGCAGTCACTCTAAAGAATTGGTTGCTTCTATCCTGCTTGCCATGTTTGTCCCAGTGGGACCCTGGAGACTCCATGTGGGACCAATGCAATCTTATTCTGGAATAAATGTGGCCTCACATGGAGTTATTCAGGAATAGCTACTGCCCTCTAATGCACACCCTGCCTTAATCTGAATTACCTTGCACATGTAAACAAGGCCTAACAGAAATGTTTGTCCCAATCCCTCTCCCCCAGCTTGTGCCTAGCCTACAAGGCAAGACTTCTGTTTCCCTCCCTTTCAAAGCTAGGAAATGTTAGAAGGGGCTAGAGAAAGATCCCAATGGTTCAGTAATCACTGAAATGTAGGCCTGGAAGGGACCTCAAGAGGTCCTCTAGTCCAGCCCCCTGCATGAGTAAACCTGCACCATCCTTTTGCCATGTTTTTCTAACCTCTCCTTAAAAAACCTCCAAAGAGCTAGGGGTTGCAAAACCTCCCTTTGAAGCTTATTCCAGTCCTTACCTATTCTTCTAGTTAGGGGCTTTCCCTAATATCTAACCTAAATCTCTCTCTGCTGCAGATTAAGCCAATTTGCGTCTTTTCCTACCTTCAGTGGACATGGGGAACAGTTGATCCCCACCCTCTCTGTATAACCACCCTTCACACATTTTGCAGACAGTTAATGACTGTGTCCAGCCTTCCTGTAGCACTCCTTACCTGTAGATCTCTGTGTTGGCACAGCGGCGGGTCAGGATGACTCCCTCCCTGTTCATGGATGGCAGTGTGTAGGGGCGGAGAATGAAGAAGACAGAGCAGAAGTGACTCTGAGAGGGGCCATAGCGGGGCAGGACTGGGAATAGAACCCAGGAGTGTTGCCAACCTCAAGCATTATGAGTCGGAGCCACCCAAAATCACGAGACTTAGAATCCAGCACTCATGACTTCTTTCCCACCAGTTCTCTTTATTATTGAGACCTGGTAGGGGTCACACTTTCAAGCCTCTTCTCTGCCACAACAAGGGCTAGACCCTTTACTTTACTTTTTTTAATTAAAGCTGAGATTCTCCTGCAATCCCATGACTCCAGGAGTTGGGGCTTGAAGAAAAACACCAAATATTGTGAGACTCAGGATAAAAACAATGCAGTGGCCGCATCTCCCCCTTCCCAGAATGCAGAGACTGGGGGTGCCAACTCTTAGACTAATTGTTTTGTTCCCTCTTCCCCCCACCCCCAGGCCAGAAGATTCAGTCTCTGAGATCCCGCTGCTCCCACGCGACGTCCTGCACGTGCTGAGCCAACAGCTGGCGCACTGTGTGGCCCAGATGGCCCGCGAGGAGGCGGCCGAGGCGGGCCTTGGCCAGGCGCTCCTGCACGTCAAGTTCTTTATCATCATCTGCAGGTAGGCTGGAGAGTCAAATTGTTGTTCTGGTGAAGTCTGTGAGAACCGCTTGGAGGCCTCAGAGGACCGGATCCTGCTTCCCAAGCCCTCCAGGTTTACCATGCCAGCATAAAACAGCTTCTTTATTACCTTGCTGGTTACTCAGAAGTCCAAACAACACAGTTCCCTTAAAGTGATCCAGCCTCAGGCCTCCATCTAGGTACCCACTCCAAGTATGATGAAAATTTCTGTAAATCTTATTTCATCATATAAAAGAAAGGGTTCTGCCAATTCCAAAGGATCGGACACATCACCTCCCAGGTTAATGAATCTTTCAGATTTTACCCAAATACACACTACAGCCAATTCTTATTAACTACACTAAAATTTATTAAAAAACAAAAGAGAGAGAGTATGGTTAAAAGATCAATATACATCCAGACACGAGATCAGTTCATTTAGGTGCAGATTCATAGCCGAGATGGTGAGCTGAGTGGTTGCAAAGAGTTCTTTCAGAAGTAGTTAATAGTTTATAGTCCAATGTCCAAATATCACATTCAGGGCGTACCAGCATAACTGGGACCCCAATCGTGCAACTCAAACTTCCCCTGAAGAATCTTAAGCAGACCTGAGATGACAGAATCAGGACCCAAGGATCTATTTTTACAATTTCATGTCCTCTTCGATGAGTTGGGAGTTCCTCGGGGAACAAAAGGTAATTAGGATGACTTTGAAGGAGGTCCATCACTGGTACTTACCTATAGGAATTAACATAAGACTGTTTGCTTGTTCCTCCACCATTCACAGATTATTTGCTATGCATTTCAAAGAGAAATGAATATCGAGATATCCCGTGTTTACAATTCATTTAAATGCTCGGATCTTCTTTTGACCTCTGAATTATCAGAATACAACAAGTTGATTACCTTGTTGACCCTACTCATACATATGTAAATACACAAACATTATCTCCCCACATGTCTTCTGTGCGTTATTTATTTTTCTAGCCATGTGTGACACACACACAAACCCAGCGCCCCCTGCCAGGTTTTGCGGGACCTGACGAGGCAGAGCCCTCTTCCCCAGCAATGCGCTGGGGGGGTGGGGGGGGCGCCTGTATCCAAGACAACAGGTTGTACAGTTTCTATCTCTGGTTCTGTTTCCATGGAAACCAATCCACCATCACTTTCAACATTGCATTTTAAGCTCTGGGAAAAAAGACTCTCCCATCCCTGCTGCCCCTCCCCTGCCCTGCCTTGTCTGCAGGCCGCATCTCCGCTGTGGTTGCCTGCAGACAAGTTTTGGGGATCACCTCCTTCTCTTACGGGGCACCTGGTGTCCCTCACGCCTAGCGCGTAGATTTCCACCTAGCGCCCTGTCTAATGGCTGTGTGCTGTAAAACACCACTCAAGGCAGCCCTCTGTTGATCATCCCATAATGAGTAGGACTTTAACCAGAGGCTGATGTGAGAAGGTACCATCCCGAGTCCTGCTCCTCTCCTCTGCGTCCTCCCCCCAAGCCAGAGCTCCCACCACAAGCCCACCTGTGGTTTCCATTGCTCTGCGGCCTTGGGATTCATACATTCAGGCAGACGTGCCCTGGCTTTGCAGGGCTTGGAAGCGAGAGAGCCTTGAAGTGCAGGTCTGAGTTTTCCTCAGCGTGTTGGATTTGGGATACAGTTGGGAGGGTTCTTGTGTCATCTACCTCAAGCCTAGTTTCATATCAAAATGAACCCAGGGCCCCCGGCTAGCTCCTGGCTGTGGTCGGTAGCCCTCAGCCCTGGCTTCCCCTTCTCCTTTCAGAGCACGAGCTGGTGGTTTTTATTCTGTTGCTAATTTTGTGGTGAGACTATTGTGTTCCTTCAGCCATTACCAGCCTTGGCAACACCAGGATGTGTGAAGCCTTTAGCTTATCTTCCTGCTATCTAGCCACCCTGGCCTTTTGAAATAGGGAGGAGGGACGGCCCGATGCCATGTGGGGCAGGTGAAAGCACTGGGGTCTGTCTCAGTTCTGCTCAGGGCAACTAAGCAGGAGGTGGGTCCCTGCGCCAGAGTGTCTCGTGGCCGGTTACCAAACGTCTTTCTTAGCTCTGGGTGATAAGGGGGCGCAGCTTAGCTCTTAGCAGCCTTATCTCCTGGAATTTCAGGAGCCCGGTCGCTGCTCACGTTTCGGGTTGGCCCGAGGGCTGGAAAGGGGGGATGGCAGAGGACCTGTGGGGGCGAGGGAGCCAGGGATGGATGAGAGGAGGAAGGAAGGTGGCTAGAGGGGAATGAAGGGAGAATGCAGAGGATACGGTGCTGTCCAGGGGCTTAACCTCCAGACTGCATGGTTCCCCCAACACCAGCCATCCCCACCCCCATCTTTCACTTCGCTGAGATGCTGAAATCTGCCAGGACAATATCGAATGTTGCTGCACCCTTGACATGGCTAGGGGGAGTGGAGGGGCTTTCCCTGGATCTACCCTCCAGAGCCCTTGATTCTGAGCCAGCCCAAGTCTCTGCTGAGCCAACTTGGGGTTTGTTTGTTTTTTTTTCCGTTGACATGTTATTTCTCAGCGACAGCTGCGAGGTGCTGTCACGCTGCCCTGCCTCGCCCGGGAGAGCAGCCCATCCTGCTTCAGTCCAGCATCAGAGGTACGTTCACACTGGAGAGAAGCTGGAACTCGCTCATGGTTCAAATCCTCCACCTTACGGAGAGCAACTTCGGCGCTAAGAAACACTGGGTCTTATTCTGACCTCCGCTGTGCTGGGGGTGACCGGGTTGATCCCGGTGTGACCCGAGACCAGAACTGGAGTCCCTCCTTCAAGAGGCCCCCTGATGTCATGCCACGTCCTGCTCCGTTCCGGGAAAGTCTCCAATTCCTGAACCTCCCTTGCTGCCTGCCTCCCGCCCCCAGCACTTACTGAGCACTGACAGTCTGTGTGGTTCTTCCTACCCAGGTCCTTCTCTGGTCCTCATGGCCATAGGATTGAAGCTGCTTGCAATCATGAATGGACTCTCAACGCCCCCAGGAGATAGGGCAGTGCTAGTATTCCCCATTATTTACACAGGGAAACTGAGGCAACGGAGGGAGTGACTTGGCCATAGTCACACACTGTGTCGATGGCAGCACCAGGAACAGAACCCAGTCCAGTGTTCTAGCCACTAGGTCACAAAGTGCCTGGCCCGTCCTTTCGACCCGTTGCGCAGAACAAGCTGCAGTAGGTACGGTCCCTGCCCCAGCTCGGCAGATAATGCAGCACTGAAGTATTTAGTGTCACAGAGGCAGGTACAGTGTTTACCCATTCTACCCATGGAGCAACTGAGGCACACAGTCACTTGATTAGGCTCCTCCAGCACTTGTCTGGCAGAGCTGGGGGTAGACCCAGGAGTCCTGTCTCCCAGCGCTGCACGGTAACCCCGAGTCTGTCCCCACCTCGCTGTGGGAGCCTTTGCTAGGGGGATGCAGCTGCTTGTATTGTCGGTTTCTCCTCCTTCCCCCCCCCCCCACGCAACAAGAGCAAGGGAGGGGTCCGCACGCTGGCTTGTGAGGTGGGGAGGTGCTAGGGGGGTTCCGTTTGCCATCGAAAGGGGAAGTGGTGCTAGCAGGGTGAGGAGCAGCCACTTCAATGCCTCTTTCCTGACTGCAGAGCAACGCAGCTTGTCCCCCTGGCTGCCAGCTGGGGCTGTCTGCAGCGCTCAGCGGGAGCCCTGGAGGTGCCAGGGGAGCACATCCAGCATGCAGGAGAGCAAAGGGGACAAGGCACTGGGAGGCGGGCTACAGCACGGCACGTCTGTCCCCACTCCAGTGCCCAGGGTGTAAAGATGCCTGGCTAGTCTGTGCTGTCCGCGTGGGTGGACGATGAGAGGAAGGAAGCTCTGTGTTTATAGCACTGGACTAGGCTCTGCCACGGACTCACCATGTGACCTGGAAGTCACTTAATTGCTCTGGGCCTTAGTTCCCCATCTGTACAATGGGGTTAGTGGCTCTTCCTCCCTCCCTCCCACGCTCTGCCTTGTTTGTTTAGATGGCATGTTCTTGGGGTAGGCATTCGTCCTTGCTGTGTATTTGTACAGTGCCTAGCACAGTGGGGCCCCCATCTCGGCTGGGTGACTGGAAGCTACAGTAATACCAGGAATGGGTTATGAGCAGAGAAGCAGCCCTGCTGACGCTCAGAACAGAGCCTTGCTCCTGGGGCTCCTATCAGACAGCCCTGATCTTCTTGCTGGGGGATGAATGGAGCTGGCAGCCATCAGGGGAGGGAAGAGGCTAATGTGGGGTTTGCCAGGCTGCTGGGGGTTTGCCCTCTTGGCTGTGTGTAGCTAACAGAAGTCACGGGAGTGAAAACCTTGTGCGTCGGATGCAAGCGGGAGGATCTTTAGCATTTATGTTTCTGTCTTTTCATCAGCATTCCTAGCATCGTCCCCGTTGTAGAGAGGGAGACCAAGGCATCGAGCAGGCAAGCAACTTGCCCAGAGCCACATACCATGTTGGCAGCAGAACTGAGATTAGAACCCAGATTTCCTGGCTCCCAGTTCCCCTATTCTTAGCCGCTAGATCAGCTTTCAGTAGCTAAAAATGACGCGGAGGTAGAGTTTCTCACTTCTCCCTGTCCCGTGTGCTGGTGGTAGGCTGGCTTTGTAGGAGATGGTGATGGTGGGGTATTGGTTTTAGGAGATGCTGAATGGCTCTGAACATTACACATTGCCTTTGGGAGGGGACTCTTAGTTAAACGCCTGGTCGCTTCCTGCCTCTGTCTTCCCTTAGCTTCCGATCATCCCCAGCCATGAAACATGCCCAGTGGGTCTCTTTTAGTCTTTGCATCCTTCCCCCAGCGCACCCTCAGGGTGGGGATGGATTTTAGGAGAGGATTAAGAGAGAATGCTGATCCCCGAACGTGAGTGCTAACCTTGACACCCGCTCGCTGTCTGAGTACGTCGACACCTGCAGCAGGAGGTGTCAAGTCCAGCAGCAGGAGCCAGACCCGCCCTAGCTCTGATCGGGCTAGTACGTGGGAAGTGGAAGCGTGGCCACAGCAGCACAAAGGACTTGCCGTTCCCCGTATGCTCCCGTCTGGGGCACTGGGCACATCCTCGCGCCACCTCTGCTCTGTGTGCGTTTTCAGCGCACTAGCCCACTCGCGTGGGCATGGCTCCGGGAGCTGGCATCGATACGTCCAGCTTGAAGTGCAGACGTCCCCGAAGACACAGCACTTGTTTTGTTTTTCCCCCATCATAACTTGCAAATATTTCTGCTCCCTGGTAAATTTAAATGATCGACAAATGAACAAATCAGCGATTCCATGGCCTCCAAATCTCATTCTTCCACAGCCCAGTACAACCCTCCATTAGAAAATGTTCTGTGCTAGTGAATTCCTCCTCCGTTTGCTCCTACCTGTACCCTTGGCTGGCCCTCCCTGAAGGGCGATAGCAGGATTATTGTTATGTATTATGGCAGCATGTAGAAGTCCCAGTCGAGATCACGGTCCCATTGTGCTAGGTGCTGTGTATGCATGTAGTAAGAGACCGCTCCTGCCCTGAAGAGCTTACAGCATCAATGGAACAGACCGGGGGCGGGTGGGTGGGGGAAAGGAAGTAGTATCCCCATTTTACAGAGGGGAAACTGAGGCACAAAGATTGAGGGGCATGCCACAGTCTCATAGGGAGTCTGATGTCCCAAGTGTCATGGCTGGGGCATGTGCAGTGAGGGTTAGTGGGTGGAGCTGGAGTCTGGGGCCTGGGACCTGAGTCGGAAGCCAGAGTCAGAAGCCAGGTACCAGAGTCAGAGGTCAGACTGCTGGGAGTCGCAGGCCCTTTAACTTGTCCCCCGGGAAGCCGGGCTGTCCCAGTACGGTGCGCCAGCTCTTGCCGGTACGCCCTACCGGGGCATACCAGTTTATTTTCACCTCTGCTGTTGCCCCAAATGCTATGGCTGGAGATTCAGCCATGATGGGGACACTGGACTGAACAGAGGGAATTGAAAGATTGGTCCTGCCAAGAAAAGAGGTCTTGACTAAAACTGGTTGGGGAGGAATTTTGGCAGAAAATTTAGTTTTTCTTGGCAAAAATTTAAAATTTTAGCCAAATTCCAAAAGAACTTAAATTCTGAAGTGCTGCTGCAATATCTCATGGTAGTTGTAGTTTAGGTGACTCACCCCTATTCTCATCCATGGAGAGGGCTCCCTGAGTGGACTACATCTCCCATGAAGCAACATGGTCTCGCCTCCGGGTCAGGGGACGTCATGCATCATGGGAGATGTAGTCCAACCAGGGAGCTCAGCCCATTAAGAAGAATGGGGGATGGGAGGTGAGGCAACATGTCCAAATACTTCAGGTTTCCTCAGAAAGAAGATGCGGTTTTGCAAAAATTGAAGTTTCTGTAGAAATGGTTTCAATGGAAAATTCTTGACCAGCGCAAATCTTGAGCTACCCGCTCCTGTCTGTCAGGAGCATTTCAAATGTCATTTGCCCATCGAGGTTCTCTCTGATGCTCGGGTTGGACTAAGGGGTTGGTAGGGGAGAGGAGAATCTCGGTTGCTGTGATGGCCCATTGTAGACTGATGTAACTGGAACCTGTTCTACGCCAGGTCCAACCTGGCCTTGTCTGGTGGGGCTGAAAGCCTTCCTGGCACAGGGTACTTTTTACTGCCCCAGCCCTTGGAAGTTCACTTCTCTCTAGGCAACACTCACTTGGGGCGGAGTTAATTTCCCAAAGGGAATTTGTGCATTTGCCTCTGTGTGTCCTGATCAGAAAGTTCCCCTAGCTGAAAAGGGCTCTCGCCCTGTCTGACTCCCCCATGGCTGGGGAGGTGGATGGACAGACGTGGCCACCCTTTCCTTTCCTCCAGTTTACCGCCTCCCTTGGTGGCAATTATCAAGGAACTTCCCTTTGGCTGAGGAGAGCTGAGTGGGACTCCACCAATGCCTCCCTGAGAGAGGGCAGTGGGCATGGCTGTAGAACTGGGACTGGTTCTGCCTTCAATTACCTTCCCATCTGGGGCAAGCCCAGCTCCACCTCTGCAGTCCCCATTGCAGATCTAGAGGAGAACACTCTCCTTGGGAATGAATGGAATGAACGTCCCCATTTGCTACCGTGCTCAAGCACTTCTTCCAAGGAGCACTCTCTGAAATGCTAGTCAGACAGCAGGCTCAGCGTTACTGTCGGCTGGTGTTTGGTTGCTCTGTCAGACTGTTCTCATCTGCCTGATTGCCTACAGGGTGCAGCGAAAGACACATCAGGTTGAGTTAATTGACCTTGGGACAGTATTAGGGGTAGGGTGATGGCTCTTTTTTTGTTTTGTTTTAGACCCGGACGAGGGGACTACTGTATAGAAGTTGCCCTGAGGCAAGGGGAAGCCATGGATAAATCACTAATTAGTGTGGTGATAGACTAATTCATTCAAAAACCAGGCAGAGCTCACCTGATTTCCCTCCTCCCCCACCCCCTGCCAATCTTCTGCAAATCAAGCTGTACACAGTTTGCAGCTTTCCCCTTTGCTGCTACTTATCTAAACCACTTGCAAGGATTTCTGATCCTCCCCTTTTTTTTTCTGTTCTCCCCTTGCAGGAATTTAGAAAATGTCCAAGCCGACAGGACGCCAGTTTTTATCCACGAGGTGCTTAGCTTGCTGTTTGCATGTACAGCCAAGGTAAGCACCGGCTTCGTAGCATGTGTGTTTGTGCCAGGCACATGCCCAGTTAAACAGGGCCTCTATATAACCCCACATGGAAATGCTTATGTCTGGGGTTGGCCTGTTGTTGAAATCAACCTGAAATACATATATGGGCTATTGATATTAAGAAGCCAGCAAAATGCAAGGCCTGTGTTATACAGGAGATCAGACTAGATCCCTTCTGCCTTGGAATCTCTGAACCTGGAATATACTGGCTCTTGGGCCACAGAGCTCTCTTCTAAGGCCTCATCGTGGGTGAAGTGTGTCGCTGACATGTCACACTGGGGCCAGGACACTGTATCCCGCAAGGAACAGCCATGAAGTGGCATGTTCCTATGCTGCACACGTGTTCTGCACTCAGTGCGTGAGACTCATGCCGGGGCAGCAGGCCCAGACAAGGTCCCGTGAACCATGTAATGCCATAATGTGTGGGTCTGAGTGGGACCCCTCTGCTGGGGTGAACTGGTAAATTATGGAGCTCACATTTTCGTGACTTAAGAGAAGTTCTGATGACTGCCGGGTCCTCTTCCCCTCTCGAACAACCCTTACAGGCGACCCACAGAGATGAAACAAATTGGACGTGTGCCTGGTTTATTTTGTTGAACGAAGGCAGCTTGAAAATGATGCTGCCCGTTTAATGCTAGACACCCAGATCCCACCCAGCATGCAAGACTCTAACTGGAGAGCTGAACAGTGACCTCCTAAATGTAGTTAGAGCTGTTGCGAGGGGCAGGGATTTCTTGTATTAGGCTGCATAGAACTTTTTTGGTGGCATTCATGTAATGCCAATGACTAATCAACACTTTGGAAAAGGAAGCTTTTGTTAAAGACTTCACGCCCTCAGCCCTTGTTAAAAAATCCACAGTAAACATCTCCAAGGCCTCCCAGAGGTCATCCAGAAACACCAGGAATGATCAGACTTGACATTATGGGGATTTCAAAGGTAAATAACAACCAGGAATAATTAAAACAAAAAAAATCAAACCAACTTTTTCAGGCTGCATTTTTCTATCAAAGGAAGCCAAAAATGGTCAGCTGGGTTGTTAAAACATCCTTTGTGGGCATTGGCCACATTGCAATTGCTGCTTAGTATGACGCACCCAGTCATTTGGCTGTCTCCCCCTCTGCCTTTTTTGTTCATCTCCCTCTGTTGTGCCCCATAATATGTTAAGATTGTGAGATCTTCAGGGTGGGGACTGTCTCTTTAGTGTGTGTGTACAGCATCTGGCGCAGAAAGGCCCTCCGATCCCAGCCCATGTCCTCTAGAGGACGTAGTAATAATAAAGGTCACCTTCAAGAGCAGTTGCGACAGACTCAAACACACGCTCTTCCACTTACTCTGAAGGAGCTTATGATCAAATGAGAGAAATTAGCCTGAATAATAATACAGCATTTCAATAGCACTTCACATCTTCAAGGCACTTTTCAGCAGCACGACTGAATGTTAATGAAGATTATTTAGTGGGGGGTGGGCAAAGGTTTCTTTTGTTTGTTTGTTTGTTTTTAAAATGCTGCGGATTAACCAGGTTTCTTCTGTCCTTGCAGCTAAAGAACACCCCGGAGCAGTGTGCCCCCAGCAGGTCTCAGCTAGAGACCGTAACAATCTATGCATTGCACCTCTATGAATGCCTCTTCGACCCCTACCAGACGTGGAGGAGGCAGCTGAGTGGGTGAGTGGGTGTGGAGCAGTGTCCTGTCTGGATGTTCTCACTCTGCTGTGGTCTAGGCACACTGTCACAGCCCCGCTGGCCTGCGGGGTCAAATTCAATGAGGAGCCATAATCCATTGCATAAAACCCGTCGGTGTGGGATGTCGGAGCGTGGGGTCTCGAGACATGTCACTCCCCATTTCAAACATGCAGCATGACACATGGGCATCTAATGACTCTGCACTGCACCACTCCGATGCCTTGGCCGAGTAATTTCAGCTCCCCCGCTCCCTGTTAGCTGCTCCCTGCCTGGAATCCTGTCTCACTTCCCCTGCATTTCCTGTGTTTCTAGGGAAATTGTCAGCATGAAAGAGAAGAGCAAATACAAGTTTGCACCAGCTGCTTTGCCTCTAGAGTTCAGCACTTTCTTCCAAGGTAAATGCCAAACAACCAACTCCCCCGCCTCCATCTCTGGTTGGAGGTTCGTCTGTCTCCAGTGCTGTTATCTCTCAGTTCAGGAGCCCTCCTCCTTCCCTACCCGTGCTGGAGTGAAATGTCACCCTAACCTTTCCAGCCGTTTATCGTGCTTAATGACCCTTGATTTCCTCCTCCCCAGCACTGGAGGCTCTCTGTGGTGTTGAAAAGAGCAAAGTTTGTGCATCCAAAAAGCATGCTTGCGCTTCCCAGATTTCCTCCCTACAGTCGGGACCCCAGCGCTGCCAGACGGCGGCTGTTAGCCAGCAGTATGTGTTGAGAAGGTGTATTTGCATATTACCCAGTATCCCATTCTGCTTCTCATGTCCCTGTATCCCAGAGGAGTGGGGACTGAGTGCATTGTTTCAAATGCGGGTGGGGAGCGAATCTAGTGCTGGCGAAAAGTACTAGTTTACCAGCCTTGGAGATTGGACCCACCTGTTTGTCCACGTAGCAGGGGCAGCAGCCAGTGTGCCTACTGCTTAATTTGAAAGACCCGCTCCTTGGGCGTCAGAGAGGAGTTGACTCTCCAGACCCGTTCAGTGTGGGCCCTCTCTGCTGAGGCTGTCTGCAAACGGGCAGGGGGTTCGTAATGTGGACGCTCCTCCACTGGGACGCTGAGCAAGTTCTGCCCAGTAGCGTTGGCCTGGTCATGTGTGTCAATGTCTAAATCTCTCCTGCAAGCCGTTGAATGGCTGGGTTTTGTTCTCGTTTTGCTTGGACACCAGGAAGGCTTCCTGGGGGCTTTCCTAGCTACCAAAGCCACCTCCCATCCCTTCTGGGCCCATTCTCTGTGGGCTTGAAGGGGAATTCCACACAGAGGTTGGAGTTCCCTTTGCTCCTTGATTTCCTCTGACTTTTGAAACCGTCTTGCCAAAGGCGCTGTGTGCCTCTGGCTGAACCTGGGAACACCTTTACCCCACATCCCTGGGGCCGTAAATAGCCTTGTGTCAGTTTCTAGGCAAGGTTCCCCCAACCAGCGAAGAAATTTCCTTCATTGCCGGAGCTGAGCGCTCGCCGTCTCAGACTCTGAGCCTGACCACGTTAACTCTTTCGACTCAATAACTTCTGTAACGAACCTCCTAAGGAACACAGCACAGTGCCGGGGGGGAGGAATATTCCTGCTTGGAACCAACAGCTCAGAGGCTGGGGATAGGCCTGGAGGTTGGGAGCTGTCTGGGGGCTTTCACTGGCAGTGCTGAGACGCACCATAAGGTGGGAGGCTTTGGAAGCACTGTAAGGGGGACTAGATGGAACGTCCTGGCTGTTTGTACAAGGAAGGGTGGGCTTTTGCGGCTGAAGGGCTGGTCTGGGACGTGGAGCTCTGCACTCAGTTCCCAGCTCTGCTCCAGACTCCCTGCACCACCTTCCTTAGCCCTTCCGTGTCGCCCCCTCTGTAAAATGGGGGGAAATGTCCTGTTCCTCCTGTCCGTGTAGGTTGTAGGCTCAGTAGGGCAGAGACCATCTTCCTGTGTCCAGGACAATGGGGCCCTGATCTCCGCTGGTGCTGCTATGAGCTCATTCATTTCAGCCTCCCTCCAGGAGAGGACGATGGCAGCAAAGACAGAGGGAGGGGGAACGCTACGCATTGGAGCAGCAGTGTGGGTGGCCCCCCAGTTCCCTTCCAGCCTCCTGGTGGGAGCCTGCACTGATCAGATGGGCCAAGAGCTGACCATGAGGGATGGCTCAGTGGCTAGCATCGGTACACGTTGAGCAGTCTCCTCACCGTTGTGTGTTTGCTGTCTGTGGCCAACCAAGGTCAACCTGGGGCCCTCGTCTTGGTGCCATCCAAGTGATGATGGAGGCTCCGGGAAGTGTGACTGACCGCACCCTGCCAGTCTCATTGGGCTCTCCCCCAAAAGCTATGGCCACCAGAAATAACCATCGCTAGCAGCAGCCCAGTAACATGTCTCACAAGGAAACGGGTTCGTCCTGCCCCTCAGAGTGGCATCATCCTCCCTGTCCTTGCTAGCTGCTTCGTCCCCGAGGAGCAAGTGACTGCTTCTGGGGAGGAGGACGGGGTGCCCAGGCTGCTGCTCCATCCCATTACCGTGTCCCTCCGCGTGCTGATGGCATCTAAAGAGGAAGAGTCTTGATTGAACGGGGCGGAGCTGCTTCAGAAAACTGTGTGTGTGGCTGTCTTGCCAGGAGCTGCAGCCTATGAACCTCTAAACTTGACCCCCTTCACTTCACAAATTAACCTTGCCGTCTTTTGTACTGGAGATGAAAAGCCCAGTGCAATCTGACCGTAAGGGGGAGAAATAGCTGGTTGCTTGCCATGCTGTAGAAATATGCTTTGGACATTTTCTTTACTTTTTAAAAGCCCCATTCCCCACCCCAGCTTGGGGATATTTTTTTTTTTTTTTTTTTTACATTAGAAACTCAGGTCTTGGCTAACCTGCAGTTCTTGGAGGACTCTGTGGCTGGCTGGAGTGAAACCTGCTTGAGGGAAAAGGATTATTTCTGTTCACTATTAAACTTTATTTTGTGCTCACTTAACTCAAACACTGAGAAAAACAGATCTCTTTATGAACCATTCTTGCATCTTCAGTTAAGTGCTGCTTTCCCCTCCCCACCTTCTGTTATGCTTCTTCAAAGCACACAGAATCTTGGCCTACACTGCCCCCCCCTCGGCCCCCACCCCCCAAAAAAGTTCTGCTTGTTTTAGAAATGTCAAATCTCATTTTTCCTGTTCTTGGTGGAAGTCTTGTTGGAGGACCAGGGAGCTGGAGTAAGAGCTTTCTTAGCCTTTCATTGAAGGAGGGTTGTTTTTTTTAAGAGCTTTTCTTCCAGCTGTTTCTCGGGCATTGCAGTTAAATAGGCATTATGCAAAATAAACATAGTTTTAGACAATCTGACTTAAAACTTCATAGGTTTTGCTTCCCAGATTACCCAACCTCTTTCATTGTCCTGTACTTGGAACTCATCCAAGAACAAGACCTGAATTTCTAATGGAAAACATTATTTTTGAAAGGTTTCAGAGTAGCAGCCGTGTTAGTCTGTATTCGCAAAAAGAAAAGGAGGACTTGTGGCACCTTAGAGACTAACAAATTTATTTGAGCATAAGCTTTCGTGAGCTACAGCTCACTTCATCGGATGCATGCAGTGGAAAATACAGTATGGTCCATCTTGATTATCACTACAAAAAGTTTTTTTTCTCTCCTGCTGGTAATAGCTCACCTTAACGGATCACTCTCGTTATAGTGTGTATGGTAACACCCATTGTTTCGTGTTCTCTATGTGTGTATATATATCTTCCTACTGTATTTTCCACTGCATGCATCCGATGAAAGTGGGTTTTAGCCCACGAAAGCTTATGCTCAAATAAATGTGTTAGTCTCTAAGGTGCCACAAGTACTCCTGTTGTTTTTGAAAATACCCCTCCAGGCTTTTCTACAACACTATAAAGAAGGAAGAAAGTCTGCAAACACAATTCTCTCCCCATTTACAAGTTACTTTTTAACTAGGGTGTGAGAGGGTTGGGTTTCATGAAATATCCCTCCCCCCCATTTCCCCCCCCCACTTTTCAGCATAGCCCCTCATTTTCTAAGATTAACTTGAATTCACCAATAACTTCCTGACTAACTGGAGGCCTGTGCTATTGGAGGAAACAGAGCGGGGGGTTTACAGAAAAACCCTGGATTCAGGCACCCCTAAACTGCAGGGCTTTGTGAAATCCACTTCCAAGTCTGGATACATATTTTGAAGAAGCCCTACGCTTTACTGATGAACTGAATTGAAGCTCTGTATTTTATTATGACGAATAAGCTACACAGGGTAACTCCTTGCATTGGGAGACTTTAGATTGGATCTTGTATTAAACATTTTTGGGTGGGTGGGGGTGCGTGTGTGTGTGACTGACTTAAACACATGTTGGAAATGACCAGTAGAACTCATGCATCCGATGAAGTGAGCTGTAATAAATCGGTTAGTCTCTAAGGTGCCACAAGTCCTCCTTTTCTTTTGAGCCTGGTGAGTATCTGATTAGATAACAAATGGTACTTGGATGACTAGTGCAGGGGTAACCTCCCAGGGCTCAGAGTTTGGCCTGGCTCAGGATTAGCAATATCTATACAGTCCCATAGAGATACCGGGCACAAGTAAAGTCGGGGTTCCTGGCCTGTGGTGCTTACAGTCTGAATTAGCCCACACGTGCAGGAGAGGACTGAGTGGCGGGGGGCAGAAATCAACACCAGGATGTTAGCGCTGTTTTTAGAAGAGGCAGCTATTCCTATGGGGGCAGGAGCCCGTTTGCGTGGATTGATTGGACATTACTCATTGGCTGCTTGGGTTTTTAATATTCTCTGTCGCAAGCTGGGGATTTATCCTCGCTGGTGCTCTCTCCTTCGCATGCTAATGGGTTTGCTCTGTGCACCACCAAGCGATCTCCCGTGCAGCAGGGAGACCATAGACTCCAGATGTTTCAGTGTAGTGCCCCTAATGCTTTATTTACCATTATCCATTGATCACACGGCACTGGAGTATTGGATACTTCTAGAGAGGGAACGGCAAACTTCCTTTTTCCTCCGGTATCTCAGCCCCTGTTTGGTGTACTCTGTAGAGGGGTGACATTGTATCCACTCCAAGAGCCCCTGCCAGGCGCCTGATGCCAGGTTGGTGTCTCTTAGGCAGGAGGGTACCTCGCTGGATGGACCCTTCTTAAGGCTACACACACACAGAGGCACTTAATTTACACATCTGAGTTAGTGCCTCTGAGCTGCGAGACTGCAGGGTTGTGGCTAGAGAACTTGCATCTGACTGCTGGGGGAAGCTAATCAATAGCCCCTTTCTAGTCATAACAGGGCAGAAAAAGCCCCTAAAACTACGCAGGGAGTTTTTCTTTGACCACATGGTGTAAATCCCCTTGCCCAGTTATTTTTAGGAGGGAAAAAAGCTCTTTGCATCTGGGCTGATTTCTCACATAGCACGTTCTGTCCCAGTGCCTACTGGGAGTGAAGGCCGTAAGCACTGCGCATCTGCAAGATTGGGGCCCTTTGCAGCACTGTTAAAATCCCACCCTGTCCCACAAAGAATCGGGGGGCACCAGGGAAACCTCCCCTGAGCCCCACGTCCAGCAGCCCTACTAGATAATGAGCTTTCATGCACACGCTGTGCCCGGGGACAAGCGTCTCCAGACGAGTCTTCTCGTGGAATTAATTGGCAGAATTTCCTTTGGGGGAAACCCATTTCTGGGCAGTGAAGCCTCGTGGGGTTTTCAGTGGCTGGTGTTTGTATCGATGCAGGTAGCTGGGCTTCTGACCATGTGCCTGCTGGTATCTTCTCCAATCTGTCTCTTTTTTCCTTCCCTTTTCCGTAGCCTCCTCCCTTCTGCCGTCAACCCACATACCTGACTCATAACCTCTCTTCTCTCGTCCATGCTCTTCCCCTTCTCAGCATCCATCCTGCTGCTTGCCTGGGGTGCTGAATGGGGAGCTGGGTTCTCGTCCCAGATTGCTGTGTGGCGCTGGGGGGGGGCGGGGGCGCGGGGCGCGTCTCCATGTGCCTTGGCTTTCTCGGCTGTAAAACGGGGATAGTGCTAGTTAGCCCCTGTCAAGGTTTCTTCCCCCCTCTGATCTCTAGGGTACAGATGTGGGGACTTGCATTAAAAACCCCCCAAACTTATTTTTACCAGCTTAGGTTAAAACTTCCCCAAGGTACAAACTATTTTACCTTTTGTCCCTGGACTTTATTGCTGCCACCACCAAGTGTCTAACAAATATAACAGGGAAAGAGCCCGCTTGGAAACTTCTTTCCTCCCAAAATCCCCCCAAGCCCTACACCCCCTTTCCTGGGGAAGGCTTGATAAAAATCCTCACCAATTTGTACAGGTGAACACAGACCCAAACCCTTGGATCTTAAGAACAATGAGAAAGCATTCAGGTTCTTAAAAGAATAATTTTAATTGAAGAAAAAGTAAAAGAATCACCTCTGTAAAATCAGGATGGTAAATACCTTACAGGGTAATCAGATTCAAAACATAGAGAATCCCTCTAGGCAAAACCTTAAGTTACAAAAAGACACAAAAACTGGAATATACATTCCATTCAGCACAGCTTATTTTATCAGCCATTTAAACAAAACAGAATCTAACGCGTATCTAGCTAGATTGCTCACTGATTTTTTTACAGGAGTTCTGACCTGCATTCCTGCTCTGGTCCTGGCAAAAGACAACACACAGACAGAGAGAACCCTTTGTTTCCCCCCCCCCCCGCCTCCAGCTTTGAAAGTATCTTGTCTCCTCATTGGTCATTTTGGTCAGGTGCCAGAGAGGTTATCCTTGCTTCTTAACCCATTACAGGTGAAAGGGTTTTTCTTCTGGCCAGGAGGGATTTAAAGGTGGTTACCCTTCCCTTTTATATTTATGACAGCCTCCCTTTGTAAAGGGCTTTGACATCTATGATGAAAAATGCTGAGATCTCAGGTACGCTCCTTGCTGTCCTTAAAGGGAAATGGTCAGCTCAGACTTGGCCCCAAATGTAGGTCTTGTAAAAGCAGCGTTTAATCATAGAACCATAGGGACTGGAAGGGTCATCTAGTCTAACCCCCTGCCAAGATGCAGGATTTGTTGGATCTAAACTATCCAAGACAGATGCTTCTACAGCCTCTAAAGTGCTTGGAAATCCTCCAAAAAATGGAGGTAGAGAAGGCCAAAGCTTGGCATTAAAATCCTATAGCCAGGGCAGGCCAGAGAACATCCCCGTCAAGGATTCCTGCACCATATCCTGGCCCCAAACCCCGTAATAACACTGCGCTAAGCTATGCTGTGCCTCGACAGCACTGCAGTCTCCTCCAAGTGAAACAGCAATCCCAGCTGGATGCCCAATTACCAGCTCCCTGAACCACGCGTGTGGCATGCAGAGATGCTAACGCCACAGACGTTTAATGCTGAAGAGATGTTTCCATGAGGTTTTTTTAAAACTTCCATTGGAAAGGGCTTTATTTAAGAAAACACCCATCTAAACCCCATCCAGGTCTTTCCTGCCCAAATAAGTTTGCTTTGGAGGGGTAGCACATGAGACCCAGAGTGTGAAACTGACTAGCAACAGAAGTGAAATTGACCGGTCCCTTTGCCTCTGAAATGCAGAGATTAAACAGTGTAAAGCCACTGTTCTTTCCTTCTTACCTACCCAGGATAATGGTACTTGTAATCCAGGTGAGTGAGTGAGTGTTTCTAGCCAGACCGTGATCCTCCTAGCTCAATCAGTAGGTAATGCCAGCAGGAAGTTGTCAAGGGAAGATGTGAGGAATGATTACCTGACTTGGAGAAAGAAGCTCCAGATACAGCAAAAGGGGTGACTCACAGGAGGCATCTTTCCTGCTCTCGAATCTCGGTGCATTGCATCTGTGTTGGGTTGGATGGCTTTTAATCCATCTGTTACGCTGTTTCTCCTTTCTGCCTTGGCTTGGTACTGTTTTCCCCAGTGGAGTGTGGAACACACGCTCTGCAAAGCTTCGTGCGATGTTCTGCACAAACCCTGCTTTGCAAAGGTTGTGTGATGTGTCCTTGGTCTTTTGTATTTTGTGTGTGTTCAGCATTGCGCGTAATGGGCCTCTGATCCTGGGTGGGCAATATCCAGGGGATTTGGTAACTCAAACAGGAACGATAAAGCAACCAATATTAACTACATACACTTACCATGCTCAGTATACCTCATAACTGTGCTGGGGGCAGGGTTAAGTGACTTGCCCAGAGGTACATGGGGGAGTCTGTGGCAGAGCTGGGAATTGAATTTGCCTTTCGAGTCTCCCTCCAGTGCCTGAGCCATGAGGCCTCTGATGCTACCACTAGGAGGGAAACTATTGGCAAGGAAGTAGAACTATTGGCAAGTCTTGTAGATGCAGGTTGTGACAAACCCGGCTTTTGGGCCTGCCTTTCTGCGCAGAGGCCCTATTGTGGGGGAGAGGGGAGATGAGTTGTGAGCTAACAGCCCGTCACCTTTGTGTCCCGCAAGGAGAGCGTTGAAACGTGGCGTCCTGTGAAGCGAGTTTGCACCGACTCCCTTAGTGGGAGCGCCTGGGTCAGACCTTGTGTGTCCGGTCAGAGACCGGCGGCCGAGAGCTCCGCGGGTGCCGGGGGGAACGGGAGGGCTTGGCCTCTGTTTCGTGCATCGCTCTGGGCCTGCTGGGACTTGGAGCGGTTTTGAGGTCCCTGGGAGAGGCCGGGCTGGGGACTGGACATGCTCCAAGGACTAGAGATCAGGGTCATGTGCCATTGGTCTCGTCCCCACCTCCCCCAGCAGTCGCCGTGCCCCTCGCTAGGAGGGAAATGCTGCGCTCACCTCCCGGCTCGGCAGGAGAAGGAACCCGACCCTCTTTGGCTTGACACGTGAACGTCATGCTAGCCCAAGGCACCGAGCTGGCAGCACTGGCTGGATGCAGGGAAGGCTTCCCCCCACGCTGCCTCAGCCTGACCTGCGGGGTTGTGGGAAGGAGTCTTCTGGCCTCATCAGTTCCTGGCTTCTCCACTGAATCTGCCAACAAGGGGCAGCTGATGGAGGTGGCAGCATAAGTGCTGGCCTGGGACGCACGAGGTGGCTGTTTGGGGCAGTGGAACCCCATAAGGGGTGGCCAGGTTGGGAATGGAACCAGGTGTGGGCAGAGCCAGACCAGAGGAGGGGAATGTTCCCCTCTCCGACCGCCCGCCTCTGCAGGGAAGGGTCCCCGCACCGGCTTTCGCGCAACGGCCTGCTTCCAGGCGGTCCAGGGCCCTGAGTGTTTTACTGGTGCTGGCTGGGCAGTCCCTGGCCCGTCCGCCCTTAGTAGCCCTTGGCGTGAGCCCTGAGGGGCTCAGGAGCGGGTCGCTCGTCTGTTTATATCCTCCCGGGGTCTTGCCTGTAGGAAACTGGGTTTGGGCTTCCTGGAGGCGAGATGCTGCCTCCCAGAGTAGCTACACCGTGAGCGCTCTCCCTGCACGCATGCCCCGAGTGCCTGTGAAGCTCTGTTTGATCCGCGCGCTCTGGGCTGGGTTTGACGCCGGGAGGGTTTCGCCGTTGGGCACCCGTTAGAATGAGAGAATTCCCCACCCCTCTGTCCCTCAACATCCCTATCACAGCAGGACCGAGGGAGCATTCCCACCCAACAGCCGTACAGCTCTGATCTGGGGAGGGCGTTAGCTAATGTAGCCCCTCTCCCCCCCCTGCATGGGCCGGGCTCCCTCCCATGTGTTCCCAAAGGTCGATTTAAATAAGAGCGTGTTTGCCCTTCGGTAGCATCTTCCAGCCAAGGAGCAGGGGGTGAGCTTTCCAAATAGTGAGTGAAGAGCTGAGGGGAAAGCTGTGTCAGCCTCCTCTTACAGATGGGGAAACTGAGGCTCAGAAAATTCTAGTCCAAGGCCACGCGGTGAGTCAGTGGCAAAAATGGAAATGGGACTCAAATCCTTGGTCTCCCAAGGACCACTAGCGCCCCATCCTAGCTGGCATGGGCTGCTTCACCTCTGGAGACACGGAGGTGATCTGAGTGTGCCCTAAATTACTATTTATGATGTGTAGTGTGGTAACGCCTAGAGGGGCAACCCAAATGAGGGCCGTGTTGTGCCAGGCGCTGAACACACACCCAGTGAGAGCCAGTCCCTCTCCCATAGAGCTCACAGTCTAAATAGACACTGCAGAGAAAGGAAGCCGTGTCATCATGGCTTTACTGATGGGGAAACTGAGGCACCAACTGACAAAGATTCTGATACAAATCCCCAGGAAGTCTTTCCATTGATTTCAGCAGGCATTGAATAAGCCCCACCCCCCAGAGATAGGTGCTTAGTCTCCGGCTGACAGGCTAAACTTCTCGCCCTCTGCAGGGAGCTTCCAGGATGAAGGGCAGCTTCCTGAGGCTCTCCAGCTGCGACTTATCCACCTCTTTGGAGCCATTATCTCTGGAGCCAAGGTAATTCGTCCCTAGCCCTTGTGGTCCCCTCCTTCCTGAAAGCCAAGCTCTGCTCCTGGGGAGGGAGAGGTGGGCGGGGAAGCGGGCGTGGCCATGTCTGATAACAAAGCATGGGGATTCCACACCCCTTCCCAGAGATCTTTAAGGACAGGGGGGCCGAACACCTGCCGGGGATGGTGTAGGTTTTTTGTGGTCCTGCCTCAGGGTGCGGGGGCTGGACTAGGCGACCTCTCAAGGTCTCTTCCAGCCCCACATTTCTAGGACATAAAAGCAAACTGCTTGGATCCCTTCTGCATTTGTCTCCTGTTGTATGCTCACCCCCACTTGCCGCCCCCCACCTGGTGGGATGTTCTTTGTGAGCAGGGGAGGTGCAATGTGCAGCTGGCTGCATTCGGCTGGCCTGAAAGCCCCACAGGAGCCAGTGCTGCCTTTAAATGTCCCTTGTGTTGTTTTAGGGGGAAAATACTTCTATGGCAGCAGCCCTTACGGGCCCCAGCAAAATCGGGGCCCATTGTGCTAGGTGCTGCGTGCACATATAGAGAGTCCCTGCCCGGATATGGTCACAGGTCAGCCAGGCAAGATGGAGGGAGGGAGAGGATGTTATCCTCATTTTACAGGTGCGGGGCTCAGGCCCCGAGAGACTGTGACACTGATACTTAGCCACCTGGAGGCAGTGTGGCTCAATGGATAAGGGCCCTAGATTGGGAATCAGGAGACCTGGTTCGTATTCCCAGCTCTGCCCCAGACCCGCTGTGCGACCTTGGGCCCGTCACGTTCTCTCCCTGTGCCTCAGTTTCCCTGTCCATAAAATGGGGATAATGATACCGATCCTCCTGTGTGATCTAGGGATGAAAAATGCAATATGTCATGTCAACACACTTGCCCCTGATGGGCATTCGGAATCCTGCCTTTGCCGAGCGTAGGGCTGAAAACAAGCGTTCCCGGTGTCTGGCCTCACTTCACCCTGCGGGGCCCCGTGGGTCTGGATCTCTCGTCCCATCCACCACATCTTTATTACTGGTGGGGAGGGTGATGCGGGAAGAGATGAGAGCACTGCTTGGATTTGGGTCCTGGGAGGAGCCTATGGCAGCTCCTGGTGCTTTAGGAATACAAGATGGGGGAGGTAGGGATTGTGGGGCACAGGTTGTCTGAGACGGATTTGCAGTGGGTGCACTCCAGATATTGCAGCTACCTTCCTTCAGTCTTCCTATCGTCCTCCTGTTCTCTCCTTTTCTTCCCCATCCCCATCACTCTGCTTTCCTCCCTGTAGGCTGCAGCCAGTAGAGGGCGACGTGATCCCATGGTTTTTTACCCTGACTGCGTTACTGCCCTCTACTGGATAGCATTTGCAGGACAGACCCAAGCCTTGAGCGTTAGACAGATGAGCCCCAGTCCCATGTGGTCGGACACTCTTGCGGGAAGCTAGATTGTGCTTGCAGAGGGTGAGTCTATGGCACCTGCTTAAGCCCAGATTCCCAACCCCTTGTGCGTGAATCGCGCAGCCCGTGAGCCTGCTGAGCGCGGTGTGCGTGCGTTTCTGCGCAAGGCCCAGCGTGCTGGAGCGATCCCCACCGTGGGTCTGAGAATCTGGGCTCAAGCCCCTGGCCGCGTCTGGTCTGGGCTTGGTTTCCTGGGGCGCCATCTAACGGGGCTGCTTGGTTCCGACAGCAAAACGCCCTGCAGGTGATCACGCCGGCCTCCGTTGAGGCCCTCATGCTGGTGCTCAGACAGTGGTGCTCCCCACGGAATGGAGACACCAAGGACCCCAAGCTGCTGCAGCTGACCTTGAAGAGCCTGGTGGGAATGATTCACATCCTGCACGCCAGCAGCCCGGGCCAGCGCAAGGTGGAGATCAGGACCATCTTGGACAGCTACTTCAAGGTCCTCAACTCAGACCAGCCCATGGCCTCTCTGAAAGGCTCTCCGGCCACTCGCTGGGAGGAGGGGATGATTGCTCTCAGGGTGAACATGCTGGGTAGGTAGCTCTGGGAGGAGCTGGGCCTGGAGTTCAGGGGGTGGGGAGGTGGACAGGGCTCTGGGGTGGCGAGTTTTTCCCGCACAAGATGGGTACGGTTCCCTGACCGTGCACCACGCGGATGGGAGCCGCTAGGGTAGTGGAATGAGATGAGGCTGTCCCTGGGGTTAGTCCCGTAGTCTCTAGCAGGGTGATGCAGGCTGCTCTGTTTCCCAGGGCACCAGGGCAGTGTGGCTCGGCCGCTGCTGGGAGGGCTAGTGAAGACCGGACATGGCTATCCACCGGGTGTTAACCACCCTGGCTAGCCCTGCCAGAGGAGGGCTCAACTACGTGTCGTCTCTTCTTCACCTGCTGTTATGCTGGGCTCAGCACCAGCTCGCGTGCCCCTGGTGCTGACCGAGGCAATGCTGCCTGACGTAGGCAAGGCCTAGCCGTTCATCTGGCCTCTTAAAGTGACTGCCTCTCTCCATTGGGCACCTCTCTGGGAGGAGAGGACGATCTCCGTACCCTGCTAGAAATTAGGCACCTGCCACTTCCCAAATTCCCTTTTGTCCCCCCAGGAGCTCTGGGGGTGGGTCGTGTGCAGCCTGCTAACCCAGCTATTGGGAGTGCTAGATAGTCCCAGCCTCCCGGGTGTCACTTGCATGGCCCTTGGGCCTTACTTCTGCTCCTCTCCCCACGAGTCTGCCATGGAGCGAGGCTCAGACGCTGCTCCCCTATCGGCTTGTGTTGATGGATGACTCTCTTCCTCTCGCCTTCAGATGCAATTCCGGAAATGCTGAATTGTGGCGACCGGCCAGTCCTGCAAGCCATGTTCCTCAGCAACAACTGCTTCGAACACATCATCCGGCTGATCCAGAACAGCAAGGTACGCTCCCCGGCACTCTCGGGTCGCAGGCGGCAGGGGAGGGACCTCTCCGAGTGTCCCCCTACCTGGAAAAACCTGAATCGGGTCCTTAAGCTTCAGGGCTGGTCTCAGCAAGGAGACTTGTTCTAATACCGGGCAGGTAGAAGTAACGGAATGAGCCAGGCACTCTGCGGGAACTTGAGCTGTTGACTTTGGGTTGCTCTCGTCCCCCAGAAGCCATTAACCGTCTCTTGAGTCAGACCCCCCACCCCCACCCACCCCCGAAGATCCAGGTCTGTCATGCTGTAGTACAGTAGATCAGCCAGCTAATGACGAGGAAGCGGAGAGGCCGTTGTTCTGGATTGTGTGCCCTCTCCAAGAGGAGTCCGTAATTCCTGTGTTACACGTCCACCCGGACCCACTCTGCGTGTATGTTGAAGCCTCAGCTTCACCCTAGATCTGCGTTTTGTCATTCGGCAGCATGCTGTGTGGGGCAGAGACTGTTTTCCTAGGCGTGTGCACCACTTAGCATCCTGAGAGGCTACCACAACACACGGGTCCTCACCATTCTTGGGGTGCAAGCATTGTTCCTCTTACACTAAGGTCCTGGCCACCAGTGCACAGTCAAGATTCCAGTCCGCTTTTCCCAGGAGTAGGACTGTCAACCCTGCTGCCCTGGCCAAATTCCAAGTCCAGGGAGAACACGCAGGCCTGGCTTTGGCCCGGCGCGTGTTCGTTCTGCCTGGAAAACCCCTTAAATCCTCACTTGTACACAAAAGGAAGATTTACAGCCATTCATAACAAACCGAAAGCCGGACCCTGCTGGAATCTTGCTCTCCCTCTCGCCCATGTGTTATTTTTAACTTCGGTTTAAACAAACCAGGTGCGGGTTGGCTGGAATTTTCCCATTTATAGCATTGACCAGAGTGGTGGCTCGGAACACGCACTGTTCACACGTGTGTGCCCCCTGCCCATGTTTGGCATTGAGAGCGCATCTCTGCTCCCTCTCTTCAAAAACAGGCGCTCTTCGTTCAGCAGCTTCAACCAACAAGGTGCCGCTTGGGCCAGTCCTGAATCTCAGTGACCACCAGTGGTTGCTGTTGCAAACGCTTGCTGCTGAAGAGAGGATGTCTTTTCCCTAGGAGAGGCTGCAATTGGCCATGGTACCAAGTAGATTCCTAGATCTACAAGAAGCTACACCTGAAGCTGCTTCTGTGGCAAATGCGAGGGTGCCTTGCAACAGGCGAAGATGTGCGGGTGAACGTGGCTTGGAATTGGGCGGGGGAAGACAGGCAGGCACTCAAATACATTGAGGAGTAGCTGCAGCACTCTCTTAATCAGCACTTCTTCCGTTATTAAAATCCAGGCCGTCGGGGGGGCATTCTGAGCCCTTCGCAGCCCTGGCCGGGCTTTCGTCCGTTCTGAATGTTTCCAAACTTACGCTCCCAGCCCCGGGAGCCCATCTGTCAGAACGTCGCTCGTGCCGATGAGCGCCGCAGCCCTGGATCTTGGCCACCGGTGGTGGAGAGCTAACGGATTAGCGCGGGGGGGCGATTGTTTGGCAGGTCCAGAGCCATTCACCTTATTGAAGAGGGTGCTTGGAGCTGTATGTTTTGTGATGGGCTTCATACACAGTAATCAGCCCTTGGCAGGGGGATAGATGGTGGCATAACCCTGCTCTAGGGGTCTTGGTGGGGGCAGGGTGAGGCAGAGAGGGGGAGTGACTTGTCGGAGGCCACGGAGGCAGCCTGCAATAGAGGAAGGATGCGAACTCAGGACTTCTTGACTCCCGGTGCTGTGATCGGGTCCCGCCTCTCTCATTTGTGCCCTCCAGGTGTCCCTTTGTCCCAGCACGGCTGGAATAGCGCGCGTGTTACACGACCTCTTTGGCACGGGCTCATGTGTCTGCAGCAGCCGCCACCTTGTCTTGGGCGTGCTCGGAGTATCTGCCAGGGTGCTATCGGCCTGCAGGCCGGTGATAGGCAGTGGAGGTGTTTAGAAGAGCCCTGAACGCAGCCAGCTAGGAGGACTCTCCGAAGGACGAGCAGCCCCGTGCTGGCTGTGGCTCAGAGCTCCCGACCAGACTCTTTCAAAGAATCAAGTGCAATTAGATGGTGCTCTGCTCCCTGCTGCTCCTTGCTCCCCCAGGCCCGCGGGATCAATCTTCAGGGACGCTAACAAGATTTTCCCACCTCTCTCCGTCATCTGTTGTCATCTCCAGCTGCGGCCGTTGCCGGGGAAATTGCAGCCCAGTCTTGTCCTCGGCAGAACTGCCGCTGAGCGAGGAGCTGTTGGCTACTCTCTGTCCGAAGCAGGCTGCTGCTGGGAGACATGGGAGCAGGGGAGGGTAACTTATACCAGACAACTTTTACCATGGGCTTTTTCAAAGCAAGGAGCAGGCTACTCTCCAGTGCTCCTGGGGGGCTCAGTGCCGCTCAGTCGTGACTCCGGTGGCCAAGGGAGGAAAGCAGGACGGCAACGTGAGGTGTTGGTCCACGTATCCTTGTCCTTCCTCTCCAATCCCATCTGCCCCCAGCTCTACCTAGCAACTCACGGACTGGCTGCGTCACTTTGACTCCAGATTGCTTTCGGGACCGTTATATGGGTGCCCTAGCAGGCGACCCAAGTCCCCATTTGTGCTGAGCAGCCTCCTGTAACTGTCTCCCTTTGATCTTCCCTCCGCAGATCCCTACATGATTCCTCCTCCCCTCTTGCTCTCCGGGGTTCCCCGATCTTCCCTTCCCAGTAACGCACTGCTGCCCCCTCAGCGTGCCAGCCCCAGAACCCAGTGCCTCTGCATTCATCTGCTGTTAGGCCATGCAGGGGGAAGTTTCCTTCAGAGGCTTTGCTGCCTTGCTACAAACAGTGATGCATCATCTTTCCCCTGCTGGCTTCAGAGCTCAGTTACGCTGATTGCAGTGGAACGGTTCTGGCACTGTGCTGGTGTCACCGTGGAGAGAAGAACCTCACTGCTGATAGTTCGGAGAAGGGCCTGTTTTTCCTGGGTCCTGATCTTTGCTCCCCAGATGAGACCATCTTTCCTTCCTCTGTCCCCCAAAAGCTAGGACAGAGACCGAGCCCTGGAACCTGGCACACAGCAAGACTCATTTTGAGACTCATTTTTTTTACAAGGCATTCCGATTCCTCTGATCCTCGCTGGTTTCTGCCCAGCCTTACCATACTGGAAGAACCAGAGAAGACAGTGACAATCCGGTTCTTGAAAGCAAATTGACTCAGGCTGGTCGATGGGGCCAGACTGACGCTCTAAATTGGGGAGCCCTGTATTATCCCCGTGGCCAAGACTGGAAGAGTTCGGGCTTCCCCACGCACATGCTGCCCCATCCATATTCCTTGTCTCTGGTCTGCGCCGTAGAGGCTGCCGGTGGTGGTCTCTGTGGTGTGCATGGCAGCTCAGTAGGAGCTGGATTCAGAGTCCCCCCCGAACTCACTTCAGAGATGCCACTGAACTGCTGACAGCAGGGGTTACTGAGTCGCTACTTACCCGGGAGACCTTTGGGTCAGTGACCTGGAGGGGAAAGCTCCATTGCTGGTTCCCAGGAGCAATTTCCACCAGGCTGTTTTACAATCCTCCCACAGCATTAAGATTTCAGGATCTGCCTTGTTGCCCCCCACCCCCAGCCAGGCTCTACCCTGCCATTTGAAGTTAGTGCACAGGAGAAATGCCAGCTGCTCTGATGGTGCAGAGACGAGACTTCACAAACCATATGTCAGAGGCAGGCTGCAGACCAGAATTCAGAACCTGATCCAGGGCCCGCGGGGGACAGTGTCTTTCCCCCGGGCGCTACCCCTGCACCCTCTGGCTCTGGGGGGGCGCCCAGGTTGGAGCTGTGTCCCAGCGATGATGCAGCGTCCCAGCGATGATGCAGCGGAGTTGAAAGCCCAGCTGGTTACTCCTGCACTCCTAGGTGTGCCTGTCCATTGTGTGCTTAACCCTCTCTCTCTCTCTCTCCTCCTTGGCTGACGTAAGCTTTTCTGACCCCCTTTTCGACAGCTCTACGTGAGCGGGGCACGTAAAGCAGATGAGACGGGGAGCGAGCTCGCCGCACGCTTATTGACCGAGAGCGATGTCCAGAAGGTATTGCACGTCACTGGTGGCGGCCAGAGCAACGCTCAGGCTGTGGCTGCTTTCGTTAATTTATTTTCCGCTGCAACAAACCGGGTGATGTCAGCAGCGCCGTCAAACCCAGGAGGGGGGAGGGGAAGGGGACACTTTTGCCCGTGGCTCTGAGCCCAGCTATCAGGCAAGTTCACCCTGCACCATCCAGCTAGAGGTGAGAAGGAAAATAGGACCTGAGCCGGCCCAGTGCCTGTTGGCTTGGGTGGGGATTGCGCATCCAGAATGAAGGGTGAGATTTTATCTTTGCTTGGTGCTTTCTGTCCCCAAGGGTTTGGCACTGATGGGGAAACTGAGGTGCAGCCCCAGGGGCTGGCAATGGAGTGAAGTGGGTGCCTGGCAGGCCCCTGTCTAAACCATACAACCTCGCCCTTCACCCGCCCCGCTAAAATTAATTTTGCCTGCACACAGACCGGGACTAGATCTCTGAGCAGAGCCAACAGTTATGGATGCACTCCATCCATAGTACTGTAGTGCCTCCCAACAGGCCTAGGAGCGAGACAGACAGGCCGGTATTCTCCTCCCCTCTTTACAGGTGGGGAAACTGAGGCAGAGTGCTACATGGAGTCCGAGAGTCAGTCATGAAGTTCAAGGCCAGAAGGGCCCCCCACATCATCTGCTCTGGCCTCTAGCGTGACACGGGCCACTCCCATCAGCACACCCAACCAAAACTGAAATGAGACCGAAGTAGCACAGCCCGCAGGAGACTAGACTATGATGGGCCACAAGCATAGACTATTGGGGACCAAGGTGCACTAGTGCCCGATGCCCCTGCAAAGGCAGAGATACCCAGAGAACCCTAGTAAGTGCCCGGCAATCCATCCTTCCCCAAGGTCACTGCCAGTCTGAGCTGAACTGAACCCAGATCTCCTGGGTCCCAGTCCAGTGACTTCCCCGCCAGGCCATCCTGTCCCCTCCCCATCCTGCCAGCCCTTCAGTGCCTGCTTTGGGAGCCAGGGTGGATTTTAAGTCATGATGGCAAAGCACGACTGGCCCCTGCCGTAGTCTTGTGCCCAAGGAAGGTCTCCTGTACCCCACGGCTAGGTGAGGAAATAACCCAGCCACCTCACCTCGCCGATGGCTTTGCAAGGCTCTTTGAACCCGCTCTTGGCTTCCTTCGCGGGTGTAATAGCATAGGAAAGGGGCTGGGGTGCCCCAGAGCCTGGGGAAAGGGAGCAGCAGACGCGTTCCAAGGGGCATCACGTTGGAGCAGTTACTTACCCTGCTGTCTTCCCCTGTCTCTTTTTAAAACAGAAGATGGATTCAGAGGCTAAAATATGGGGTCGGGGGGGGGGGGATGATCCACCATTCCATTTGGACGTCCCTGGCGCTGACATCCCTGGTTTGTGCAAGGTGATGGCACTTTGGGAATGAGCCTGCATCAATCACGTGTGTGTGTGTGCGTGTCGAGCTAGTCTCACGTCCGTCGCTCTGAATACGTCCTGGCTCGCCTGCAGGGGTGGGGAGGGGGGATAGCTCGGTCTCCCGTTGGATCCAAGAGAGCCGTCCAGCGAGGGCTCGCTGTTACATGCTTCTCAGCCTTCCAGGCGCATGGCAACTGGGGCGCAGGAGGGCAGGCTTCATGGAGGCTTAGAAAGGGAATATCTGAAGTAACCAAAGCCCATCAGGTTGCCGGCCGTCAAGCCTGCAACCCTGGTGCCCTCCTGGGAGTAGATTTGCAAGCGGTGTTGTCAGGAAGGCTGGGCCCAGACCTGTAAGGTGCCAAGCGTCCACGAATCCCACCGATTTCCATGGGGGTGGACGGGCGTGCAGCGCTGTCATGAGAGGCGCAGAGGACCCAGCAGGATCCGGCCCGTAAAATCCACCTTTGTATTGAATACGCCCCGTCCAAATGTTATGTCGAATTGAACGTCTTCTAAAATGGACCAACCTGTAGTGAGGTCCATCCTTCCTCCCCTCGAAACCCAGACACTTGGGGCACCGCAGTTCAGGAGAAACCATCCAGAGCATGCGCCAGATCCTCAGCTGGTGTGAACAGGCATCGCTCCATTGAAATCAGTGTAGCGCTGGCAGTTAATGCCAGTTGCACCTAGGTGTCTTGGGTTGCTCCCCCAGTGGGGCTATTGAGTGATTGGGCGGGGGTTGTCTCTGTCCCCTCCTAGTTCTAAGGGCCCCCTTGCGTAAATGGGCTGGAGTAATTCTCCTGCAGCCTGTGCTTATAAATGGCGTCTTCCCCACCCACCCCACACACACACTCTCACGCTTCCTGGCCTTGTTCCTGATTCGAGATTTGACATGTATTTTTTTTTTTTTGTTGTTTAGCAGTAGATGGAGTCTCCCCCCACCCCCTCGGTGGGAGTCTCTGACCTGTGTTTCCATTTTCCCCTTCCTTATCAGCTTGGTAGCTAGGGAACCAAGGGAGGTTTTCAGAAGCTGGGGGCTGGGCCTAGGCAGACAGGCGCTTCTGGCTTTGAATTTGAGCGGCAACTTCCGGGAGAAGCCACTTAGACTGTCCTTCCCGAGGAAGGGAGCAAAGATAATCTCCTAACAAAGGAAGGCAGGCCTGGCCAGATGGAACAGCTGAGAGGTATTAACAGCTGGTGGCTCACAATACAATTTAATTACAGAAAACCAAGAGAGCCGTAAAATGTTCCCTCTCCCTTCCGGGCTCCTTGCTGGCATCTGCGGGAAAGCTTGTCGTTTGGTTTTATACTTCTCCCATGTTTGCAACGTGCATGCGCATCTTGGGAGCAGGTTTTGTGGCTTTCCCCAGGCTGAGGGCTCCGGGGGAGGGTGGATGGGGCCAGAGAAACCCTTGCTGAGTTGGTACAGCTCAACCGAAAAGGAGTTCTCTGAGGCTAGCCCTCTCTCTCCTCCACCTTCGCGTGCTTCTGGGACGGGGTGGGAACAATCCCTAACCAGCTGGCCTGGGGACCTCTTGCTCTGTTTATGCCACTGGTCCTCTGGGCCGCTGGAGGTCTGCAGAACCCTCCTTGGGAGTGAGCTGAGCAAAAGTGTTTGAGACCCTGAAGGGGGGCCTGTGGGGGAGTGACCCAGGTCGGATGAACAGGCCAGGGGAACCCCGCACTGATTCACTTGATCAGCGTCTCCTGGTTTGAGTGGGATCTTGTCTTTGTTTCAGACCCTTCCCGTCACCAGCTCCTTCCCTCCAAGCCCTGCATTCCCCTGAGCGAAGCTGCCTCCAGCTGCCGTGGCTTGGTGGCCCCACAGTACTACTTCCTGCATTGTTCGGTAGTGGCGCTTTGGCAACCCAGCCTCGGTTTGCATGCAAGGCATGACAGGTCCCCTTTCCATTGCATCTCCTAGGAGGGAGGGTCCCTTACGGCTCTGAGGTGTGGGACAGCCGTAGTCACTCCATGTAAGCTCTGCTACTTGGCTGCACCGATCTTTATTTTACAGGTCGCTGGGCGTTGCATCTTGAACGGCCCTGGCTATTGCAGGGATAGGAAAAGCCGCCAGTCCAAAAGATTAGACTCCTGGAATTGACCCAGTCTCCCTCTTTCTTACCAGAAATATCCTGTCCCTTCTGGGCAGAAGGGAAAATTAATTGAGGTTCTCCCCACCCTGGTTTGAGCTGGGGTTTTAAAGCCTTGATAAACAAAGGGACACAATGGAGCATTGGGCCGGGAGGCTGAAAGCCGGGGGCATGTCTCAGCATTCGCTGTGGGGTGGCTGTTTTCCACAGGAAGGGTGGGGGCGGGGTCTCAGGGCATGGCGACCCTGCCCCAGATTGTGGAGAAAAGGGAAAGCCGAGCCCAGGACACGGAGGTGGCGTTTGCCCGTTTTGCCCCTCGCTCGCATGTGGAGCCGCATTGCTCCGACAGCTCCCTTCTCAAATGCCCCGGAGGCTCCAGCAGTCCTAGGCCTCGGACCCCGGGGCACAAATCTCCCTTCCGGGGCTGACCTGTGACCTGTGAGCGGTGGCGGTGTTTTCCACGAAGGACCACTCCCCTCCTCAGCTGGCCCATGGCTGGGATCCTGCCCCCACTGAAGTCAAACCCCTGCTCATGGCAGCGGGTGCAGGAAATCTCCGACGTCTGGCTTGTCCTCTTCCGGGGTGGTGTGGCCAATGACAGGAACTACCTGTGGTCCTGGAGGCAGCAGCTTTGTGTACCTCTATCTACCCCTGTTCCTGCTGTCCCCTCTCTGGTTCTGCTGGGCATCATCCAGGGATGCCCTGTGCTCTCTCTGGCAGGGCCCTGCTCCTTCTGTCCTCCAGATGTTTCCTCTTGGTGCTTCTGTGCATCTTTCTCAGACCACACTCCACTGTCTAGCCGCCCCTGTAGGGGAAAAGACCCAACCTGGGAATAGGCCCCTGAATCTCCCCTGCCCCCAAAGGGATCTCAGAATCACAACAGAGCCTGGATTAAAGGCAGGTCCATTCCCTCTTCCTTCCCAGCCCCTACTGGTTAATGGTCTTCCATCGGCCTAGCCCCCTAGGAGCCTTAAACAGCCCCAGGGAGAATGGATTTGCCCTGAGGGGCAAGGCCCGGTTGGACTGAATTTCTTTGCAAGCTAAAGCAGCAGATGAAGGCGGGGGCCCAGAACGACCCCACTACCCTGTGGTCATCTCTTGTACCCGTCAGGTGTCTGCCTTCAAGGAGCGCGTTACCGTGCGGTCCCTAGCGGTGACCTGCAGAGTTTAATATTAAACGGGTGGATCTGAGCCCCACATCTGGAGTCTGGATTCTCCCAAAGTTTGGCGGGGGAGGTGGGGGTTATCTCAAATAAATAGCATGCTCCCCAACCTGCAGCTGTAAATCCTGCCTGCCGAGGAGAGTCTAGTCCCTGGGATTCAGGTGGGGCAGGGGACGTGAGACCCTTCCTTCCTGTAGGTCAGGTACAGCTGTGGCACTGTATGGGTCTCTCTCCTCTCTGATCCTAGGCGTCCTATAGCCCCAGCTCCTTTGGTGGCTCTGGGTAAGTAGGGGTGAAAAGTTTCATCTGCAGAACGAGGATTGTCCCACCTGCCTGTGGCCAGACGGGTTTGCTCAGGGATGAGGCTGAGTGAACTGGTGGTTTCTCCCCATCACCGATGCCATGTAAAGAGAGGAAAAAGCCTGGCAGCTCCCTGTTGGACAGTGAAAGGTTCACGTTCTGACTTCTCTGAGGTGCCAGGTAGCCACAGCTCCTGTGGTTGCTCAGGCTGTCAGCGGCTTAGAGGATCTGAGCTCGGATCTTGCACCGGTACACGAGTGTGCTTGCCAGCCCTGCAGCGACCTGACCCGACTTGAAGCTCTTCTCTGCTCAGAAGCCCCTGGTGTGACTTTGTAGTTCAGGGCTTGACTTGGAGAAGCTGTGAAAACAGGGACGGATTGGCCTGGCAGTCCAGCGGATTTTAATAGGCTGGGGTCGCCACATGATCGTCACTCGCTTTCTCCCTTGTCTTTAGGTGTTCGACAGCAGTTCCGACGCCATCACGGTTCATGCCATCAGAGTGCTCACCTCCATCATGAGCAATTCGCCATCGGCCAAGGTAAGAAGTGGGGAGGCCCAACCCCCTTTGGAGTTCTGCTTGGTTGTGAGGATGCAGTGATGGGGGAGTGCGATGAAACGTGTAGGTGGAAAGGGAGCTAGTTTTGGCAAGTGGATTGTACACACTGGACTAAGACTTGGGAGACCTGAGTTCAAATCCTGGCTTTGCCCCTGGCCTGCTGGGTGATCTTGACCACGTGCTGTCCGTGTTTCTGGGAGTTTGGGTGACTAGTGCTTCAACGGCACTGCACCTGGTAAGAAGCGTCTATAGGATGAGGCCCTAGGACTGGACTTGAGAGCTCAGTGAAGAATCGCCACACGATTCAGTGGGCTCCTAGGCCTTGTCTATACTGGTGGCAGCGTGTAGGGTCCATGTAGCTACACGCCGCAGTGAAACACAGGCTGCGTGCATGCTGCAGTGTGTAGCTACACGGGGGCAGTGAAAGGCTCTGGTGGGGATAGGCAATGGGGAAAGGGTCCGGCAGCGGGTAGGCAGCAGGACACTACATTGCTTTAAAAAAAGAAAAAAGGAAAAGTGTGGATGGGGAGGCACCGTTTGAGAGCATAGCGAATCATGCAGGGTACGTACCCTACGGTTCTGGTGGGTCTAGACTCTACTCACCTAAAGTCATGCTGTTTAGGCTGCACACTCCCCAACATAGCTATATATATGCTCCATGCCACCGGGAGTGTGCCGTGTAGACACACCCTTCTGAGTGGCTTTGAACAAATCCTACCAGGTGGCTGTTTTTTAACTCCCATTCACGGAGTCGGACCTGGGTTTGGTTTGGGCTCGGCTCAGGTTTGGTTGTATTCAGTGCGTTCGGGTTCAGTTCCGGATCAAGCCACCGAAAAACGGTAACGGTGACCAGTTGGACCAGTTCCAATCAAATTCCAGTCAGCGTGGAAGTGCATTGAAAAAAGCGAGTTGAAACTTAAAACTGAAACTTTTTTTTTTTTTACCATTTATTTTTTTAACTTTACGTGAGTTTCCTGGTGGGTTGTTTTTTTTTTTTTTTCCTTTGCCTGGTCAAATCAACGGGATTATTATTTTTTGTTAGGAACAATTTGAGCAAATTAAAACAGCATCTGCTAATATTTGCTCTTTCATCTTGGGCCTCTGCCGTGAAGGAATAAATCGGAGTTTGGAGCCTGGGCCCTGCCTCAAGTGGGGTGCCTGGAGGGAGGAGCTGCCCCAGGTGGTGGGAGGAGGCTTGAGGCGTTATTTTAACCTTTGGGACCAGAGAGCGGGCCTTTTACATAGCAACGTGTTCTGTGCAGGCAACTCCCCAAGCGTCTCCTCTCCTTCCCTACTCTTGTGGGCTGGTCTACTTCTATTCTCCTTCTCGTCTCATCGTACGGGGGCAAGGCCTTTCTGGGAGTCGGCACAGGGCTGCTGGTTATTTCGTTGTTTAATAATGACAATAAGATCAGTCCTTTTTTTTTTTTTTAATATTGATCTTAAAGTACGCAGACCCTTTATTTTAGCTGGTAACCCCAATTTTTTTTTCAGTTCAGGTTCTAGATAGGACAAACGTATGGTTTGTTTGGTTCCAGTTCAAGTAAAAATACCCTTTTGAATGGGTCCCGGTTCCACGCCCTGTCCGTCACCCCTGCCCTGTGCTTGGGTGTACGGGGCCAGGGCATGCACTTAACATGGACACATGTCTTGCTTCCAGGAGGTGTTCAAAGAAAGGATCGGCTACTCCCACTTGTTCGAAGTTTTCAGGAGCCAGAGCCAACCCACCGCCCACCTGCTTGAGGAGCTTCTGAACATGGTAAAGACGGAACTCTGCTGCGGGGCAGCTCATGGCTTCGCAATGCCCGGCCCCAAGCGTCCCGTTCCCCAGACGGGATTGGCGGGGCCGGGGATGTTACAACACTGCTGTGTGGCCAGGCCATGGCTAGAGGCTTGAATCTGGTACTACCTCAGCCTGGCCCTTTGCCTCAGCCAGTAGAGGCTGAGGGTTTTAGAGCCAGAGGTCCTGAGTTCAATCCCCGTTGCTGGCGACGCACCCAGGGCTATTGCTAATTGTAGGACTGCTAGAGTCAGGGGGAGGAGGGACACATGGGTTACAGCCCATCTGCTTTCTCACGTGCAGCCCAGTGAAGTAATAAAATGCAGCTGTTCTCCTTCCTTATAGAGCACAGTCCTTTGCTGGTCCCTCTTCACTCCCCAGTACAGTGGTTGTGATTCCTTGGTCTTGACCTTTTATAGTCTCTTTTGCAAGCCCCTTTGGAGCCAGGTGGAAATTGGGCCCATGCGAGGGCAGTGCCATGTTTGCTGACCTGTGGTCTGTTTTGTGCCTTTCCGCTCCGTCCCTGCCTTGTGAGCTAAACCAGCCGGGTGAGTAACTGCAGCTGTGTCCTTGCACTGAAGATCGAGGGCACGATAAGGAATGAAACTCACAACAAACACACCATTGTGTAGTGCATCAGGAATCCTCAGTGCGGATCGCCGCAAGGAAAAGCTCTTTTCCGTGAAGCCACAAGTGCAGGGAGCCCGGCCCCCCAGTGCCATTGAATCAGGCAGCTCCTTCGTTTCCAGCACGCCCTGGAACCAAGGCAGCGTAGGCCAGAACGCATGCCCGTGTGCCTGGGGGCTGTTCTCCGAGCAGGTTTACATGCGTTTGCAGGCCCTGGGCTGGACTCTGCCAGAGGGTATGGTTACATTCGAGCTGCAGGTCCGAGTTCCAGCTCAGACGGATGTACCCGCCCTAGCTTTAATCGAGGTAGTGCGCTAAAGGTAGAAGCGTAGTCCTGGCGGGATGGGCTAGCTGCCCCTAGCATGATCCCGCCTGGGATCCTAGGTATGTATCCTGCTACCCACGCTGCCGCAGCGACACTCGTGTTGTTAGCCTGCTAACTCAACAAAAGCCATGCGTGTGTCCGCCCAAGCTGGAACCGACCCGGCCAGCTGCAGAGCCGTAATCTTCCAGCGTCGCACAGGTAGAGATCAAAGGCAGCTAAGAATAGTTATACCCATTAAGGGACCTGGAGCTGCCCCAAGATGGCTGAGGATAGAACCCGTCTCCTGCCTCCTAGCCCCGGGCCATGTCCGTGAGATGGTACTGCTCCCTGCGGCATGAGTAGGGCCCTACCAAATTCACGGCCATGAAAAACCCGTCACGGACTGTGAAAATTGGTCTTTTGTGTGTTTTTACCCTATACAGTACAGATTTCACGGGGGAGGCCAGTGCTTCTCAAATGGGGGGTCCTGACCCAAAAGGGAGTTGCAGGGGGATTGCAAGGTTATTTTAGGGGCATCACAGTATTGCCACCCTGACTTCTGCGCTTCCTTCAGAGCTGGGCGGCCGGAGAGTGGCAGCTGCTGCCTGGGCACCCAGCTCCGAAGACAGCGTCGCCGCCAGCAGCAGCGCAGAAGTAAGGGTAGCAGAACTGCAAACCCCCCCCCCCAATAGCCTTGCGGACCCCCCTCCCCCAACTCCTTTTTGGGTTAGGACCCACTGTGAAATTTCAGATTTAAACAGTTGAAATCAAGAAATTTTGATTTTTAAAATCCTATGACCGTAAAATGGACTGTGAATTTGGTAGGGCCCTAGACATGCGCAAAGGGCCCCAGTACAATCAAAGGAATACAAATGAGGCGTCTGTTCCACCTGTTAGCTTGTCTCTGGGTGCAGCGAGTCAGGCATAGCCCTTGGCTTTCCCGCTAGAGATCAGGTTAAGGTTTCTCTGCCTTCAAGGGAAGAGACCCGATTACTCTAGGTCCCAGAGGAGGGGGAGCTCGCAGAATGAGTCATTTCCCTTAATTAGCTTGTCAGCTCAAGACAGTTGGAGATGCAAAGGGCAGGAAGAAAGCCTTGCTGGGGGAAGATGCCTTGACAATGATAAGGCAGCAGAGTTCTCGTGTTAGAAACGCGAAAGGTTATTTCTCCATTTGCAAGTTATGGGATGTCTCGGCTGCAGTTTTGATGTCCGTTCAAGCAATGCCATCATCCGCAGCGCTTGGCTTCCTCAAAAGCAGCTGCTTCATCACAGCCCTGAGGACAGAGGAATTAAAGCACGCCAGGGGGTCTGTGGCACTGGGGGATGGGGCATGAAGGGTGACATTAATAAGGATCTAGGTCTGATGGGAACGGACATCCATGGAGCCATTGAGAGCTTTCCGCTTGCAAACCATGAGTGAAGCGGTTTGTGGGGGGCCCCGATCCAGGATTGGGGCCCCTGCGCTATTGCCATGCAAATAATAAATAAATGGACGTAGCTGCCAAGCAGCAAAGCCATTTCTGTGTCTTCAGAAGACTCCAGAGGTGCAATTCTGGGGCATTCACAGCCCCTCGGTCCTGTCGTCTGAGCGATGTCATTTCTAGAGGATGCTGGTTTGCGTCTCACCCTTAAGTGCACAGATACATGCTTACAGCCTGGCTTTGTATCCGATCTTCTTACTGACCTGGAGAGAGGCTGCAAATGGACTCTGGGGGTGTCAGCTCCTTTTCCTGGCACCCAGGCCACATGTCTGGGTGTTGCCTTGTCCAGAAGTCTTAACTGGCTGATAAAATATTTCCACACGCAGTGAGTAGGAGGAGGAATTCATCCATAATCGAATTCCCTCTACAGTGCAATGATGCCCCTGGTTGGCTTGGGTGCAGGGACTGAACCAAGGACCTCTGGATCTAAACTCACGGCCTTTTAATGCCTGAGCCAAACTTCCAGTATCAGGGCAGCAGTAGCTAGCTCATAAACCAGCCTCCGGACAGGGGCAAACCACATGCTGAACGTCAGTGACGTGGGTCCTGTGGGCGGAGCAGCTCACCTACCCTGGTGGTGTCTGGGATTGCAAGGTGTTGTTTCCACAGCTGGTGATGAGTTAGGGCTGGTGGGAGCCTCACACCCCTCTCCTCCACTGGCCCAGCCCCCTTACCTTTGTATGCCCCTCTCACCTCCCACCCCTGGCTGCACGTGACCTTCATGCCCAGCTGGTTCTCAGCTGAGCCTCGGTGTGTTGCGCGTGCCAGTCTGTGTGGAGTTGTGCATAGACACCGCCAGAGGCGACGTGTGGGAGAGCATTGGGGGGGGGGGTCAAGTGCCCCCCTAGATTGGTGGGGCAGGAGAGGAGCTCTGTCCTTCTCTCCCTACGCCTCTCCCTGGCAGCTGGGAGGGGAGCGGGATGGAGCTGCTTCTGCCTGAGGGAGCCTGGCTGGGAGGCAGAAGAACATGCACGGGGGAGCACAGGGAGAGGAGGACCGAGAGCCCCCCCGCCCGCCCCCCCCCACAGCAAGTAACATGGGGCAAGGATTGCGTTGCAGCCCCGGGCTGCGGGAGGGGTCACTGGGCAGGGGAGACACGTGTTCGGGGGGGAGGTCACGTGTCCTCCCCTTTAGCATGCGTCTCCGTATACTGGGAGCACACTAGTCATCTGCAGATGCTGCCATGCGTGGTGGGATGGCGTTCTCCATGGTTTGGAATGCCCCATGATGCATTGCAGCAGCACAAGTGCCACTGAGCCCGGTGGCCCGTCCGTGGGCTAAGCGCAGAGCAGGCCGGGTGCTGACCCTGCCGGAGGGCAGTGGGGAGGTGGCTGGTGCGCCCTTCGGCCGAGGGACATGACCCTGTGGCTTCTGTCTCGCCAGGCAGTAGAAGGAGACCACAGCGCCTTCCCCGTCCGACTCATCCGCAATGAGCAGCCGTTGCTGATGCTCATCGCGTGGCTCCCTGAGCTGAAGTCACGGGACCTGCAGGTGTTCCTGTCCGACTGGCTGAAGAGGATCTGCGACGCTTCCCTGCCAAGCCGCGTGACCTGCGTCAAGGCAGGGATGGTCAGCTGCCTCCTGGACACCCTGCGTGCTGAGCAGGAGCTGGACCGGAAGTGCTCCAAAAACCTCATCTACCTTCTGCAGGTGCTAGGCAGCCTCTCCATCCGGCCGCAGGAGCTCCGCCAGCTCATCAGGCTGCTATGGACCGAGCCCGGCAAGGGGCCCCACCCTTATACCACTCTGGTCATCCGGGCGCTGTCTGGCATGGCAAGGAAGGACCAGTCTGAGAGGGCACTGCAATACTTCGACCTGATGCCAAGCATGGCCGGAATTATGGTGCCGGCCATCCAGAAATGGCCCGGGAGTGGCTTTGCCTTCCACGCCTGGGTCTGTCTGAACGAGGAGCCCGAAGGCTTGCCGGATCTGCCTACGAGGCTGAAGCGAAAACAGCTATACAGGTAGGGCGTGTGGAGGGGAGTGGGCTATGTCCAACTGCCTCCTTCCCTTCCTTTCATGCGAACGGGAAACCCATTGTAGATCCCTGGAGTTTGGAAAGCAGCCAGCCAACAAACACAGTTTTAAGAACGGCAGGCTGTTGTCTCACACCTTTATATGACTAGTTTGAATTATTTAGGCGACTGAGTTGTTACTGTGGTCTGCTTTGTGGAAGTGCTGGGTTCCTTTATCGTAGGATCTTGCCTAGAAACGGCAGTTTGTGTTGACAAGCGGTGACTGTCGCCATTCAGGACAACTGCACCTGTATTTCCTCTCGTGGTCTAGCAAGAGTACCCTTTCTCGGCTCCTCCGCCATCACCGCATTTGGTACAGACCCATGTCTCCCTCCCTCCTGAGTGGGGTCTTTCCAGGCTGCACAGCTCCCTTCCTACACTGTGATATCCCTGAACAGGCTATGAACAGTGTATTGCCAGCAGCTCTAAGTTCCCAGCCCTTTCCGAGCAAGCACATTTATTCTTGAGGTGAAAGCATGACAAGGAAAACTTATGGAACACAATCAAGAACACCCCCCACCACACCCAGCTAAGCTTACCAGAGGTCACCCATCAGCCTCATTGGGACCTTACGGGCTCAAGTCCTTCCAACCCTTCCCAGGAAGGATTGCCCCGACCTTCCCCTCTTAGAATCATAGAAGATTAGGGTTGGAAGAGACCTCAAGATTATCTAGATTATTAGATTATCTAGTCTAATCCCCTGCTCAAAGCAGGACCAACACCAACTAAATCATCCCAGCCAGGGGTTTTGTCAAGCTGGCCCTTAAAAACCTCTAAGGAAAGAGATTCCACCACCTCCCTAGGTAACCCATTCCAGTGCTTCACCACCTTCCTACTGAAAAAGTCTTTCCTAATATCCAACCTAGACCTCCCCCACTGCAACTTGAGACCATTGATTCTTGTTCTGTCATCTGTCACCACTGAGAACAGCTGAGCTCCATCCTCTTTGGAACCCCCCTTCAGGTAGTTGAAGGCAGCTATCAAATCCCCCCTCACTCTTCTCTTCTGCAGACTAAATAAGCCCAGTTCCCTCAGCGCCTCCTTTTAAGTCATGTGCCCCAGCCCCCTAATCCTTTTCATTGTCCTTCGCTAGACTCTATCCAATTTGTCCACATCCCTTCTGTAGTGGGGGGACCAAAACTGGACAAAATACTCCAGGTGTGGCCTCACCAGTGCCAAATAGAAGGGAATAATCACTTCCCTTGATCTGCTGGCAATGCTCCTACTAATACAGAACCATATGATAGATCTGGTTCTGTGAGGTGCTCACAAACTAGTGTGATGGAGGCTAGATAAATACTTACAGCAGAATTGATAGCTAAGCTCCAGCCAGGCCAAACTCAGGTCTGTCCCACCTGTGCAGCTCAAGCGTTGACAGTAGGGGTGCACGGTGCAGCTTTGGGCAGAATCTGAAGACCACAGGGTCGCGGCTCTAACTTGGAGTGCTGATCCTTTATTACTGGTGGTGATGCACGGGATGAGAAGAACCCAGCTTGACTCTCAGAGCCCAGGGTGAAGTAAAACCCCACTTGGGCGTAGAAACTTCCCCTTGAGTACTGGTCAGCATGGGCGGCGGGTACAATAGGCCAGGGGACCCCCGGTTGCGGAGTTTGGTGGCAAAGATTTTGCTTTATTATGCCCCGTGCAGATTCTGGGACAGCTGAGGCACATACCACCTCTTCAGGCACCCCGGAACCTGCATGGGGCATATCAAAAGCGTCTTCTAACAGATGCTTTCACCCGGGGCAGGTTGGGTCCGGGGAGGGGAGATGTGGCGCAGCTTCGGCCAGCCTGGGGCTCCTCTGTGGGGGGGTTTGGGGCTCCGGCCACGGGCCGGGGAGGGGGGGCAGCAGGGGATCTCGGGGCACCGACCATGGGGAGGGCGTGGGCGGAAGCGGCAGAGACGGGGGCTAGCCTCCCCAGCAGGGGTCTCCACCCGACGCCCATGCTCGTCAGCTTTTCGCAAAGGAAGCTAGACTGGTGCCCAGCGGGTCTCGGTCGCTCCCCCTGCATCCAGGGCTGGGAGAACTCGTGCTTTAAATCCCCTTCTGAGCACGGCAGGTAGCCTTCCTCGAGGAGAATGTAAGAACCCCATCTGGTGTCTTTCTCCTTCCCTTCCTGTTCTGTATCTTGATCATCTTCGCTTTACTGTGAGCTCAGTCTGATTCCGATCATCCCCATCTGTCTGATTTTTCATCCTTCAGTGATTCACTCGACCCTCCCACTCCAAGCTGTCTGCAACCATTCTCTCTGCTGGTTTGACTGTCCTCCAGGCTTTTACTTCCAGCGGTGTGTTCGTTCACACACCTCCCACAGCTGTTCCCTTCCACTTTCTCCCTCTGGCCTCCAGGGCCTCGGGCCAGCTTCTAACCCCGAAGTCACGGTCCTCCCTCCTCCTTGTGACTCCCCCCTGCAGCTTTTTCACGGCCAGCGGCACCGGCTTCGAGGCGTTCTTCACGGCCGACGGGATGCTGGTGGTGGCAGTGTGCACCAAGAAGGAGTATATGACGGTGGCGCTCCCGGACTTCACCTTCAACGATTCTGCATGGGTGAGTAGTGTCGCTTTATGCTGGGATGAGACATCCCCTTTCATTCCCGTGCCTTCTGTTCTGGTGACCCTATGCCCTTCCATTGGCCTTACCTGATGAGTTGGTCCATCAAGTCTTCATCTTGCTTGTGACAGTCTCGAATTCACTTGGCCACAGGGGGGTGGGGTCAGCATACAGCCTGAAATGTGACTTGGGTCTGTCTGATTGGTATTGTCCGGCCTACTTTAAAACTAGCCCCTGCAATGGCTGTGCTGGAGGTGCCAGAGAATTCTGCCCTTTGCCCATGTGCCCTAGCGTTTCCTGCATCTGTTCTGAATCGACAGGCTGTTCATGTCGTGCAGCGACCCTCTGCTCTGCAGTTACAGCAGTGGGTTTCCGCTGAGCCCTTTCGTCACTGGGGGGGATCCTCCTCCCCTCCCCCAAAAGACTGAGGCCAACCTATTTAAACGTGGGGGCAGCACCTGATATGAAGACAACATGATGGTCAGGATGCAAATTGCTAGGATCGCGCTTAGCAATCGCAGCGGAGATCAGGGCCCAGTTGTGCTAAGCGCTGCGTATGCATGGATTGAGAGACAAAGAGCTTACAGTCCAAACAGCCACCGGGTGGCAGGGGCAGCAGAGGGCAAGTGACTGGCCCAAGGCGACTCAGGAGATCAGTGGCAGAGCCAGGAATAGAACCCAGGTGTCCTGGGGCCGGTACCCCCTCCACCGGACCATATCTCAGGCTGGTGTCTGTAGGTGGAGCGAGACAGCAGCAAACAGGAACATGCAATTCAGGAAGCAGTAGTCCAGGGTCTCTTTAGTGCCTCACTCAAGGCAGTAGATCAGACTTGGTTTCCCCTCTATACAAGGAGATAGTGAGGCTCAGAGGTGAAGTAACTTGCTGACGGTCACAGAGGGGAAGGTTCATAACTGGGTTCACCACAAAACTGGAGAAATCCGTGGATTATAGGGTCCAGCCAAGCTGGTCAGGGAAGCAGAACCATGCTCGGGGTGACCCTAAACCTCTGACTGCCAGAAGCTGGGAGGGGAAGGCAGAGATGGATCTCTCCAAAATTGCCCTGTTCTGTACGCTCCCCCTGAAGCTCTGGGATGGGATACTGGACTAGAGGGACGATCAGTTGGGCCTGGTATGGTCATTCTTAGGATCTGACTCCCAGTGCCTTCACTGAAAGCTCTGAGACCTGCAGACACATCCTGGTGTAACGCCGACAGACCCCAGGCTTCGGCGGGCGGGATCGAACCTGGGACCTCTGGAGCTTAGTGCATGAGCCTCTACCGCATGGGCTAAAAGCCAACTGGCTCTTAACGAAGGCTGTAGAGCAAACTCATTAATATCTCTCTCTCTCTGTGGTCTGGGTGCCACTTGCTGGGACAGAACACCGCACCCAGCAGGTGTGTGGGTTACACTATTTCAGACAGACGTTTGCTAAACACTGCTGCAGTGTCAGGTCTGCCTTGAAAACGAGCAGCTGGCTGTTCAGTGCAGCATCCCTGTTACTGCTCCCACTGCAGCTGTATGTACTTGGGCTGCGAGCATGTCTCTGACAGGCTCCCCCAAGCTTCTCGGGGTGGAGCCGTACCAGCGCTTGCCTGGGAGACCTTTCTGGAGAGCCCCGAGGTCAGGGGTGGGCAAACTTTTCGGCCCAAGGGCCACATCGGGTTTCCAAAATTATATGGAGGGCCGGTTAGGGGAGGCTGTGCCTCCCCAAACAGCCAGGCGTGGCCCAATCCCTATCTGACCCCCCCACACTTCTTGCCCCCCACACCGCCCCCCCCCCCGGGACTCCTGCCCCATCCACCACCCCTTGCTCCCTGTCCCCTGACCGATCCCGGACCCCTCGCCCCTGACTACCCCCCACTGCCCCCATCCAACCCCCTCCCTCATTCCTGATGGCCCCCCCAGGACTCCTGCTCCATCCAACCACCGCTTCTCTCTGTCCGCTGACTGCCCCCCGCCACTCCATCCAATCCCCCCTCTCCTTCCTGACTTCCCCCTGGGACCCCTGCCCCCCGTTCAACCTGCCTGTTCCCTATCCACACCCCCACCCCCTGACCACCCCCTCGAACTCTCCTGCCCTCTATCCAACCCCCCCTACCCCTTGCGCGCTTCCTGGAGTGCTACAGCCGAACCGCCCGGCTGGAGTCAGCCATGCCACCGCGCAGCATGGAGCACCGGGTCAGGCCGGGCTCTGCCGCTGTGCTGCCCGGCAAGACCACGCAGCCCCCCCCGGCCAGAGTGTTGTGCCAGCGGCATGGTGAGCTGAGGCTGCGGGGGGCGAGCTTCACGGGCCAGGAGCTCAGGGGCCGGGCAGGAGGGTCCCGCGGGCCGGATGTGGCCCAGGGGCCGTCGTTTGCCCACCTCTGCCCTAGGTGCTTGAGCAACGCATGGGGGATTCAGGAGGTGGCCTTCTTCCATGTGAGTCGCTACTGAGTCAGCCGCCCAGCATGGAGGTGGCACCGTGCTGCTGGACCGACCGCAGCCATCATGGCTCCGACTGCACCTTTCCCGAGCGCAGAGGTGCTTCACCGCACCCCCCGGCCCGGGCTCTGGCTGGCATTCTGCTGCAGTTTCAGTGGGGTACGGTGTGTTTCACCCCCTGCCCTACGGTGCTGGGGAGCAGCACTGCTGGGTCTTGCTTACGCCGCTGGTGCCTTCCACCCGGAGGAGGCTGCCCGTACGTCCACCGCAGCCTTGAGACGCTGAACCTCCATTGATCTGTTATCTGGGCTCCTCTCGGGTCCTGAGCTGCCCCCAAGTCCGGGAGGAGATGGCTTGGGTTGGGGGCAGCTGGCGGCGGGATCCTTGATGATCTGGCAGGGGAGAGTCTGGGAGGAGGGGATCCGGAAGCCTGAGTGTCTGGCGTTTGGAAGCGGGGAAGGAGCGTAGTTGGGGCTCGTGCTTGCAGGTCGTTGGGCTCATGCTGTGTATAGTCAGTAAAGGGGCAGGGTTGAAGCCGACGCTGACTCTCCCCTGCCCGGCTCTCTCCTCCAGCACTGCATCGACATCGTCCACGTCACCGGCCGCCGGCCCTTCGGCCAGAACCTGGTCAACATCTATACAGACGGGCAGCTGCGGCAGGTGGCTCAGCTGCGCTTTCCCTCCCTCAATGAGGTAACGCGGGGGGACCGTCTGGGTGCTGCTGCCTTGTTCCCATCCTTCCCCTCCCTGCTCTCCTGGGCCAGGCCCCTCGCCTCCTAGGTGACCCAGACAGATCACGCTCTGTCCTGCCGCCCCCCCACGGCTTTCCATTGCTGACTTCTTTAGTTCCCTTCTCCTCTGGCCCTTCCCCTGTACAGCGACGTGCAGGTCGTGGGGGAGAGCAACTCTGCTCTCACGCTTTTGAGGGTGCTAGGGCTGAGGAAGGTTACTTGAGCCCGATTCAGCAAAGCATCCTTGCTTAGGACAGGGCTCCGAAGCATGGGCTGAACTTGGAGTAAGCGCTGGGCTGAACTGAGACCAGGCTGAGTGGTTTCATCCCCGTCAGGATGGAAGGGGGAGGGTGAGAGAGAAAGATCAAGCGGGGGTTGGGGGAGGCGTGTCAGGTAAAGGTCAGATCTGAAGGGCCTGACTTGGGAATCTGCTGGTGGGCAGTGGCGGGGTGGCGGGGGGCACCTTGGATGAAGTGATGCCAGGCCATGGAGCCCCACCTCCTGCCGGTGGGGAGCAACCATGCCCAGGAGAGGCTGGGCGGATGTGCGTCAAGAGAACACTCCCCTCGGATGCTCTCGGTTATAAAGGAAACCCTCGGGGGGAAGGGCCTGATCCCAACTCTGCGCAGGAGGTTGCTCCTTCCTGGGCACCCTCACGTCTCTTCCCATGGCGCTGGGAGAGGTGCCCATCCGCCCTGCACGGCCGGTCACGCTGTCTCCTGAGCCGCCTTGCCACCCTCGGAGTTTGAGGGGCTCAACCCGGCTACCAGCTGGCTTTCCCCATTGGCCTGCTCCTCTCCCTGCTTTGGGTTTAACCCCTTCCTGGGTAACCAGCGCAGTTCAGAGCCTGGCTGGTGGGGAGCGCTGTGTATGGTCTTCGGGGTGCCTAGGGCATCCATGGTGTGAATCGCTGGGGGATTTGAGCAGCAGCCTGTAGTCGAATCTCACCGGGCGGATGTCCTCGTGTCAAATGCAACGGTGGTGCCGCAATAGCCGTGCCGGCCTCGGAGCGCAGGGCGTGGGCAGAGAGGCTTGGGCGTACCGGTCGGCACAGGGTGTGGTTTCCTCTGCACTCCGCGGGTCCTTCCGACAGCAGCCTCCAGACTGTCCCTGGATCTCCTGGGCAAGGGACCGCCAGTGCAGTTCTGGAGTCGGGCTTCCTGCAGCCCGGCTGCTGAACAGGATGAGGGAGGCGCTGGGCAGCCAGCGTGCTGAGCCAGGCTCTGCCCCATGAGTGGCTGCTCGTCGGCGGATGATGATGGGGCTCCCTATGAGCATCGGGGTCCCTCTGCATGGAGCAGCTGGCAGGGCCAGGGTCTAAAACCCAGGGCATCTCCCAGCCAGTGTGTTAAACACAGAAATGCTGCCTTGGGCCAGGGTTCTCCCTGGCTCATTGTCTAGGTGACTGAGAACTGGAAGAGGTAAGAACACCACAGCGGCGCCTCCTTTGACCCGAGGGAGATGGATTGGGTGGGTCCTACGGTAATAGTCTCGTTCATCTCTGCTGCCTTGGATTCTGGTATCTGAGCCATAACGTTAGGCCATAGACCAACTCCCAGAGACCCCATCGCCATTCAGTATTGGGAGGCTGCTCCGGCTCAACAGCAACCCCTAGCTGCTGAGGGGAGACCCAGGAGCCTCCTTTCCCATCGTGCGCTGCCCGATCTGGTCTTTCCAGGGGCCGGTGGTGGAGGGCAGGTCCTAGTCCCACATCTTTGGGTGGAGGAGGAGGGCTCAATCACCGTGGCTACAGAAAGGAGAAGTCGGCAGCCACCTGCCGCTCTGGTCTCTGGGAACATGACGCTTCCTGCTCGCATTGCGGCAGCACCAGGAGACCCTAACCAAGGACAGGGCCCCAGTGTGCTCGGCGCTGTACAAAGGCGCGTAAGAGACAGCCCCTGCCCTGACGAGCTTTCAGTCTAAATACAAGTCAAAGGGCCTGGGGGGGAGGGGGCACTGGAGGAGCCGCGTTACCCTCCTCTCCTGGGCTCCGTGCAATTGTTCCCTCTCTCTCTTTTCAGTCGTTCACCTCGTGTTGCATTGGCTCTGCCGGCCACCGGACGACGACCACCTCCACGGTCTACCCCTCGCCTTCCCACTCGCCGGAGCCAGCCTTCCCCTCTCACCCCTCCCTCAGCCGCTCCCAATCCTTCCCTGCCTCGTTGGCCACGCACTCCTGGACTCCCGGGGCCGCTCAGCCCCCCAGAGAAGGCCAGGTGTCTACAACCGTAGCAGGGAGTCAGGACACGGAGTGGGGGACCCCTACGTCCCTTGAAGGGCACCTGGGATCGGTGTCCATCTTCTGTGAAGCCCTCCAGCAGACCCAGGTCAAAGCACTTTTCTCCTCAGGTAGGTTCTGGGTCTCAAAGGGAGAATCTCCCCCTTGGGTGCCTCTCCTCGCTCAGTGAGCCGGTCTGAGGCGTGGTATCCCTCGTGCAGCTCTGGGGACGGCCCGGAAGGCTGTTCCCCTGCTGCAGGGGGGTTTTTGTAGGGGGGTGAAGCAGGAGGAAGAGGGGCAGTAGGGATCTCTCGGAGGCCTCGGCCCTGCAGGGCTCAGAGCAGTGCTAGCTGTCTGACACAAGTCGCTGCTGGTGGATTCCGACCCTGAGTCCCGGCGGGGCCGGGAACGTGCTGAGGAATTTGTGGGAGCTGCCCCCCACTCCCGGCAGCGTGGCTGGGGATGGCGGCGCCCCACCCACACCCCACCGGTGCACAGACAGTCCAAGCTGCGCAGTGATTCCAGAGCACCGATAACGCGGTCTGGGCCGCAGGGCCGAACAGGGTGTTTAACCAGATGGGTCCTGCTGCAGGATGGATTTCCACAGCCTGGATGGGCCCCCACACTCCCTATCCCCAGAGTGTGCGCTAGCAGGGTGTGAAGCCCCACCGTGCCGAGTGCACCGCTCCCCTGGCTTGGGAGGGCACTGGGCACTCTTGGTAGAGGCTGCCCTGGCAGGGACCCGTGCTGGGAGGGAGAAGGGGACAGGTCGCTCTTGCACAGGGGCCAGGCCCACGGGGGATCAGACCAGGGATAGCTGTACTGATCTCTGCACTCATTGACCAGTAGGGTCAGCCCCAGGGGGAAGCACGTGCTCGGCTCTCTGGGCCAGCCCGGCAATGGGGTGCCTGTCGCTCGCTCACCCCACTCTCCGTTCCCTCCCGCCCGCAGGACCAAACGTTACGTCACCACTCAAGCCAGAAGGCGACTTCCTGGAGCTCAGCAGCAAGCTGCTCCTCTACTACACGCCCCAGGTAAGGAGCGACCTTCCTGGGCACCTCTCTGCGGTTCGGTCCCTGCCGGCCCCATCTCGAGGGATTGGCACGGCCGGTGCTGCTGGGGGTTCGCTGGGCCGTGCTCAGAGGGCTCGGAGAGCGCGCTCCATTGAACACTGGCCAGCTCTCCAAAGGGGCTGGGAGTTTGTGGGTGGAGCTGGAACGGTACGTGGATAATGGGCGTACAGAGATGAGGTGACCAGCTCTGTATGGAATTACCAGTGTCCTGGGCTGGGCTGGCCCGGCCCATGGTGGCAATTGCTTTATACAGTTCTGGGACCTTCCTCATTAGGGAATGGTAAATCCTTCAGTCTGGCCGGGTGCTGCTCTGCAGTTGTGGCAGAAAAGGAATGCCATACAGCAGCCAAAACGGATCCTCACCCCGCGCGCCTGCTCGGCCCGCGGCTCAGAAGAGTCCCCGCATGCCAGGAGCCTCTGGGTGTGGGGAGACATCACAGTCAACCTGCGGAACTCCTTGCCAGAGGATGTTGTGAAGGCCAAGACTATAACAGGGTTCAAAAAGGAACTAGATAAGTTCCTGGAGGATAGGTCCATCAATGATTATTCACCAGGATGGGCAGAGATGCTGTCCCTAGCCTCTGTTTGCCAGAAGCTGGGAATGGGCGACAGGGGATGGATCGCTTGATGATGACCTGTTCTGTTCATTCCCTCTGGGGCACCTGGCACTGGCCACTGTCAGAAGACAGGATATTGGGCTAGATGGACCTTTGATCTGACCCAGTATTGTCTGTCTTATGTTTCCTGTAGTAAACACGCAGCCCTTCAGGGGCTAGATCCTTCCTCCCCCGGTGTGTGTGGAGGCTAGAGTTAAATCACATGCCATGGGCTGCCAAAGTAGCTGCCTTCCCAGGGCTGCAAGTTCAGCACAAGTGACTCTGTGACTGTTTGAGGTTGCTGTTTGTAACAAGGGCTTTCCTGTGGGTGCGAAGGCCAAGACAGTGGAGCTGTTCTTTGTGCTAAAGCTCTTGGGCTGTCATCCGATGGGTCACGCCCACTGGGCTTCACTGCAGAGGAAGGGTTTGGTTTAGATTTCGATCTGCTGTCATCCTGGGGCTGCGAACCCCTCCGGGCCGGGAGATGATGGGTTCCACTGTGTGGTGGGACCTGGCTTTTACGGTCCACGTGGGTCGGTGAAGCAGAGTTTGTGCTGCACCATATTCTAGCAAGACAACACACACAAGTTTGAACCGTTCAGCGTCGTGAGTCCCCTGCCCAGAGCTGAGCGCACTGCTCCTCCAGAACTGCCTGGGGAGTAAGACATGAGGCTTGGGATATCAGTCGGGCTCTCCCATGGAGCAGTGCTTTGCCCAGCTGGGAAGCCTTTCCTTTAACTAGATCTCTGTAGCAGCCACTCTGACTCCTGATGACAAGGATTACGCAGACGGGACCCCCACTCTTGGTTCTCCTGGGTACATGGTGTTTTCCATAGGTGTGCTCGCTGATACAGCCCCTGCCTTGAGGAGCTTCCAATCTAACCAGACCAGACGAAGTAGTTATCCCTGTTTTACACAGGCTTGGAGAGATCAAGGGACTTGCCCAAGGTCACGCAGGAAGTTTGTGGCGGAGCTGAGGACGCTGGCTCTCTGGAGTCCCAGCCCAAACCCCAAGGCCACCTTTCCTCTCCTTCTCTCCCCTTGTGTCGGGCTGTCAAGGGCGATGGCTTATGCCAGGACAGGGAGCATGTGTGTGTTGCACCTGTTGGCATGGCCATAGTATGTGCTAAAGCCGTGTCATTTGCTTGCACCATTGTAGGCCTGTAAAAATAACATCTGCCTGGACCTGTCTCCAAACCGTGGTTTCGATGGGAGGCTGACCGGACACAAAGTGGTGAACTGGGATATCAAGGTACGGCTCTGCCTCTTGGTCTCTCCCGCCTCTTGGAGTTGGTGGACACTGGGCCAGCGAGGTTGGGACTCAGTGGGAAATGTGGTCTCGGGTAGCCAAGCAGTCCAGGAACTGCGGCTTCCTACCGCACTAAACTGGGATCAGTGCATCCTCACGTTGTCAATCGCATGGGTTCGATCACCCAGTTCATCTCCTTCCCTATGGGACATAGGCACCGACTCCATGGGTGCTCCTGCCCCAGAGCACCCACTGGCAGCCTTGCCAATCAGCTCCTCCCTTTATCCCAGCGCCTGCCACGATCAGCTGTTTGGCGGCGTGCAGGAGGTGTTGGGGGAGGAGGGGAAGGAGTGGGGGCGGGAAGTGGCAGAGCAGACGTGGGGGTTTGGGGGGAAAGAATGGGGGGGGGGGTCGAGCATCCCCCTGGGAACAGAGGAAGTCGGCTCCTATGCTACAGAACGCATAAGAGTGTGGGGGTGGGTCTGCTAAGAAGGATCTCCTGCACTGAGGCTAAAGAGGCTATTCTTCAGTTACATTTCACTGCCAGGGAGACTTTCCTGGCACTTTTCTTAATGCCATCCCATTCGCTCCTAGCTTCTCTCCCTGCATGGCCCTTGGATCATTCCTCTCTGACACTCCCACCCATAGGGTTCCCCTTGCCCCATTACCCCCTTACACTGAGCTTGGCTGAGCAATAATTGTTTGTACCCCATAGTCCCTTCAGCTCCCAGATCATTTTCCTTGCTCTTCTCTCAACCCACTACCAAGATATTGACGCACTGGAGGAACACTTGAACCCTGCATCCCAGGCTCCCGTGTCAGGATTGCAAAACACTGGCAGTCTTGTGCTGTCCAGGGTGCCCCCGCGGCCCACAGCGTACGGTCCACGGTCTCGCTGTGCGACTCGCGCACACACGGCGGCTAATCAAACGCTGCTCTAGGACAACAATCAGCCTGGCAGCGTTTTGAGACCAGTTGCCCAGAGGATGCAGAGACCAGTTTATTTGCTTTTAAGACCCTTGTGCTAACTTAAGCTTTCAGTCCTCTAGACCATTTAGATTCAGTGGGCCTTATTCTCTTCTACAAAGGAGTAGCCCCCCTGAGGTCAATAGAGTTAAACTGGTGTTGCTGACAAGGAGTCAGGCACAGCTGCTGAGACGCGCACACACCCGGATGGTTTTGTTGCACTGCTAAATGCTTGTTCCTGTTGTGATTGTTCCCCTGGCTGGTTGTTGGGTTCTGGCTCTGGGAAGCGGCGGCTGGCTCTCTTGCTGACTCCTAGGGGCAGTCTCCTGGCCTGAGCTGGCTTGGGCTGGAGGGTGTCTCTGGCTGGTAACTCGCCAGAGTCTTGCATGTTACTTACCTGAGCACTGCCCTGTAAGAGGCAGCATCAGCGCGGGCAGGGCAGGGGCTGGCGAGGACGGAAGCTCCCTGCCAGTCTCGGTGGATCAGCCAGGGCCCTGTATCTCTCTCTCCTCCTGTAGGACGTTGTGAACTGTGTTGGCGGAATGGGGGTGCTCCTCCCATTGCTGGACCAAGTGGCGGCCGAGAGAAAAGAATCGGAGGACAGCCAGGAAACCCACGACCTGGTTGGGCCAGAGCTGACGTCCTCGCGGAGTCGCCAAGGCATGCTCATCCCCCTGAGCAAGTCCTCCGGTGAGTGCAGCATCGGCCTGGCTATTGCTGGGAAAGCATGGGAGGGGGGCAGCGGGAGACCAGCTCCTCCACATGCCACTGGAGCCCTGAAATTCGCCTGGGCCATGTACCTACCTGTCCCTTGGGCAGCCAGCCCCACTCCCCCCCTTGGCAATAAGAGCTGGTCCCTGGCTGACCCTTCTCGTCCCCTCCTGCAGAGGGCAGACTGGAGAATAATGGCGTGGCTGCATTTCTGCTGCTGGTCAAGAACTTTATCCAGCATCACCCCGTGAACCAGGAGAGCCTGGTGCAGTGCCACGGGCCGGCAATCATTGGAGCTCTGCTGCAGAAGGTAAGAGACTTCCAGGGCCAGCCGGTCAGAGCCTAGGTCACCTAGGGAGCTAAACAAGGCGGTGCTGAGCCCAGGGCCTAACACATGGTGCATTAAAGCCAGCAGCTGGGCCACTGCATGTGCCTGCAAAGGGGAACGTCCAATCGGGGAATACACGTAATGCCAGCAGTGCTGGCTGCAACCCAGCTGGAACAAGCTATGATGGGTGACCTCTGCTCCCACTTGTTTTCGCTAGGGTGTTGACTCTGGAGCATACTGATGGCTTGATCGCAGAGGAGTTGGAGAAATAAAGAGTATTTTATACATGTTGTGGGGACACCCAAACACGTATCCCTTTTACCCCTCATGGTTAAGAGTTTATTCTCTCCTTCTCTCTCATCACCCGAAATGGCAAGTCCTCTGCTACCTTCAAGCCCCCTCTCTGGCTTGGGAAAACATCTGCCAGTCTTTTGTTGTGAGAGTTCTAACGCAGGTTCATTTTCTGCGGGTCACATGACTCGTAAGTCCCAGAATGCCCTGCGGCTGCTGGATGGAAATGGTGCCACCCACCCAGCTCTCACTGCTTTGCACTTGTCAGGTCTCCAGCCTCATGATGGACATGAACGTGCTGGTGGCGTTGCAGTCCCTGATGGAGCAGGTGGCTGCCGAGGGCCACAGCTTCCTGCTACACCTCCTGTACCAGTTCCTGCTCTTCGACTTCCGCATCTGGAGCAAGAGTGACTTCGCTGTCCGGCTAAGTAAGGGGGGATCTGGGGGTCTGCTTCCCAGCTGGGGCGGGCCTTGGCAGCTCACGGCTTCCCCCGTGTGGGTCAGGATCAGCAGCCTCCTGGCCAGGGTGGTTTGGCCGAGAGCTTGCTCCATGTCCCGACTGTCTCTGCTTGCGAAATACGAGTACGTACTTAATCTTCTGGATGTGTCTGCTCTCCCCCTCTCTTTCCCCAATGTCTGCAGGTCACATTCAGCATTTATCGAGCACCATCAAGGACCACAAGCAGAGGAGCCGCAAGAAATACGGGGTCCAATACATCCTGGACTCCATTCGGACATACTACGGGTGAGTTGTTAAAGGCTGGCTCCTGGCTTCCAGCTTGCCCCTGTTTGTCCCGGTGTGTTGGTTGAGCTGCTTTAACCCTTCAGTGCCTGGAGAAGAGGGGATGTCCTGGGGCAGCCCATGGGAAAGCTGAACCAGTTCCTTGGCTCCAGGCGGTCTGAGACGATGTTCTCTCCAACCTGCTCTGCCCAGGGCCCGTCCATTTCTTTTCCCTTATCCAAGGAGCTTCCGCACGCCAGTGGAGGCATGCGGTGGGGGGGGGAAACATGGGCAGCAGGTAACCCCCCCCAAGGTCGGTGAGGCTAGCCTGCTGCCCCGCCTCTTCCTCTTGAGGCCCCCACCCACCCGCCAGAACCCCAAGTGCCTGCCGCCCCCTCACCCCCCACTTCCGCGGCCTGAGGAGCCCCGGCTGCCCCGCCACCCCTGACCTCCAGCTGGAGCAGAGCCCCCGCCGGCTTCAGGGGAGATGGGGAGCATGGGCGGGGCCTCGGGGCAGAGCGTGAGCGGGGTCACACCTGGGTTAGGGGAGGCTTAACCTCCCCTGGCCTTCGATACCCGCTGCCCATGGCAGGCTGTTCTGTGGGCGCTTCTCAAGGCTGGAGTAGAACTGACTCCCTGGTGGGGCTGCTTTGCCCCGTTCTTGCCAGTTCTGCTGCTGCTTTCGGAGTCCCCCTGGACGCTGCGATTCTCGCTCCGTCCCCTCCCCCGGTTCGCCCTACGGCTCTGGATTCCTGCAGCCTGAGAGTTCCTGTCCTGCACGCCCCGCTGGGCAGCTCTGGGATCAGGGACCATGCCTGCCGCCGTTGGGGGCGAGGGGGGCTGGAGCCCTGTCGGGGGTGGCAGTATAAAGCGAAGCCAGGGGAGGCCGAGGAATGCTGTTCTCCCCCGTTTGCAAAGTTCCCGCCCTTTTCCCCTCACAGCACTCATAAGGAGAAGCCGATTCCCACGGACGACGTGAAGACGGTGCAGATGTCCCTGTTCAGCCTGGTGAAGGATTTCCTCAGCAAGAGCTTCTCTGCCGACGAGATGCAAAGCGTCCTGAACTACCTGGCTGCGGTGCATGATGAACACCAGGTGTGGTGGGGCAGTCGGTGTGGGGAGGGGTACCACTAGAGGGCAGCGCCTTGTGGTTAAGGTGCAGAATTGGAACTCGGGGGTGCTAAGTTCATTGCCTGGCCTTGCCACAGACATCCCCGGATGACTCTTCGTTTCTCTGGGCTTCCATTTCCCATCTTTAAAAGGGGGGGAGCGATCCTTTCTTCGTCCTGCCTGTTCAGACTGCAAGCTCTCCTGGGCAGGGACTCTCTTACTATGGGCTTGCACAGCACCTGGAGTCAGCGGAGTGACGGCGTGGTGCTCGGGAGGACTCTGTGTATTTGTGCTTGATCCAGCCCTGCAACCTGGGGTCTGGAAGCCAGGCTGTGTCCTTAGTGATGTCCCCAAGGAAGATCCCTGACCCAGCTCGCTCGGCTGCAGCGGGGCTGGCCCTGGGTAAAACTGTGTGGTGGTGAGCGATAATCTGTAGGACATGGGGACGCACAGGGAGCTGACTGGCTAAGGGCTTTGTCTCACCGGCCAGTTAGTGCGCGGCAAGCTGGGGCGGGAACGTACAGCGCGCTACCAAGTGTCCGTGCGGACCCAGCTGCCGTGCACTAGCGGGTCTGTTGTGCGCTCGGACCTGCTGTGGTTTGCAAGCTGAGATCCGGGCGCACCACGGCCCTTCTAGCGCACAGCAGCAGGGTCCTCGTGGCTAGGTAGCGCGCAGCAAAGGCACGTGCTGTAGATTCACACCCCAGCTTGCCCTGCTTTAACTGTCCATGTAGACAAGCCCTCGGGAGCTGTTTTTCCCAACCATAACAGCACCTTCGGCAACCCCCGTTACCATGAATATCCCACCTGAATCCCTGCCAGTCACTCGTCTGAGAGCCGGGGAGGCGTGGCTGTATCCTGAGGCAAGGCCGAAGGGTTGCTGGGTCTGGGGGTGATGGCCAGTCGGCGTACACGGGCCATCTCCGTCCAGGGGTGTAACTGCGTCTGTGGCCATTGCAGGTGTGTGGGGTTCTGGAGGTGATCCATGGCTTGCTGAAAGAACCGGCCTCCCAGGAGCAGCTCTACGCCTTCCTCTTTGAGTCGGGGAACGTGGAGATCCTGTTCTCGCTGCTCGTCCAGAGGAAGTTCTCAGACGAAGTACGGGAGAGAGTCTTCAAGGTGAGACGCGAGTCCTGGAGTCCGGCGTTGTCCGCGTCCCTCTGGCCTCCAGCACTAGGCCCCCGCCACTGGCCAGTGCCCGTGGTGGGTCCCCTCCCCTAAGGCCTGCGCTCACCCTCCCGCAGGTCCTGTACAAGATGCTGAAATACGAGAAGGCCCACGAGCGCAGCAAGTACCGCTTGAAGCTGAAGGACATCGGCTACCAAGGGCTCATATCGTATCTGAACGACATCCCGGTGTCCATGCTGCTCTTCCGGTGTCTCCTGGAGCAGGTCCTTGGCTCAGGTACAGCACCTGCCTTGAGGCTGTGGCCCTGCTGCGTTACCCAGCCAGGCGCGAGCCACGTGGCTTGGGGGGCGTGTTGCTAAAGAGAGCCTGGGATTTATGGAGCCAGGGGTCAGCCATGCGTTTCGGACCTGGGATCACCCGCCTGCAGCCGGTGGTCTCCACGGGAGGCAGGCTGTGCTGTAGCCCGGGAAGTGTCCGTTAGGTCAGTGCGCTGCAGGGCCGCGTCCCACGCCCGGTCTTGCTTCTCATCCCCCGCAGACTCTCCCAGCTACAAGGACCTGATGGCTGTGGTGTACCTGTCCCACCGGGCGGAGCTGGCAGTCAGGCTGGATACCTGCCGGAAGGTAGGACTGTCCGGCGTGGAGCCCTCGGGGCCCGCGGAGCCGGCAGAGGAGCGCTGCAGGCTTCCCTGACGGTGCACTGTTGCAGAGAGACGAGTCCACGTCACTCCCTGCACATACAGCCCCAGATGGGCTCAAACTTGGGCCTGGGGCATTAACCCATCGGGCCCCCAAGCCTCCCTAGTCAGCTGGCTCTGTCTCTTTACGTGCCCTCCAGGCCCCGTGTCCCTGGAAGCTGTTGCCCTCCAAAGGCGGCTGGGTGTCCTCAGGAACTGGCGTCTGTCACTGAGGCACTGCCCTGTCTCACGCCGATTGGCCATGCAGCCCGTGCCCCGAGCAGATGCACCTGCAGGCTGACCTGCCGTCTTGCCCTCTTGGTCAGGGCAGGGGCATATTGGCAGAGCCGTGAGCTGCCCTTGTTCCACAGACAGACAGACGCCATCCGTCTGCAGGGCTAAATGCAGACGCCCTGGATTACATCCCCTGTTGGTCTCAGCAGGGCTGATGGCGCCCCTCGCACTGCGCAGTCCTGGGTGACCGTGCTCAGCGGAGCCAGGCTTGGCCCCATCTCTCCACATCCCTCCCAAGAGCGGAGGGCGGGGAGAGATGCTGATTATCAGGAGCTGGAACCATGTGGGGCGGGAAGCCAGCTGAGCGGCCGGCTGGCTGCCGTGGAGACCTTTGAGGCAGCCGGTGTCACGAGGAGGGCTGGCCGGGGAAGGAGCCACGGAGCTGGCAAGGGTCCAGCGCAGCGTGGTCGAAGGCTTGCAGCCCTCCCTTGACGTCCCTGCCTCAGAACTCGGAGCCGTCCCCAGCGTGCCGCCGCAAAGGGGCGGAGGAACCCAAGGCCCGAACACATCCCTAGGGTGGTGGCTCTTGGTCTCCGCTGGATCGGTTTCAGCTGCTCACCAGATCTGGGCTTGTGGGGGATTAGTCCCCGCGGGCCTGTGGGTGTCTGAGCAGGTACTTGGGTGCTGCGTTGCTGGGGCTGTACGAGTACCTGGTGAGGTGAACGGAGCTCTGCTCAAGGACTGCGGGCGTGGCTCGGGCCGTTGCATCCTTGCTGCTGGACCCAGGCCAGCGGAGAGCATGGGGGCTGTAGATGTGGGAGCCCCGATTTCTGGGCTGAGGAGCGTCAGGCGTGACCCCGCTCCTGACCGCGCGTGAGGCCCTCTAAGGAGGATTCCCCTGCCCCATGGTGGGCTGTCTTGAGGGGTGCGGGAAGCAGTGGGCAGGCCCGGCGCCCTTTGTTAACCCAGTCTTGCCTGGACCGTGAGGGCTAGTCACTAGTGGACGTTGGGCGAATCCTTGTTTGCTCCAGTAAAGGCGGGCGAGTGGATTGTGCAGCTGAGCGCCCTGGCACTCGTGCCAAACTCCTCCCCCTCCGGCGGGTACGGGGAGTGGGAACAGGTCTGGTCGGCCACGCTGGTCCGTGATGTGCCCCATTCTCTCTTCTCCCTGGCTGCAGCTCTTCCACCTGATCTACTCCCAGCACGACATGGTGAGGCAGCTGGCGAAGCTGGCCGGCTGGCAGGACACGCTCACCAAGCTCTACGTCAAGGAGTCGTACGAGTCCCGCCAGCACAGTCTGAGCGGCTCTGCCAACGGGAGCTGTCTCGGCCTCCTGAAGCTCTCTGAGCACGGGGGCAAGGAGTCGGGCAGCGAGGCCGGGAAGGAGCGGCTGGACAGCACCAGCCATGCCCTGGCAGACCTTCAGGACCTGGATGTCTTCCTGCCGGTGGGCTTCGAGGCCTCTGACCACGAGCTTTCCGAGGGCTTCTCGGACCACTCCATCTCCCCGACTGGTGGCTCCAAGCCCTTCCGCTCCTATAACTTCAAATCCTTCGACTCCTTGGACCGCACCAGCCACTCCTCCTCCAATACTATCGACATCCCCGGCCAGGGGGAGGCCCCCTCCACCGACGCCCACCAGTTCGACGGCGTCTACCACCCGCTCTCGCCCTTCTGCATGTCGCCCTTTGACCTCGGCCTCGATCTGGCCAGCACCTGCTCCACCGCCACGGCGGAGAGCGGGAACCAGACGCCGGGGAGCTTGCCAGGGACCCCTTCCCCTCTGGAGTACTTCAAACCTTTCCCGGGCACGCAGGCTCGCAAAAGCTCCAGCCTCTCCAACGTCCTGGATGAAAGCAGCTACCAAGAGACTCTGGCCAGCGATGACGTCTCCAATACCAGTAACCCCCAGGTAAGCTGCTGCACCCCATGGCCGGCAAAGGAGCCGCTCTCCCGGCCCATGTTGAGAACATCCAGGGGGGAGCTGGCAGCAGTGGATGAGCAGGGATGCCGCTGTCTGCAGTAAGAGGGGTTCACGTCGATAAAATCGGGACATCTGGTCACCCTACAAGACCATGCCCGCTGGCAGCTGGCCTCCCCAGATGAAGGATGCCAGGGTATCTCTGCACCCCTGGATGCACTAGACCAGCGCTTTGTTGTTCACCTGTAAACCAGGTTCCCCCCTCTCCCCACCGTTCACCCCTTCCTGTTAATTTTTTTCCTCCGGTCCCCGCCATCTCTTCATCAGCATTTGATTCTGTGCAAACAGCCACCCACTGCGAGATGCACAGGATGCACCAGTAAGGCAGGGAGAGAAGTCTCTTGGCTCCAGCGGGACCCCTCTTAAGATGTGCCGTTAACTCCAAGTCTTTAAGAACAAAATGTCCAGTCTAGACCCACACGTCTCCTTGCGTGTTATCTGCACACACGTGTCCCAAAGATTCTGCTGCCCAGTGTGACAGGCTGTAAATGACACTCTTCGCTATCTACATAGTAACTCACTGGACCCAGAGGATCCCTGTCACCTATATGCCCTCTGGTGCCCTCTGCCAGCTGGCATCAAGAGATCCTTGGGTCATGGTCCTCTGTCCCTAGATGCCCCACTCCCAATCCCATCCCCATCATGTCCGAGCAGGACCGTTGTCCCCACCAGGGGGCACTGCGTCCGCCATCCCCTCTAGGAGAAGCCCACGGGGAGTGGACCAGCTGCTCAGATCAGCCTGTGTTTTCCGCCTCTCCCCCCATCTCAGCAAACGCCGGAGGAGGAGCTGTGCAACCTGCTCACCAACATCATCTTCTCGGTGACCTGGCGCGGGGTGGAGGGCTGGGACGACGCAGCCTGGAAGGAGCGCGGGCAGGTCTTCTCCGTCCTCACCAAACTGGGCACAGCCTGCGAGCTGGTGCGGCCACCAGACGAGATCAAGCGCAGGTGGGTGCTGGCAGAGTGGCAGGCCTCCTCCCGCCTGGTTTGGGAGGTGGAGAAATAGGATCAGAATCGGGCCCACAGGTGTGTGACCCTTCGCCCCGTCCCCCTCAGCTGGGCCAGAGGGCCCAGGATCCTGGCTGCCAACGTGCCCGAGCTTGTGGGTTTCTGGCAAGTTGGCCCCTCGCATGGGGGCAGCTCACTGCCCGGCCCTAAGGGCACCTGGCCTGTCGGCCAAAGGAGCTGCTTCATTTTACCCCTTCGGAGCCAGGGCCCTGCCCTGCCCCCACACCTGCCCATTTCTCTTCCCCATTCGCACCTTGGAGGGCGTGGGCTTGTGAAAGTGACGCGTCAAAGGTAGCTGTCCTGGCTAGCAACCCCCTGCTAGTCCAGCCCTGCACCCCCATGCCCAGCTTGTGTCCTTTGCTCCCAGCCAGCAGGCTCATGCCATCACAGCCTTCCACCCCCAGGCCCAATCAGGCCCGGGCCACTCGCTCCAGACCCACACCCCCCTGCGATCCCAGCTGTGGACCTCGCCCACTCACTCCTGACCTGTCCTTTCTATTCCACTCCTGGGCATCGCATGTGTCTGATGAGTGGGGTGCATTTCATGATGCATGTCCCCGCACACATCAGGAGCAGGCCCCTCCCCATCCCTCAAATGCATTACACTTGCCACCTGGGCATAGACTTGAACTTGGGCATCTTTGTAGAGGGGAAAAGCCACTAACCCCTCTGTTTCCTTGAAATAAGGAGCTTCCCAGTCTCTTCACAAGTGTCAGAGCCCAGGGTAATCCCGGGTTGGGGCACTGCAGAGCACAAGGCCCTGAAACGCTCCCAGAGGGGCGGGTGCTTTGCAGAGAAACTTTGGTCTTGGGCACCTGCTTCCCGTGGCTGATTTGCTGGCCTGGGGCTTGTGAGACGTGAGTTCAATTCCCACCTCTGGCGCCACCTGCCTGCGGGACCTTGGGCACGTCCCTTAGCCTCTCCGTCCCTCAGTTCCCCATCTGTAACATGGGGATAACAGCGCTGTCCCACCTCGCAGCGGGTGGAAGATTTTGAAGCGCTCAGATGCTATATGAACGGGGGTCCCGAAGAGAGAGAGGCTGCGTGACCAACACGATATCCGGTAGCTGCTAACAGCGTGCGGGGCTACCTGGAGTCCCCCGCTCGGCACGGGAGGATGAGTGGGTTATTCCCCAGAGCAGGCAGTGCCATCGGATGCCTCACACCCCCCCTCCCCTGCGTGCGCGCACACACACGTGTACACACACACACGTGTACACACACACACCCGCACACTCTCCCTGTCTCTCTCTTGCAGCCTCCTGGAGATGATGTTGGAATCGGCCCTCACGGACATCAAGGAGTCGGCCCCGGCCACTTTGCCCAGCCTCGCCCAGAACGCGCTCAAGTTGCTGAGGCTCCTCCAGGACTTCCTGTTTTCCGAGGGACACAACAACCAGGCCCTGTGGAGCGAGAAGGTCCGTGCTGGCGCCTTGGCAGGCCTGGCGGGGGGTGAAGTTGGTCTTGCCGCTCTGCTCCCTGGGGTAGCGTCGCGCCGACGTGCAGAGGGCTCGTCGGCTGCTGGCCATGTACTGCCGCAACAGAGCCGTGGGTCTCTCTCTTTCCCTCCTGCCGCGGTTCATTGGCTGCCATCCTTTTGGGGTCGCTGCTTTGCCTCTGGCTCTCCTATTAAATACCCTGCCCTGGGATTCCTGTTCCCGTCCAGAGGCCGGGGAAGCCAAGCGCGGGGCCTGGGAGGGTGAGCTCCGTCACTGTCTTTGCTGGGAGGGGTCACTCTGCCCTTCCTGCGGCTGCAGATCTACGAAGGGGTGAACAGCCTGCTGGACAAGCTGGGGGTGTGGTACCACTTGGCCAACGGGACCTCGGACCTGAAGGAGATGGCTCAGATCGGCCTGCACATCCTCATCGGGTACAGCGGGCTGGAGGAGGCCCAGGTGAGGCGCCTGCGAGACCCAGGCAGCTGGGGACCCCAACTGGCCTCGTTAGGGGCACCCTGAGGGCTCCCCTTCTCTCTGTGGGGAGGGGCTGGGCTCTCAAGGGAAGTGGGAGGGCCGGGGGAGAGGGAGAGGCCGGGAAGGAGAGGGATCGGAGAGGCTCTGAGGGCCCCAAAACCGCAGTATTTCTCCCCCCCACCCCCATGCTGGGATGAGCCTGGGGGTGTAACAGCCTCTCCCCTGTCCCCCCCCGTCCCCCCCGCGCCCACCAGCTGCACTCGCTGGCCTACGTCAAGCTCCACAGCCTGCTCCAGACGGCCTCGGCCCCCAAGGAGGAGGAGGCCTGCTACCTGCTGGGCAAGCTGGAGAGCCCCCTGAGCCGCGCGCTGCAGCCCAAGTCGGAGGCCTTCTCCTGGCTCCTGCCCATCATCCGCACGCTGCTGGACCAGTGCTACGACACACTGCAGCTACAGCACCTGCTGCCCTCGCTGCCCCCCACCAACGGCAGCCCCACCTTCTACGAGGACTTCCAGCTCTTCTGCACCACCCCCGAGTGGAGGGCCTTCATCGAGAAGCACGTGGGTGCCGCCGGGACAGGGGCCCCTCGGGGAGGTTACCATTGCGGGAGGAGGGAGCACTGAGTGGTTAGAGCGGGGGGGCGGGGGGCGCGTCAGACGCGGGCTCTGTCTCTGGCTGTGGTGCTGTGCGTGTCCCTGGGGAATCTCTTCGGACGACACGCTCAGCCATGGATGCCGACAGCCAAGCCCTGAACCAAGGGGGGGATGGTGTAAATGTTGGGGGGGATGGGCATGGGCGGGAGGGTGCCCAGCGGGGCTGTTTATGGGCACAGGAGATCTGACCAGCTGCAGGCCAGAGAGCAGAGCTATCGAAGGGCAAGGACCTGTGCAGAGGCTCTGGGTGCCTCTCAGGTGGGCTGGCTCTGAGCAGGGCGAGGAGCTGTCCCAACTCTGAGACTGACCGAGCCAAGTCAGGACAAAAATCATTTTTGTTGCCCTCCGCTGGGCTCGGAGGGCAACAGAAATGATTAGGGGGTTGGAGCACATGATTTATGAGGAGAGGCTGAGGGAACTGGGATTGTTTAGTCTGCGGAAGAGAAGAATGAGGGGGGATTTGATAGCTGCTTTCAACTACCTGAAAGGGGGTTCCAAAGAGGATGGATCTAGACTGTTCTCAGTGGAGGCAGATGACAGAACAAGGAGCAATGGTCTCAAGTTGCAGTGAGGAGAGGTCTAGGTTGGATATTAGGAAAAACTTTTTCACTAGGAGGGTGGTGAAGCACTGGAATGGGTTACATAGGGAGGATTCTCCTTCCTTAGAGGTTTTTACGGTCAGGCTTGACAAAGCCCTGGCTGGGATGATTTAGTTGGGGTTGGTCCTGCTTTGAGCAGGGGGTTGGACTAGATGACCTCCTGAGGTCCCTTCCAATCCTGATATTCTATGATTCTAAGTCCCATTACACCTGTATGTTAAACGGGGTGGGGGTGGGGGAGGGTAACAGTATTTATGTAGCTTGCCAGGGAGTTGAGGATAAAGTGCTCAGATACTGCAGTGATTTTGGGGGGGGAGTGGGAGAGGGGATACATTCACCTAAATAGATTACAGATGGGGAAACTGAGGCAAGGATCATATGATCTACTGGGGGGTCATGCAGCGAATCCACATCTCAACTGGGAGTTCCTGGCCTCCCAGTCCCATGCGCTCGCTGCTAGACCTCGCCCGGTTCTAAGGCAGCGTCCCAGAAAATACGTCCTTGCCCGCTCGTCCTGGCCACTGCCGTTCAAGGGCTCTCTCCCCTTGGCAGGTACAGCCCATGATGGCGCAGTTTGAAATCGACACATTCGCCAAGAGCCACGACCACATGTCCAATTTCTGGAACTCCTGCTATGATGCCTTGATGAGCAGCTCCCTGCGCAGGGAGAGGGAGAAAGAGGAGAGCAGGAAAAAGTTCCAGGTACGTGCGGTCAGCTGTTCAAAACACACACACACCCCCACCCCTCGGGGCTCCGGAATTACAACCAATATACAAACACAAAACCGCAGGGGCTGAAACAGCCCGTGCCGGGTGTCTCCTCCGAGCTGAATTTCTTTGGCACGTCTTCCCGCAAAACCCTGATCCGTGGTGCCATGTCTCCTCCCGGGGGAGACTCGTGTGATTGCACGCCGCACACCCCCAGTCCCACCTCATTCTCTGCCCCTGCTAGGAGCTGATTCTGGAGCCGGTGATAAAGCGCTCCAAGTACGAACACATCCGGCACGTGAACGTCCTGAAGCAGGTCAACAACCACCACAGCGTCGTCCTGAAGCAGTGGAAGGCCCTGCGCCGCCTGCTGACCTCGCAGCGCTCTGCCTGGGCCGACCGGTCAGGAGTTAACACTCCCTTTTGGGCTGCGGGAGGGGATGCTGCCCAGGGCCCTCTCCAGCTCAGCGCTTATGGGACAGCCCATGCTTGGGGCTGCTGGATCCTCTGGGTTTAGCAGTATCGTTGCTTTCCCCCACCCCCGCCGGAGGAATCCCGCCCCGTGGCCCTAGCCTGGCTTCCTGCCCATCGTGGGGTGTGGTTCCCACGGTGGGGGGGCGATTTTCATGGCCGGAGCTTGCCGTGGCCGTGGCCCGCTGTGCCCTGCCCGCTTGCAGAGCAGCCGCCGGAGTCAGACAGAAAACAAAGGGAGCTCAGGCGCTAGCCCCGCCCACTGTGGCAAAGCCACGCCTCCCCCGGTTGGAACCAGGCAGTGTTGCTTACAGCTGTTCCTGGCCCTCCTGTGTTTTCTGTGCCCCTCTCCACCCCGGTTTGCCTAGTTATTTTCACGCTGCCTTCTGCCCTCTGCCCTGTGGCTCCCAGGCTAAAGGCATGATGGGGTGTGGTAGAAACTTCCCCCGTGGCTGCTCTCGGAGGTGGCTGGGCCCTGGTCCGGCATGTCCTCGGCTCAGTGTAGAGTCCTCGTAGTCCCTGCTGCAAGGGGGGACTGTCAGCCAACACCTTGCGAGCCCAGGCTGTTCTGTGGATCAGACTGCATTGCCCCATGCTGACTCCAGCTGCCCCCCTTCCAGTTCCCAACTTCGAGGTGCTCGGGGCTCGCTCACTTTTCTCTCTCCCCCTCCCCTGCAGAAACCCCCCAGAGATTCGCTGGAAGCTGTCGAGTGCCGAGACCTACTCCAGAATGAGGCTGAAGCTGGTACCCAACTATAACTTCGACCGCCACGTGGAGGCTAGCGCCCTCCGGGACAACCTAGGTGAGCAGGGCTCTCGGCATGGGGATGGGGCCTGTGCCCGTGGGTCAGAGCCTGGCTCTGCCAGCTCACTGCTGTGCAGTTAGCTGTAACGCCGACAGACCCCCGTGGGCGGGATCGAACCTGGGACCTCCGAAGCTTAGTGTATGAGCCTCTACTGCATGAGCTAAAAGCCACATGCCTCTTAGCTGAGGCTGTTGCAGGCTCTTCAATCTGTAGCTAGGCTAGGTGCCACTAGAGGGGGACAGAGCACCGCACCGAGCAGGGTTTTCATGTAGAGGGATTTAATGTACATTTTGGAGGAAGTGGGGACCGGACCACACCTCCGCCTGCAGAAATAAAACCTAGATCAGGGCCCCTCAGCCGCGGGGCCCCAGGGTGACGTCTAGGAGCCGTGCTCAGCCTGGCGTCTCCATTTTAGTCTCTGTCCGTTTCAGGGGCAGATCATTCTCTCAGCCCTGCGGAGCCTCTGCCGCTGGCCGTGGCCAAGGAGGCGAAAGTGAGCGAGCTGGGGGATGATCAGCTGGCGGAGGAGGACCTTGAGTTCTTGGACAATCAGTGAGTCTCTCCTGGGCGGCTCTGTGCCCTGGGTTGCTGTTCGGGCCCTTGCTGGGCGCAGGAACTAAGTGTGTCCTGCAGCGGAGGGATACTTTGCCTCGGAGGCTTGCGACTGAGTCTTCCCGCGCGTCTCGGTGTCGCCCTGCATGGCCCCCTTCTCGGGGAGGAGGCAATTCAGTCCTTGGCTTTTCTGCTGAGATCATCAACGCGGCCAGTCACGGCCTTCAAACAGCCATTGCCTGGTAACCGTTCTTGGTCCAGGACTGTCACAGGCGGGATTTGAACCAGCAGCCTTTATATTGTGAGCTCCTGGGGTAGAGACCACATCCCCTGAGTCTATTAGAGCAGGGCCCCGATCCTGACTGGGACCTCTGGTCACTAGCACAACAGAGTTGTGAGAGGTGCTATATCCCCTCACATGTTCCCCAAGCCATCCGTCCCCCTTCGCCTGCCTGGGCCCTGGCCCCATCTCACCCTTCCCTCAGCTAACACAAGTCCAGACCCCTCCAAGTTCCTCCTAGGTACTGCAGCGCCAGGAGGCGCTGTACACACCGCTCAAGCTGGTACTCCTGGAAGCTGGTAGGTTTTTCCCTGGCGAGGGTGCAGAGAGAGTCGCCGAGCTGCCCAGGGTTAGGTGAGCAGCAGTGAGTGTCACGGGAAGGCCAGTGGGCACCTAGATATCTTCTCCCATTGCTGGGAGCAGGGCACGCGGTGTGGCATACGGCCCCAGCCAGCGCAGGATGCCAAAGGCGACCTCTGTTCTGTAACCAGCCGGTCCCACGCCCCGTGTTGGATGACTGTGTGCGGGGAGGGAGGCCGTGGGCCATAAGAGGGGTGCGCACAGGCGGGACATCCTACCCATTAGGGCTCTGCCACCCCGATCTCTTCCAGGGCTGAACCCAAAGAGCAGAGCCAGAGGGAGAAGCTGGTGATCTCCGAGGACTGCGAGCTCATCACCATCGTGGCGGTGATCCAGGGCCGGCTGGAGGTCACCACGCAGCACATCTACTTCTACGACTGCAGCAGCGAGAAGGAGGAGACGGAGGAAGGTACCGGAGCTTGCCCATGCCCGCCCCTCTTGTGCCCTGTGTCGCACCCGCTGATACCAGAGGCTGCCTGCCCCATCCTCTCACTGCCACGCTGCTGTTAGATCACTCGTTAATCTCGTTACTAGTATTGCATGAGAGCAGGACCTATTGGCCCATGTTGCTAGGCACTGGATGTACATTTTGGAAGAGACCGTCCCTGCCCCAAAGAGCTCACGGACGAAGGGGACTCAGGCAGAAAATGGGGAAACTGAGTCACGGGGGTTAAGTGACTTGCCCCCGGTCATGCTGGGAGTCTGTAGTGCAGCTGGGAATTGAGCCCAGATCTCCTGAGTCCCAGTCCAGTGCCTTAACCTGGAGGCTGGCTTGGCTTGGGGGTTAGCCTAGCACTGAGCTCAGACACTAGGAGTGACATGGGGGAGCGGGTGAGGGCTGGAAGCCTGCACTGGGTCTCCCTGGTGTGACGATTGCTGGCTGAGATGGGTCAGTGTCTAGGATCAGTGTGGCCCCCGCGGCGCTGGGAGCTGTCCAGCTACGGAGGTGCCTGCGTATCGGAGGGGGAGTAACAGCTGGCCTGCCTTCTGCCCTTTCACCAGGGATTGGCTATGACTTCAAGCGCCCCCTGTCTCAGCTCCGGGAAGTGCACCTCCGCCGTTACAACCTCCGCCGGTCGGCGCTGGAATTCTTCTTCATCGACCAGGCCAACTACTTTGTCAACTTCAAGAAGAAGGTTCGCCCTGATCCCCTCTGCTCTCCTAGACCAGGGGCCGCTACCCAGCCCCGGGGGCGTCCCCGCTTCTCTTGGGAAGCTGGTGTCACCCTTCCTGGAGCATCGGTGCCCAGCTCAGCCCCCAGCACGGTGCTGGGAGGCGCTGGGCTGCCGATGGTGCAGTGTTGGAGACACAAAACAAGGTCCTGGCCCCGCGTGGTGAGAGTCTGGGGCACGTTGCTATCTGAGGAATCGTGCTCTGGTGACCTGAATTCCAGGGGGGCATTGACTGAAGGGGGGTAAGACAGGAAGTCAAGCAGCACTGGTGCAAGAGGCCTGATGCAGGGTGATGGGCAAAATGGCCTTTCATACAGAGCTTCTAAAGTGGACAGAGCTCAGCCAAGAAGGGGGGTGGTATGGGATGGAGGGAGCTATGTGTGTGATCCTGTAGTACTCCCGGCCCCCCCAGCTTTTCCAGCCTCCCTCCCCGCGCAGGGAAAGCTGGGGAGCTGCCCCCAGACGGCATGTTCCTATTTCTGTTGATCACTTGTTGAAGGGGAAATAGCCGAGAGGTCTCCGGGGTCTTGCTTTCTCCTGTCCCCACCCGGGACGCTGGGCCAGGTGGCTGCGTCCCTCCTGTTCTGTTCCCCCAGCGCTCATGCTCCACCGTTTCATGTAAGGTGCAGCGAGGGGCGTCATTTCCAGCTCTGTCGGATGTCCCTGTGCTATATCCGATCGGGCTAATGAGCTCAAAGTACCAGTGTAGCCGTGGCAGGCAAGGGGCTGGCTGCCTGGGTACGATCCCATCCTGGGACCCTAGACACAGCGAGTCACTCACGTCACCCTGGCTACACTTCGGTTGCTAGCTCTCTGGCGTGATCCAAGCTGGCATCTGTAGCTGAGCTTACGGAACCGTCTGGCTGCGCGCATCTCTCCCTGCCGCGTCTCTCCTGACCGTGACGCACAGGGGCTGGAGCCTTGTTAAGAAGGGAATTGCGCACCTATCTGATTTAGGATTGAATTCCTTAGACTGGATCTTCTGCTGATGTAAATCAGCGTGGGCCCCTTGATTTCATTGCTGATTTAAACCGGGGGAGAGGGCTTGGACGGCTCTCTCTTTCACGCGGTTTGTTCGTGTCTGTCAGGTAGGGGTCCCCCAGCACCTACTGCAAGAGCAGGCCAGATCTCGTGGAGAGGCGTGATTTTTTTTGCTAGAGCAGGGCATTGGGAGAGCTGGATTCTGTCAGCTTCCAGTGTCTGACATGGGGCAAGTCATCGCCCCTCTGTGCCTCAGTTTCCCCATCTGTAAAATGGAGAGAGAGATCCTGATCCCCCCGACCCCCTGGATCAAGTGCTTTGAGGCCCTGGGGAAGAGGCGCTCTGGCAATGCGAAGCCTTGTTCGAGGGCAGGCTGGACGCTGTACCTGAGCTCCCTTTGAATGCTTCATGCACCTGGTTTTGTCCCTGCAGGTTAGAAATAAGGTGTATTCCTGTATTCTCGGCCTGCGCCCACCCAACCAGATCTACTTTGGCAGCAGGTCACCCCAGGAGCTGCTGAAGGCCTCAGGACTGACTCAGGTGCCATTAGCATCTTCTTCCAGCCTCCTCCTCCTCCCAGCGTCACCTCTCTCTCCTCGAGAGCAGTGTGTGTCCGTCGGGGCTGCCTCGTAGCCAGGCAGAGTGCTGGGCAAACTTCCCCCCAGCCTCTCGGCTCTGCCAGAGCTCCTGGGGCCCACTCCTCTGTCCCAGCCCCGGGCCCCTTGGAGCAGGGCTTGTCGGCTGTGCCCAGCTGGGTCATGGTTCTGAGATCCGCCCAGGTTGGCACAGCACCCACCTCATTTCATTCGGAGCGTGGTCCGGGCTGTGAGCACAGCGCTGCGAAGGGAGAGGCCCCGGCCCTGGCTCACTGGGGGACCGAGCACGGGCTTGGTCGCTCGGGGTGCCGCAGAGGGAAAGTGAGCGCTGCCCCGCTGCGGGGTCCCACTCCTGCTGCAGTTCATCGTGCTCTGGGGCAGAATGGGTACCTGAGGGGTTAAATAGCCAGAGGGCGAGCTCAGGCATGGCCGGCTGCTAGCATGGCCTCCCCCAGGTGCAGGCTACCGGGGTGTGATGGCAGGGTGGGGAGAATCCATGGGATGAGTTTCCCTGGTAAGGCCTGAGGCCTGACTTTCCATCCTCACTGGTTAGATGAGCAGCCTGGGTCTATGCTGCTCCCCGCGAGGGTCCTCCCCCAACCTCCAGCGTGGCAACTCCCATCCCCCGCCCTGCAGAGTCTGCTCCCCAGCCGTATCCTCCCTGCTGTCCCAGCCAACCCCGCCCCATGCAGCGACTTCCATGGGGTGACCATATGTCCCGTTTTGGCTGGGACAGTCCCCTGTCCCGGCCGTCCCGACTTTTCTGGCAAAATTGGGCATTTGTCCCGTTTGCAACGGATCAGCTGGCAAGAGCAAAGGGGACAAATGCACAGTTTTGCCAGAAAAGTCGGGTGCAACCCCAAGCAAGGTGTGGAGGAATGTGCGGGGGGCAGGGGCGAGCAGTGATGCCAGCCCCATGTGGGAGGGAGGGCTCAGGAGAGCAGCTCAGGCCGGGCTGGCCCTGCATGGGTGAGTGGCAGGGGGCTTGGGCCAACCCATGGGAGGGGTGAGATGGACCTCAGGCTGGCCCTGTGGCGTATCCCATTTTCCCTTTGGGAAAATACGGTCACCCTATGCCATCCCACTCCCACGCCCCATGCAGCGACTCCGCTCCTGCTCCCCTAGCCGGAGCCACCCCCTCTGCCCCTGCCGTCCGCAGGGCCTGTTTCAGCCCCGCCATGTCTGTTTCAGAAATGGGTCTACAGGGAGATCTCCAACTTCGAGTACCTGATGCAGCTGAACACGATTGCGGGGCGCACCTACAACGACCTGTCGCAGTACCCTGTGGTGAGCATGCCCGCCAGGCCCTTCCCCTCAGCCTTCCTCTGCCCAGAGACGCCGTCAACGGTCTGTCCTGGGGCCGGCAGGCAGACGGAGATGGGGTGCTCAGAGCAGCCCCCGCGACATTCTTTCTGGGGCTGTCTGTTCTCCACGCTCCCTCCCTGGGCTGGCAGCGTGGCGTGGGCCCCCCAGCCTCAGCCCAAGTCCGGCTCTCACTAGCCTGGTGACGGTATTAGCAAGCCACCCTTCACTTTGCAGGGACGCTCCCTGCGTGCTTTCCACGGGGTTATGAAGGGATTGGTAGAGGCGTTAATGATTGGCTAACGAAGCATGATAGAGCCCAGCAGGTGCTTGGTCACTCCCAGCCATCTCTGGCACCCAAGGGTGCTGCGGACCGCCTGTACTGTGCCTACGTTGATCGGTCCTGTTGGAACCCTTTAGGTGGACGCGGGCCTCGACTAGAAAGCGGGCCTGTTTCACAGCTGCGGTGCGGTGGCACTTACAGGCCAGCCGAGTGGGGCGTCTTTGCACTAGGTGCTGTACGAACCTATAGATTTGATCGTACCTCTCCAAGGACCTTACCTGCTGTGGGGGAAGAGTATAAAATTAGAGCTGCCCAGCCTCGCGCCCTCATAATGCAGAGCTGTCAGTGTCCTCCTGGCTGTCCCGGTGGATCGAGAATGTCTCCCCCTGTAAGAGTCCGGAAGGCCCACTGGACCAACCCGGCCCACCCCAGCAGCGTGGCCGCTCACGCTAGCCCTGTGCCCCTAGGGAAAACTGCCCGTTCTGCCACTCCCCTGTTGTCTGTCTGGCCGCGGGCGGCACTAGGGTTTGAAGACCCGGCGGCAGGCTGGGCCGAGTAAGGAGTTGGCAGGCATCTGACAGGCCTCTCCCTTCCGTAGTTCCCTTGGATCCTGCAGGACTACGTCTCCGAGGCGCTGGACCTGAGCGACCCGGACGTGTTCCGGGATCTCTCCAAGCCCATCGGGGTGGCCAACGAGAGACATGCCAAGGATGTGAAGGAGAAGTGAGTGCATGTCCCGGGCAGCTCGAGGGCGGTGGCTGCGCTGGGACGGGTGGCCCGGAGCAGCCACGCCAGGGGCGGGGCTGACGTCGCAGTGGCCGGCGAGAGCCGGCGGTGTGCCCTGGATGTAGCAATCCGACACCAGCACGTGGGGTGGCGAAGGCCGAGAGTCGGGGGTGGCTGGCAGATTGCTGATGCGTCCCATTTGCTCTGTGGAGACGGAGCAATCGTCTCGTGGCTAGAAAAGAGGTGTGTGGGCAGGGGATTTTGCCCTGCGCTCTGCTCCGTGGCTGGAGAATGGCCCTGGGTCGCCCCTTCCCCAGGCACGCAGAGCAGCGAGGTGGGTGGGGGCGTGCTGGTAAGAAGGCTGTGCCCTCTCAGCTGCCCATCTTCTCTTCCTGATGCAATCGCTCTGGCTGTGGCAGCATGAGCCGGGAAACCAGCCCGGCCAAGGCAGTTGCTGTGTTGCAAGCCACCCCTGCCTCACCGCTGGGATTCCCTCTTCCTCCTCCTTCCCTTCCCCCGCCTGTGTCTTGGTGGTATGCTCTGCTTATTCCCCTCCCCGTCTGTCCCCAGGTACGAGAGTTTTGAGGACCCCACGGGCATGATCGACAAGTTTCACTATGGCACACACTACTCCAACGCGGCGGGCGTCATGCACTACATGATCCGGACCGAGCCCTTCACCACCCTTCACATCCAGTTGCAGAGCGGCCGGTGAGATCCGGGGCTGGGCTAGTGCTGGCATGCCAGGACGGTCCCGCCAGCTTCCCCAGGCCCTGCTAACGCAGGATTGCCACCTGCCCCGCGCTCGTTCTAACTATCCCCTGTGAGGGGGCTTTCACCACGTCCCTTGGGAGCCTGAGAGCTCGCTGGTGGGGGATCCTTTCCTGTGGCTTGTTCTTAAATGTTCCTTGCATCTGAGGAGAGAGGAGCCTCTTCCCTACCTTCTGTGTGTCTGTGCAAGGAAGTGTGGACTAGCGAATAGATCATCAGGCTCAGGAGAGCCGAGTTTTATTCCTCGCTCTGCCGGTGACCTTGGGCAAGTCACTTCCCCGTGCTGTGCCTCAGTTTCCCCAGCTGTACAATGGGGGTGGTACCTCTGTGAAGTGCTTGGAGATCCGCTGAGGAAAGTACTAGATATTCTTCATTACCTGTTGCAACAAGTGTCCTAGAGCCGATTCTGAGCCTTGCCTCTGAGTTGATAAAGCAGAAAGAGGGTTTGGCCGGCCCTGTAGCCTGCTGTGGCTGGGTGTCTCATGGGCGTTGTCCGGCACGAAGAAAGCGAGAGTGCGAGAGATGCAGGGATTTGGCTGGCGAGGCTGATTTCTTCAGCCCATATGGTAAACCCGGGAGCTCGCTGGAAGACAGGAAAAGCGACGCGTTCTTGATTGTATCGCTCTAGTGCCTAGACACCCCCACCTAGATCGGGGTCTGTTGTGCCCAGGGCTGGACAGGTATCTAGCAAGAGACAGTGAGGCCCCTTCCCATTTTCGAGCTCGGGAGCTGTGGTGCAGACACGTGAAGGGTCTTGCCTAGGGCCACCCTGGCAGTCAGTGGTGGGGCTGAGTCTAGGTCCCAGTTCTCCTGAGCCCAGTGCCTTAGCCTTTAGGCCAAGCCTCACTCTCTTGCCGGCAGGTTTGACTGCTCAGACCGCCAGTTTCACTCGGTGCCCGCGGCATGGCAGGCGCGTATGGAGAACCCGGTGGACGTGAAGGAGCTGATCCCGGAGTTCTTCTATTTCACAGACTTCTTGGAGAACCAGAATGGTAAAGGGAGCTCCTGGGGCATTGCAGCCCGGCTGGCCGGAGTGCCCTGGGTCTAGAGCTGGGGGAGAGGGGCTCGCTGGGGTTGGCATGGGGAGGTGCCTACTTGGGGCCTCCATCTAAGGTGCAGGATCCCTTCTGTGACTTCCACTTCAGTTGATCTCTCACGATTGTCGCAGTCACTCGCAGTCCTGGTCTCTAGCCACTGGGCCTGCTGGCGCCCGGGCTCACTGTCTCATGCAGGGGGTAGTGCCCAAGCCAGCAAGGGCAGGAGCTTGTTGGGGGCCCCAGGGCTCTGTGCACATCATAACTGGGCTCTAGACAGAGCTGGGACGCAGGCTGTGCTCCCGGGCCGGGGGAGCTAATTTCGCCCTGCATGGAGCTGGTGCCTGGCAGGCGTGCCATGGCTGGTGCGTAACCTCCTGGGATCCACAGGATTCCCCGCCCTGCTCGGTTATAGCGTCGGTGCGCCACCTTGCCCTGCAGCGTCCAGCACGAGCCAGTGTTGGCCCCAGGACTGGGTGGGCTGTTGATCTGACCCCGTGCCGTGGGATGCGGCGGATGGGGGATGGTGAGCCACCCTGCTGTGTCGCTTTCCCTAGGGTTCGACCTGGGCTGCCTGCAGATGTCGAACGACCAGGTGAACAATGTCGTCCTCCCGAAGTGGGCCAGATCCCCGGAGGATTTCGTCCACAAGCACAGGAAAGCGCTGGTAAGTGGGCAGGGGCTCCGCCCAGCCTGGGAAGCCTTCACCTGGCCTGCCAAACTCACTGCTCCCCCAGCGTGTAGGGCGGGGGCTGGGGTTTCCCTACCAGGTGGCCCAGACCCATTGGGGTGTCCCCAGCCCGGCATGTCCCTGTGGTGCTCACTGTCCCCGTTCTCTCCCTGTAACAGGAGTCGGAGCACGTGTCTGCCCACCTCCACGAGTGGATCGACCTGATCTTTGGGTACAAGCAGAGGGGCTCGGCCGCTGTGGAGGCTCTCAACGTCTTCTATTACTGCACGTACGAGGGTAAGAGGCGCCATGCCAGGGCCTGGGCAGGCAGGAAGGTTCCCTGGTGGGCACCTGTCACTCACAGCATCACCCTCTCTCGCTCCCCAGGGGCCGTGGACCTGGACGCCATCGCCGACGAGACACAGAGGAAGGCTTTGGAAGGCATCATCAGCAACTTTGGGCAGACTCCCTGCCAGCTGCTCAAGGTATCGGGAGCCAGAGAGGGAGTGCCCGACTAACCCCAGGGAGGGGAGGGTGGGGATCACCCAACAGGCCCTGAGAGCAGAGCTCCACTCCCCCAGCCAGGGCTTAGGTCCATATATGGCCATGCCATCCACCCCCCGCCTCCCCCGGGTCCTTTTGCCCTTTGCTTCCTCTCTTTCCCCGGGAGGCTGGGCTCTGGGATCTCGCTCAGGGTTCTGGCACCTCCCGACTAGCTGGCATCTTGCCCCCCCCGGCAGGAACCTCACCCAGTGCGCCTCTCAGCCGAAACCGCCACCAGGAGGCTGGCCCGGCTCGACACGTATTCCCCCAACGTCTTCGAGAACCTCGACCAGCTCAAGTCCTTCTTCGTCGAGGTGAGAGCTCTCCTCGCCGCTGGGCTCCGAGGGCCGCCCACTGCGGGCCCTCCCGGGGAGAGCTTACGAGGGAATCCTCCCACGTGGTGGGGAGGGAGGCCCGTGTGGTGGGGAGTACGGGGTAAGTGACGGGGTGGCAATGGCCAGAGCAGGAGTTCTGGGGTGAGGGAGGACACGGGTTCCAGCGAGACCATGTGGTTACCTAGCTCTTTGGGGCAGGGACTCTCTGGTGGGTCTGTACAGCGCCTAACACAACCTTGTCCTGGTCCGTGACTGGGGCTCCGAGGTGCTGCAAACACCCGACAATGCCCAGTGCTAACGTGACACGTGCGTGCTGGCGGGGCCGCGGCAGTGCGTAGCCCCCGAGCTGCCGGGCAGTAGCACCAGAGCTCTCTGTTCTCTCCCGCAGGGGATCAGTGACGGGGTCCCGCTGGTGCAGGCTGTGGTCCCCAAGAACCAGGCCCATTCCTTCATCACACAGGGTTCCCCGGACATGCTGGTGAGTGCCCTGGGGGGCATGGCATGGCTTGTTGGCTGGGAATTTGGGGGGGCTCTCAGCTCGTTGTGTCTATAGCCCCCCAGCCGGTACCTATCGGAGCCCCTCTGCTATCCGTTCACTGTATCCTCCCGGCCCCCGTGCACGCAGGGCAGCTGATTGCCAGTTCACAGGGCCGGGGCTGAGGCACAGAGCCATTGAAGGGACTTGCCTACGGCCACGCGGAAGGTCAGTGGCAAAACTGGCCACCGGGTCTCCTGGGTCCCAGCCCGGGGCCTTCACCACAATCCCGGCCTTCCAACTTCCAGCACTTGTACGGGGAAGCTAAAGCTCCCTCCTGCAGCTGACGACGAAGCGTAGGCCGAGCGGGTGTTGGCTCCAGCTGTTCCCAAGAGCACGACCTAAGCTGCTGGCTTAGTAAGTGGAGCGAGAAGGGGATCTGTCCTGCACGCATCCCGCCGGGCGCGGTGATTTGCCCCGGGTTGCAGGAGCTAGGTAGGGTCTGGCCCGGCTGGTACTTGGCTCGGACACCCCGGAATCACCCAGGGCGGTAGGTGGCCATACTGCCGCCATCACTGGCGGGACGTGGGTGGCGCCTTTTGAACTAGTCGTAGAACAGAGGTCCTGACCGGCCCCGGCCCTCCCGCGCCCCGTGGCGCTTTCCCAAGAGCGGGGCTGTAACCCTGGCGGCTGTAACCCTGCGTTCTCCTGCTAGCCTCCCTCCCCTTTCCTAGGTCACGGTGAGTGCCAACGGCCTGTTGGGAACCCACGGCTGGCTGCCCTACGACAAAAACATCTCCAACTACTTCAGCTTCACCAAAGACCCCACCGTCTCCAATGCCAAGTGAGTCTGGGCCCGGCGCCTCTGGGCTGGGAGCCCCGTTACCGGATCCCTCCCTGGCTCCTGCCATGCAGTGCCCTGGGAGAGCCGAGAGGAGTCGGCCCCGACGCGGAGTCCCCGGATGCTTTGTCCAGTCCGGTTTTAGGTGGCACAACCCAAGGAGGCCTCCACCCATCCCCCGTCCAGTAGGCACGCTCCTCCAGCTGTCACCCCACGGCGTCCTTTGCATAGTGTTATCCCACGTCTTCCAGCCGCCCCCTAGAGGAGCTGGCTCCAAACGCTCCCGGACCAGCAGCCTGCTCCCCGTCCCCGGCTCCCAGCCAAGCTGTGCATGCTCATTCCTGGCATTCGCCCTCCAAGGGCCAGTCCTCGTAACCCCTTGGCCAGTTCTGTTGCTCTTAGCTAAATGGGAGGGAATGGAGCAATCTTCTGGCCGTAGGGCACCCCGGCTGAGTGCCTTGCGTGGGTCGCCTCCCTGCTCTGGGACAAGGGGATGCCTCTGAATGGGCAGCCCCAAATGTCTTCTCTGGACACAGGATTGCAGTGGTGATCCACTGCCCCCTTCCGGGTCGTGCTTGTACCCTCCACCCTGCCTGTGCCAGCCGGGGCTCCCAGGCCCCCTCTCTCACAGGCCTGGCCCTCTGTCCTCTCCATTACCCCCCACCACGCTGGCTGCCGTTGGGACCTGCTGACGACACGGCGGAGAGCTCCCGGGAACCAAAGGGCGGGCAGCTCTCTGGGGCGATGCTCTGTAGCCAAGAGCTCTTGTCTCCTCTGCCAGAACCCAGCGCTTCCTCTCCGGCCCCTTCGCCCCAGGGGTGGAGGTGTCCTCGAAGACACTGACTGTCTCTCCTGACGGGAAGCTCCTCTTCAGCGGGGGGCACTGGGACAACAGCCTGCGGGTCACGTTGCTGAGCAAAGGGAAGGTTGTCGGGCACATCACCAGGCACATAGGTATGGGGCTCGGACAGGCTGGCAGCGGGGGTGACCTGATGTGGGGCGCGTGGGCCGGTGGGACTCACATCGCTGGCTATGCACCATCCTGCCACGGTTCTGTGTCCCATCCCCCCAATGCACCTCCACCCTGGCCTGCAGCCCCCCAGCTGTTCCACCCCGTGCCTAGCTGATCAACCGTGGCACAACCAACGGGGGCACTAGGAAGACACTGGCAAACTCTCGACGCTTTGGGCCAGCCAGGGCCCTGGAGCCATCCCTTGCTGTTTGCAGCTTGTCATCTCTGTGGCCCTGGTGCTTTGGGGAGAGGAGTTACCTACCCAGAGGACCAGTTGGGGTTGAAATGAGCCATGCCAGCTCACCCTGCAGTCACTAACTTCCACCCCCTCCAGAGTGCCTGGTGGGCTCTGCCCCAAAGCCCCCTTCTCGGGTACGGAATCACCAGCGAAGGGGACCCACGAGATCCCAGCCCCTTCTCAGAGCCCCAGGGAAACAGGTTGGGGGTCGGCATCGTGGGGCACTGGGGTCAGCCTCTTGGCAGCAACTTCTCTTCCCCTCCTTGCAGATGTGGTCACCTGCCTGGCGCTCGATCTGTGCGGAATCTACCTCATTTCGGGCTCCCGGGATACCACCTGCATGGTCTGGCAGGTCCTTCAGCAGGTGAGGGAGAGACCGGCTCCGGCCGGGAATGCCTTGCTACTAGCTCAGGGCTGGGTCTGAGGAGGCTTCTGGGTGGTTGGGGACTTCCTGGTCAGACACTCACGTGACTCTTGGGCTCGCTTGGGGAGAGGGCCGATCCTGGGTGAGGAGGTGCCATTCTGTAGGTCCGAGGGTGCGCTGGCAGCAGGGCTATCCCGATGTCTCGTCAAAGGTTTTCAAGGTCATCTTGTGTGCATTTGGTTGACTTGATACTGATTGGCTGGTGGGAGTGGTACTGCTCCCTCCACACCCAGCTCTGCCGGTGCCCCTCACTCCTGGCCCACAGCACCCCCTGCCATGCCAAGCCTGAGTCCAATACCTTCTGCCATGCCAACCCTGGGCCTCCCCACACAGCTCTGCCGGTGCCCCTCACTCCTGGCCCACAGCACCCCCTGCCATGCCAAGCCTGAGTCCAATACCTTCTGCCATGCCAACCCTGGGCCTCCCCACACAGCTCTGCCGGTGCCCCTCACTCCTGGCCCACAGCACCCCCTGCCATGCCAAGCCTGAGTCCAGTACCTTCTGCCATGCCAACCCTGGGCCTCCCCACACAGCCCTGCCGGTGCCCCTCACTCCTGACTCGCAGCACCAGCCTTTGGCTCCCCACACCCAGCTCTACCCAATGCCAGTTCCCCACACTCCTGGTCCAGCCCTGTCCTGAGCAGAGATTGCTCCATCATACTAGCTTCCGTGGAAGTTTTGTGCTGGGGCCGGTTGCCTTCGGGAGATGAGGACAAGAACTTACTCGGTTCAGCCTGCCCTGCTGGAAAGGCTCTGAGCTCCGCTCCTCTAATGCGTCGACCCACGTGGCTGGTGCTTCTCCGAAGCCAGCCTGACGAGCGTGGCTGTGGTTATTCCTCCAGCCTCGCTCAGCCGTTGGGGCTCTGCAAGCAGCATCGGTGGCTTTGCACGGTGGTTCCAAATGCTTCCCGTCCCCAGCTTCTGGCTGGCGCTCTGTCCTCTCGGCTCGGTTTCCTCTGGGCCTTTCCAGGCCAGATCCTCTGCCGCTCTAAGCAGCGACAGCTCCACTGAATCCGGAGGGGCTGTGGGGCCTAGACTGGCTCAGGATCTGGCCCACATACCCTGGTTTCTCTCTCCAGGGTGGGTTTTCCAGTGGCCTGGCTCCCAAACCTGTCCAAGTCCTGTACGGTCATGACGCCGAGGTGACCTGCGTCGCCATCAGCACCGAGTTGGACATGGCCGTGTCGGGGTCGAAGGTGAGGATGTGTCACGGCGCGTGTGCAGGGCGGGCGGAAGGCGTCAATGTTAGGAGTTTGCTGAGGTGCCAGTTAGTTTTTAAAGCTGAACTCCAACCAACTAGAATTGCCAGTTGGTTAAGTGCTGTAGCCAGTATCAGATACCCCCTTTGTATTGAGTCCAGCGAGTGTTCCCTTCCTAATTTAACGCTGGGCTCTTTTCAGATCAGCTCTTAACTTGAACCGTATTTCTCAAGTCAGGACACTTTGGTTACCAATAACCAATCAACAATGTATTCATTGATTCAGAACCAGATTAACATACACAGCAGTTCACCGCTCCTGTAGGTGCGCCCTATGCTCTTGGTACATGCAGCTCACGCCAGCACAGTCTTGCCAGCAATTGTCAAAGACTAGGGTTGAGCTCAGCAGTTACACCAAGGAACAATGCAAACCACCAAGATTTTTTAATAACATTTACTTATGAGCATCATTTCTTAGTACCGAACACGTATCATCACCCTTCCAGCGTTTCTCCAAGGAGGCTGGATGCATTTGTCTGTAAGGCAGTTTTGAGTCCCTGCTGTTTGAATGAATTGGTTGCAAAAGGGACAAGTTTAAAATATCAAAAGCAATTGCTTTAAGTTTCCATTCAAATCTCTCTTGGGCCAGTTTGCTTGCATTACGAAGGAGAGCATTCGTCTAGCATGAGTTCAACTCTAACCTATGGTTACAGGAGGTCTCCCTAGAGAATGGGCACTTTGTTACTTATTTTAAAGAGCAGAAGGGGCAATCCAGTCTGTGAAATGAAATCTCCCCAATTCTTATCCTCTTAACCCTGGAATATGGAGACTGCCCACAGCCGGTCCTGGCATCCGTTGCACTGGGGATTCAGAAGCTTCCTCGTGGGTTCCGTCAACTCTGGGGGTCCCACGTGGTGACTTCAGCTTTATAGACTCTGATTTCAGGGCTCCTCTGATTTCTAACAGACAGCTGAGCGCAGCTTTCAGCTCTGTTTCTCTTATGCTTCCATCGGTACCCAGCAGATGGTGCTGGCGTATAACACATTTCTTCATTCCTTTCCCTATCTGAAGTCTTTTTTATGTTTGATTTGTTTCCAGGATCGCATCTCAGTATTAGCCCACGTTATTACCTGGAATTTCTCCCTTTTTAAGCAGTTTCTGTGGATAATCCAAACTTATTCCTGTGTTGATATCTTTCAAGATTCCTTCTTTTGGTGCCAGACAATTCCTGTTATTTCTAGGCTGCAGGGTTGTGGTACCCATATGGGTCCCAGGATTTTAGAGAGAGAAGGTGGGGGAGGGAATAGCTTTTATTGAACCAACTTCTGTTGGTGAGTGGGACAAGCTTTCAAGCTACACAGACCTTGTGTCTCCCACCAATAGAAGTTGGTCCAATGGTTCTCAGTGGTAGCAGATAACAGAACAAGGAGTAATGGTCTCAAGTTGCAGTGGGGGAGGTTTTAGGTTGGATATTAGGAAAAACTTTTTCACTAGGAGGGTGGTGAAGCACTGGGTTATTTAGGGAGGTGATGTTAGAAGTTTTTAAGGTCAGGCTTGACAAAGCCCTGGCTAGGATGCTTTAGTTGGGGATTGGTCCTGCTTTGAGCAGGGGATTGGACTAGATGACCTCCTGAGGTCCCTTCCAGCCCTGATATTCTATGATTCAATAAAAGATATCCTCTCACCCACCTGGTCTCTCTCTTTCTAGTGTCACAATTATTTACAGTGAACACCAAAAAATCTTCCAGATTCAATGGACATACTTTATAGGGTCTTTGATTGTACATAAGCATTTCATGTTATTTAGGGTTTGCAATGGAACAAGAGCCACTGTTCACACACAGGGGGACGTACAGCAGAACCTCAGAGTTCCGAACACCTCGGGAATGGAGGTTGTCCGTAACTCTGAAATGTTCATAACTCTGAACGAAACATTACGGTTCTTTCAAAAGTTTACAGCTGAACGTTGACTTAATACAGCTTTGAAACTTGACTATGCAGAAGAAAAATGCTGCTTTCCCTTTATTTGTTTAGTCGTTTATGTTTAACACTGTACTCTGTTGCCTTTTTTCCCCCCCATCTCTGCGGCTGCCGGATTGTGTACTTCCGGTTCCAAATGCGGAGTGTGGTTGATTGGTCAGTTCGGAACGCTGAGATTCTACTGTAGATCTTACTCGCAAGACAAGCAAATGTGCAGCCTCTAATTTGGAGTGAAAGACTCATTGCTGGGGCAAAAACAGATTATCCACAGTGTGTTTGATTTACAGGGCAAACAAATGGGTAGTTTGTAACTTGGGGTGCAAACGTGGCTTTGATTTCTTGGGGTAACAGGCAGTTTGCCCTATTTGACCTTCAGTCTCACACAGCAAATTATTTCTCATTTGGTTAACTCCCAGCTTCCCCACCTACCTCGTGGCCTATTGCACAATGAGCGTATCGTTTTGCGTAGGAAATTAGGTGTCACCTTGGCTTTGGAGTTGTTTGTAGCTAAGTCAAGAGGGAGGAAAAAGGTTTTATCCATCTAGGCAAAAATCTCTCAATTGGCATATTTTCACTTAGCCATTTTAACTTCTCTTCCTGGGGAGAGGGAGCCATAGGTGCTGGAGCTACGGGTGCTGGGGGTGTAGCTGCACCCTTGGGCTTGAAATGGTTTCCTGTCTGTCATGCCAGCTCCACCCCTCCATTGTCCTGGGGCTTGCCACACCTGGCAGTCCAGCTTTGGGCAGTCCAGGCTGTTTGGCTTGCTGCCCCATTCTCAAGACCCCTCTTCGTCGGAGGGTCGGAGAGAGAGCATTCGCCAACAGGAGGAAACCTGCCCGTTAAAGATGACATGGAGACTTTAGCCAGCTGGAAGGGCAATGGCTCATCTGTGTCGCCCATCTAGCTTTGGGGCGTCCTCATGGAAGGCTCAGGGCAGGTGGAGATTAAGGCTGGGTTTTCGAAGGGCTATGGGAATTAGACACTGTGGGCCCACTGACAGTAAACGGGAGCAAAGCACCCAGTTGCCCTGGTGACAGCCAAAAGGCCTTGTCGTTGTGGCAGGACGGCACCATCATCGTCCACACCATCCGCCGGGGCCAGTTCATGAAGTCCATCAAGCCCCCCTGTGAGAGCTCGCTGCCCGCCACTGTCTCGAACCTCGCCGTGGGCCTGGAGGGCCAGATCATCGTCCAGACCACCGTGGGGGGGAGATCCTCCCTGAAGGTGAGTGGGCCAGGACCTGTGGGCCCAGCAGCAATGCAGGGGCAGGCATGGCCTTTCCCTGTGGGACGCTGTGGGCAAGGACGGGCATCTCAGACACGGTCTGAAACCCCGCAGGGAAGGGGCAGTAACTCCATCCTGCTGTGGTGATGGCACCATGCCTCAGAGCAGATCAGCAGCAGCCAGATTCCAATCCCAAATAAACATAGCTGAGGACTTATTCCTGTCTAGGACCAACCCATCCATCACCCAGCAGGAGGCGCTGTTCCCTTCCCACCCCACCCCACACACAGCTTTCCCACTTTACTCCTGGGGGAATTCTGCACCAAAAAATTATAAATTCTGCACACCATATTTTAGAATTCTGCATATTTTATTTATCAAAATAACACATTATAATCACACCAGTTTCAATTATTTTGGTAATTTATTTCAAAATACCTATCAAGTATGTCTATAACAATACAGACAATGAAAAAGATTCAGGAAATGTTTTTTGACAAATAGATTCCTTACTAGGCATATTAATACAGAACTCTGACTAATAATTCATTCAAACTACAATATAGAATTGTATTTCCTGCCTTCCCCCCCCCCCCCGCCAGAAGCAATGCAAAGGCTTGGGGGAGTCAGAGGTAACAGAGGAGCTGAGGGAGAGGGAAGGAGCCTGGGAGTGAACCTGGAGGGTTGTTGGGTGTGGGTGAGGGGCAGCAAGGGATTGTTAGGGAGCCTCCCCCATGCAGACCCTGGCTGACCCCTGGCCTCTCCCATTCAGTCAGGCACATCTGCCCTTGTCCCCCCTTCCATATATCCCTCCACCCCCACTCAGACACCTTGCCCCCCCCGGTCCCCATGTGTCCCTGCACCCCCTCAGCCACTCCTTTTCGCCCCATGTGTTCCCATGCCCCCTCCCCACAGCTCCATGTGGCCCAGTGCCTCCACTCCCATTCAGCCCCTGCCCCAGTCTGTCACCTCCCAGCCCCATGCTGTCTGTCCCCCCATATTCCTTGTCTCCTGACCTGGCCACACCAGCAGGGTGCTGTCAAGCAGGCAACCTCTTCCCTTCCCTATTGGCAGCTGGGACTGGTCCCACCCAGGAGGGGGTGCTCTGTTCTAGCACCACAGCGGCCCCAGGTGGGCAAAAGGCAGAACTGCAGAAATTTTTCGGCAGAAGTTATTTTCTGCTGGGGAGGGCGGGGGATGACGTTATTCGCAGCACATTAATTATGTGCACACACAGTGGCGCAGAATTCCCCCAGGAGTACTACTTGCTATACCTCAAGGAGCCTCTCTGGGTACGTCTACACTGCAGTTAGTCACCTGTGGCCCGTCAATTGTGGTGTAGACATTCAGGGACCCTCCTGCCTCACAGGATCCTAGAGCCTGGGCTCCAGCCCAAACCCAAACGTCTACACTCCCATTAAGCAGCCCCTTAGCACAGGCCCTCTGAGCCGGCTTGGGCCAGCCGCAGGGTTTTAACTGCAGCGTAGACTTAGCTTGAGAGCACACAGGGAAACTCAGTCCAAACTGGTGAGTTTCTCCTGGTTTCACACCTATGCTGGGAGGGTCCCACGATGCGTGTGTGTGGCTGTAACTGTGTCTAGAGATATGGAAAATTTGCAATCTCCAACAGGGAAAATGAGAGTGAAGGGTCTTGTGTAGCATGGAGGTTTCTTGCAGACGGTTAGCCCGAGCACAGCCGCTGCTCTGGTTTCAATGGCTTCGTCGAACGAGGTCATTCCATGTGATTGCAGGGAAAAGTGCTCAAAAGTTTCTCTCTCTCTGAGGCTCCATCTGTCGATCCAGAGTGCTGGTTCCCATCGTATCTCAGTGCATTGCATAGCTCTCCTACTGCAGTGAGACCTGTTGCTTTTCTGTCCTCCTGGTCACATTAGGTATTTGGCAGCTATAGTAAAGCGCTGCTCTACTCTTAAAAATGGCATCCCCACCTCCCATTGATCTGCTCCTGGCGTGGATCCAGAGGCATGTTTTACTGCAGGCTCCGGGGAGGTTTTCGCTCTTCCCACCCTGCAGAGCCAGCACTGCTAAGAGGGAGGAAGCTGGTTCTTACTCCTTCGTGCGCATCACCAGCAGAATTGGGTAGTAAGTTCCAGTCGCGCCTGTTGCAGGCAGTGGGGAGGCATTGCTGATGGTATAGCTCAGCCTGCAGAACCTTAATGGCTGGTGATGCCCAAGAAGGTAAGAACCAGGCCCATGTGAACGGGGAGTCCCGGAGAGGTGGTGCCAAGGCCATTCACCCAGTCGCGTCCTAGAGTAGAGGCATGCTTGGAAAGCTTTCACCCCATTGTCGGTTGCTCCCCCAACGCCCTTCTCCTTTCTCTTGTTGAAGGATAAATTTGCCCTGCACCTTTATTCCGTCAACGGCAAGCATCTCTCCTCCGCCCCGCTGGAGGAGCAGGTCACTGCCATGTGTGTCACCGAGGAGTTTGTGGTGCTGGGGACCATGCAGTGTTCTCTCCAGATCTTGGATCTTCAGAGGTAAATGTTCCCTCATCAGTTTCCTGGGCCCACCACCAGAGCCGTGTATCACTCCCGTGCAGGGGACGAGGGTCCCGAGTGTGTCACAGCCGTGATCCTCCACTTATGGTGAACGCTCTTCCTCAGTTGCTGTATCCGAAAAACCACCCAGCAAGTGGGTCGACAGCATAGCTTGTGGGTCTTGCATATGCGCCTCTCTTCACCCCAGGGTAGCCTACCATCTTCTGGAGGAGCTCCCGATGCAGGCGAGAGATACTCATGCAGCCGTTAACTTCCCGTTTTTATTTGGGGTGAGGTTAGGATGTGGCTGGTACCTTGCGCACAGTAGCCTGGAGGTGAAATGTACTAATGGGTAAGGCGCTGGCCTCCCAAACTGGGGGTTGAGGGTTCGTGTCCCATCTGGGGGTGAGGTGAACGCGTTCTCTGGCCTGTCCCCTGCAGGAGGTCAGACTAGATGATCACAATGGTCCCTTCTGGCCATAAAGTCCACGAATGGGAGTGGAAATTATTCTTTTGGGATTAAATTGAAATCCCTCTGCTGGTTTCCCAGGCCCATAGAATCTGTACTGATGAGGTGTCCGTTAGTATCTGTGGGCTCCTTACAGGGATTAGGACGCTGACGTTCACAGGTTGGGGCAAACCTGCCCGTGGCCCTGTCCAGCTGGATCTGGTCTTGCTGGCTCTTGTGGGTGAAAGAGAATCACCCATTGTAACTGTCTGCGTGGGGCTGGCGCTGCTGGGGACACGATGGACGGCGCTCAACCCTGGATTTATCAACCCCTGAAAATGTGGTTCTCCCTGGGTCAGGGTCTGCCCTGCTGGCCTTGTGGGATGCTGCATGGCAGGAATTCCAGATCCGATTGACTCTGCTTGCAAAGTGAAATGGTTTGGTTTTCCTCCCCGCCAGCCTGGGATCTGAGAGTCAAGCTTGGCTTTCTTCTTTTCTCATGTCTCCTCCGTCCCAAAGGGTCTGTGGAATAAAACGCTGCCCTCAGATGCCCGCACAAGGCAGTTGCCCTAGTGTGGCATTTTTCCCTGCAACTGGGACTTGGCCAACTATTTGACTGATGTAGGAGCCAGAATGGGACCCAGCTCCCTGTCCCGCAGCTGCGTCGGCTTGGCAGGGTGAACAGGCGTGAAATGCAGTAAAATCCCCAGATCTGGCTCTGAGCGCAGCCAGGAGCCGGTTTGCTGAGTGAGCAGGATGCTTTGAGAGACCCCCGATTTAAAGATCCTGGAGAGGGGGGTGGGTTTGGGGGGTCTCTGGCAGGGCATCCTGCCCATCTGCCCCTTTCCACAGTCCTTGCTGAGTCCCCAGCAGCTCCCCACACTGTTTAAATGCCCCCCTCTTTACCATTGCAGCCTCCAAGCAGCGGTGTTGCCAATGCCTATGAAGGTCCCGGTTCACAGCGTGTCCGTGACCAAGGAGAAGAGCCACATCCTGGTGGGGCTGGAGGATGGGAAGCTGATTGTGGTGGGAGCGGGCCAGCCCTCGGAGGTAAATGGAGACCGTCCCCTCCTCGGGGCTCGGTGGGGGTGGGCAGGGGCAGGTGCAGTATCATCTGGAAGCACCAGTGAACTAGTTGCATGATTGGAGGGGATGCACCTGGCTGGCAGGAGGGTGAGACTGGGAAGGAGCTGCTCTCCTGGCCAGCTTAGGTAGGAGCCTGGATGGGCCCATAGACAGAAATGAAATCAGAGCCACTGTCTGCAGACTGGGGGATTGACTCCTCGTGGGCAGTGTGACGGCAGGGCTGGATTTCCCACAGCAGAACGCTCGAAATCCGGCCCCTCTCCGGAGCGTGAAATGGCTGGGATCAGTCGAGACTTAGCATGAATCCTTAGGACAAAGGTTCTCTCCGCTGCACCCCGCCCTCGTCGGTGAGACGGCTCGTCCCTGCTGGAGGGCGGGCTCCAACCCTAGAGGGGCCGGGTGTCTCGGGGGGCCAGGCGGCTGCCCAGCCCAGCTGTGTGATGAGACCCTGGCCTGGAGGGCGGGGCTCCGTAATGCGGGGTGGCTCCCTTTACAGAAGCAGGGTCTGTAATGTAGCCAAGACAGACTGCAGCCTTGCTTCCGCCAAGCCACCCCATCCTTCTCCGCAAAGCACCCCCACGCCACTCCTCAGCCCTGCCCCTTCATTCTGCTCTCTCCCCAGGTGCGGACGGGGCAGTTTCACAGACTGCTGTGGCGTTCCACGCGCCGGATCTCCCAGGTCTCCTCTGGAGAGACTGAGTACAACCCGCCCGAGTCCAAGTGACAGGCTTGGTGTGAGATGACCTGTCCCCAGAGCATTACTGGGCAGAGATGTCCTGCAGCAGGAGGTCTCTGAGGGGTGGCTGAGGGGGCCGGTCCAGCCACACCACTCAGATGTGTCTGCACTTCCCCTGGGAGCATGGCGATCGCTGTGAACTGCGGGAGCATTGGGTCTCTTGACCACTCACTCTCAGAGTGTGCAGAGCTCAGGATCCCTTTCTGAGCCAGGGGCCTGCACCGGTGACTCTGGTTTGCCGAGCCAGATGCACGTGGGACGATCTGGTCTCTGCCCCAGCACATCCCGTTTCCTGCAGAGCTTGAAGTGGAAAATGTTTTTGTATTATTCATTGTGACTTTCTTGCTGGACGGAGAGGACGGGAAGTCCATAGCCGGTGCCCCTTGCCGCCCAGCAGGGAAACGTTGCAATAGATGTGAGACGACGACTGTCGCTGCATTCTCAGTCCTTCTTGGGTGGCCTTAACCAGACCTTGTTGCACTACGTAGAGAACTTGTACCAAAACCAAGAACTGCTTTCAGCATGAGGCCGGTCTGCTGCAGAAAAGCTTTAATGCGATGAGACTGGCAAGAGCCTGCTCTGTTTTCCTCCCAGATGTTGAATTTTGACGGGCAACAAATACCAGGGGCCCAGAAAGATACCTACTGACTGTCTTGAACCAGCCCCAAATCCTAGATGTGTATAAACCCCCTGCTGGCAAAGAAGGGTGTTCCGCTTTCATTGGGATTCTTCCAAATATGGTTTGTCTGCCTCTTCCACCAGAGGCACCCAAATTCAGCGCCTCCTAGGGCCCCAATCGTTTTCCTGTGGAGCCTCCTAACTTTCCTATCGATTTATACGTTTTTTTTTAAGAAAACAAAAATAAATGTGCGCAATCTTATTGTCTCGCAAGACTCGTCTCTTCCATGGAGCACGAGCCGGCATGGCTCATGGGATGACTTCACCAGCAATAAAACCCTGCCGTTGTTTAGCTTTGCCTTCGTCCTGCAGCTCCGGGGCCGTAGCGGAAGTCCTTCCTGGCTGCCTCTGGCTGCACGCCAGATACCCTTGCTTGTAGGGGGAAAGAGAATTCTTCTCACCCCACCGGGAGAGGGTCAGGCTGCCCTGCAGTCAGCGCCGGTGCAAGAGGTGTGAGGGTTTCCCTCTCGCAAGGAGCGCGGCTCTTAGTAAGGCAGCACGCACTGCCCCTTCCCCAACAGAGCAGCCCTCGAAGCATGGCATCTCCATAAGGGCTCCCGGAGCCAAAGCAGAGCTCTTCCGAAGCTTCGATGGGCTCGGTCCAAGCCAGTGGAGGTGAATGCGAGAGGGATCATGACAGAAGTGAGAGAGCTCCAGCAGCAGACATGAAGCAATACTGGGATTTTGTCTCCTTCAAAGTCTGGGCCCAATATTGATCCCATCTGCAAATACCGCCCCTCCAGGAAGGCCCATCTGTCCCTCCGACACACTGTCTGTTTTTGATACTGAAGTGGCACACAGTAAATAGGAATTTGCCCAGAAGGAGGCTTGTTTTTGCAGCCAACGGCCAACACTTGCTGCTTTTAACCAACTGGGTGGGTTGGGAGGTGGTCCAGTCCTACAGACTTTCCATCCCTGGTCATGGTGAGATTTGAAATGCTGGCACCTTCTCTGAAGGACTCAGGTTCTGATCTAAGGGTTGTCCTAAGGGTTCATGTATGACCAAGGCCTTGTTGATCCAGGGAGGAACAGGGGAGTGGGGGGTTGGGTTAGGCTAGAAGCAGCTGTCTGAGGCTATTGCACATTTGTGCCCTGGACATCTCCCCATTCAGACATAGCTTACAGCTGCAGGGAGCCCAGCAGTCCCTGTGAAATGGAACATTCCGTGTTTACGATGCAGGGCATGAGCCCGTCACCAGAGCGTCTGGGAGTGAATGGCCCCCGAAGAAGGGGGTGATGGATCGGTCCTTGTAGGACACGGTTACTGTCACTTAGCTGGAAGGAGGAGGGAGCTGCTGTGTTGTTCCCCACATTTTCTCTCCGATTTAAAAACTCCCCTTCCGTCAGGTAAGCCAGGGATGGAAGAGACTGGCAGGGCTTTACTCCAGCCATGCTCCAGATGCGTCTGGGCGGAGAGCTATGGAACCCACAGCCTTTCTGCATTATGTTGATGCTCACAGTGACAAGTGCCCTGGTGCCATTCAGCTCTCCCTACCCCTGGCGCCAGTGACTGCCCATCACTATTGCAGGCACAGCCCTCCGGGCTGGGCCGGGCTTTGGTTCACAGAGGAAGGGCCGTGACTAGCTTGAAGCCATAGGAAATTCCACACCTGACTCCAACCCTGCTCGAACATCTGGAGATGTTGGAATCTTGGGCTGAGCTTCACAACTGGGGCCCCTGTTCTCCGTAAACGGCTGGATCTGAACTCCCCAGAGATGGGGGAGGAGAGGTTTGGGTCTGGATCCAAACCTCATGGCTTCCGAACCACGTGAAACTTCACAGTCCTAGAGTCAGGAGGGGTTGTAGTGAGGTGGGTTGAAGAGCAGCCTCTGTCCTTTCCCCTCAGCCCCCGAACCCATTCCCTGGCTCTAGGAAATGGATCTCTCCCCTGTCTCCATATACTCTAGGTATGTTACACCGTGTTAGTAATGCCACAGTGTGGACACAGACTGCTCCCCCATGTCCAGGGATTTCTCCTAGAAGTCGCAGGTCCCTGGTGAAGATCTGTGGGAGGGAGGCAGGGCGGATGCTGTGTAAATCAAAGAGATGGTCAAGGAACGTTAGGATTTGAGTGCAGTTCTTGACGGGTTGAAAGCCATGTGTTGTGCCCTGGGTTGCTAGTCCCCATCCCATTCAGTGAAGATGTACTTTGCTTTTATTATTCATAACGTTGGGTCATTAAAGCCGCTGTACCATCCATCCTCACAACTTTCTTCCATCGGTCCTCCAGGGTCCCTTTCCATCAAACTACAACAGATGATGGTTATAAATGGTTTGGACCTTCCACGCCGTTGACACCTCCTGACCAAAAAAGGGATGGTCACTGTCTTGGGACACTAATTCGGTAGTTTCTTTCCAACAAGGGCTGAGAGGAGAGGACGTGGGTCCGTTGTGGCTCACGCTGGAGGAAACATCTACTGTAGGCCTGGGACAATCAGCTGTAGATGCTGAACTGCAAATGCCACTAATAAGGGGAGAGAGGCTCTCTAAATGCACCGCTTGTTAGCCACTGGACCCTGTTGCGTGCGGAGGCTGCTACTGGTCTGGAGGTGACTTTGTGATGGGTGGCTGGTTAGATCACACTTGTGCACTGAACAGTGCCTCAGTTCTCTTCACAAAAGATTTAAAAAAGCAAGAACCACCAACACTGGGCAAGAGGCTCAAGCAATGCTCTCAACTTCATTCCCTGGGTGAAGATCAATGTTTAACCACCGACAGTGCAATATTTGCAACTTGTAGAGAAGACTCTTTTTAGCATGTGTGCTGTATTGCGGTTTGTGTGTATATAATACGAGATAGATAGATAGATAGATAGATATAGGTTTTGTAACTTTTTTGAATGATGTAAATCTAAAGATTTCTATTCCTTTTTTCCCCCAGAAACAGGGTGGTAAGTATTTGGAGCTTCCCAGAATCCTGCTGGCTTTTATAGAGCACTGAGGGACCTACAAGCCTCACCATGGATTTGTCTGTCATCCTTCTTAGAATTGCTCAGGCCAGTGAAAATTTGAAGGGGTCTTTGCTGGCCCTGTTCTGAAGATGCTTGAATTCTAGGGGTACCTGCTCTCTGGTTGGCCTCTGCCATGTTCTTCTACTTGAAGAGGTTTTTCTTTCCCTCCTTTCACTTTGCTTGTACCTTCTCTGGTTTTATGGAGTCAGGATGCAACTTGCTGAGGGATCTTCCCACTCCAGTCTTCTTCACAAACAGGAATGCTTGGGTCATATCTCTGAGACTTCTGTGTAGGGAAGGCAGGCTTGGGATGCTCCCCTTCAAAGGGAATGGTTTCCTTCTAACCCTGCAAGATTCCTTCCGGCTCCGCCCACCCCTGGAATAACAATGTGAAACCTGATCTTCGGTCTTGAGTGTCTACATTACACGGCCGGGTTGGGGGCACAGCTGTTCAAGTTGGCCTTTGGGCAACCTAACGTAAGCACCCAAATTTAGAAAAAAAACTGGCCCTCATGCCTGGTCCCTGCGTGCAGTGGTAAGACACTAGGGTGGTTACATGGGGGGCCACCTACTTCTCTACCTCTTCTGGGAAGTGAATGGCTCACGGTGGATCTGCCTTTTGGGGAAGTGAATTCAAGCAAGTGGTTTGACCAGGGTAGCACCACTGGTACTCCCAGCTCTCCGGCCTGCTGGATGTAGCGTTGGAGCCTTCATGCCAATCAGTGGTGCTACCTACTGGTCTCCAAGCATCCTGAATCTTGGGGAGGAGGGGTGTTAACAAATCCACCCTCCTTGTGTCAGATTGCATCCCACTCAGACCTGAACGCAGTTCTCATTCCTGTATGGACTGGAGCAGTGTTTGCTTGGGGAGACTGGCAAAGCATTTGAAGGGACAAGCTGATAGCTGGGAGCCAATCCAGGAATTCAGACTCCCCATCTCTGACCAAGTGGTCCTCCAGGCATTGTTTATGGGACCATTGCTTACGCTTTTCCTTTAGAGCCAGCCTTGAGGAGAAATGGACCAGCCGAGTCTTTCACTCACACTCCAGTCCCCACTGTCCAGCAGGGAAGACAAGGGTGAATGACAAATCCACACAAGGGATGTGTTTGGTGCTCAGAAAAATGTATTTATATGGTAGCTTTGTCTACAGATTCTTTCCAAAAGCAAAATAAAGCACAATCCGATAAACATTTATGCCTTAAACTTGAAGAGGAGCATGGCCTCATTCTGTAGGGGGACAGGTTATCTGGTTTGCTAGCAATGTACGACGTATGTGATCTTTAATAAACTTTATAAAGGAATACATGTTTCTCAATGCCTTGACCTTCCCTCCTCCCTCCCCCACTGCACCCACTTATTGTGTAATAAAACTTCGCATTTCTTTAGCGTCCTTCATATGAGGACCTCAAAATGCTTGACAGCTGTAAATGAAGACTTGACTTACCCATCTGCAATATGGGATCTTTCAGTCTTGGGAATTTTGACGACTTGCCCAAGGTTGTACCCCAAGTCTGTGGTGGGGCTAGGCGCAGAACCCAGGAGTCCTGGTTCCCAGCACAGTTCTTCCCCATAGCCATCACTAAGTTGCATGGGTAATTTTTTATTTTTTTTTTTTTATTTTCCTGCAGCAGTGTAATCTCATCCATATCCCCACACTGGCTATTGTTTGTGTTACACGTTTTGGGCCAGATTTTCTAGTCTGCCTTCTGCGTGTGCAAACAGATGCCACTTCGCGAACGTGTCTGAAAACCTACAAATACATTGAACTACGCAAGCGAAATGATGCCAGGAGCGCAACAGGGCTGAGTTGAGGTTGCTGCAATGGGCGTATAGCTGTTTGCACTCACATCTAAACTATTCCCCCCCGGGCAGGCAACGCTGCCTCTTGCCAGGCTGCAGTTATGGACGTCGCATGCGTGGCAAAAGAGTTGCCCCAGGCTGGGAGCATGGGCCCCTTTGCTGCACTGGGCTTGCCTCCATGTTATTTGCCTGGCTTCTGAATGTCCATGTCGCTCGAGCCTATAGAGCGCATTCTCAGGACAACTCCTCTCCCTCCATCTACCCAGCTTCCTCTATTGGGGCCCAACCCCTCCTTGCTGAGATGAGATCCGGGCTGGGCTGGGCCCTCCCCCGCAGCAAAAGAAGATTCAGTCTCTACCCCGCCTCCTCCGAGATGGTTGCCCGCCTCCCTGAGTTTTGATCCCTTCCCCCTGCCTCTGGATGCCCCCTGGATCTGCCTCCCCCCAGCCCTGCTCTCCTCGTCTGGTCTTGCCCTATAGGGGAGCTGGGGACCTCATCACAGGGGGAGAAACACCAGGGTATTGTGGTATCCAAGCTGGCCAAGGCCCGGCTCTTTGCCATCATCCTGTGCGCCCAACCGCTGCCCTTGGTCCAGCCAGAGCTGTGCCCTGCCCTGGCCGAGTGCTTGCCGGCTTTCCGAGTAGCCACGAGGCCTGGGGCCAGCCCTGGCTGGTGGAGCTGAGCCGGGCGTGCGAGAACGGCAGACGTGCGGGAGTCCCTAGCTCAGCAGTGGGTGTGGGGGGTGTCTGGGGCCGGGGAAGCCCCAGCCAGGCCGGGTGCCCCCTCCTGGGCTGTTCCTTTTGAGGGGCGTTAGTGCTCCAGTCTCAGGGGAGGGGCCCAGGCCTCACGACCTTGGGCTCCAGCAGCCTCTGAGGCGTTGGTAATAGCGGAGAAATTCGTTCATCTACCCCTGAGGGGGCCCAGGGCTTGTGCTGCCAACCCTCCCCCTGCACTGACCCGCATCAACCAGCTCACGGGATGGCCCCTTTTTTCCGTGTTTGCCCTGGAGCTCTCATCTGGGCTCTAGGGGGCGCCCAGGAGCCAGTCTGCCATGGGGGTGGGGGGGCGCCATGGCTCATGCCCAGCACCCCAGCGCTCCTGCCTGGTTCATGCAGGCATATTTCCATCAGATGTTTCTGAGGATGTTAAATTAGTTGCAGACAGGAAGTGGCATGGGGGGGGGCACATTCCAGGCCTTTACAGCCTTTAATCACCCAAATGCAAAGCAGAGGAGGCCGAGAGGAAGAATCGCCGCCAGCCACAGCCGGGGTGGAAGCCGCTGGTGGCAGGGTTTGGCTGTGCGGGGAAGGCTGCTCCGGCTTGAGGGGGAGGAGGCGGTGGTGTCTTTGGGCCGTCAAATCCCAGGGTGAGCGGCCTCTGGCATCAGCCGCTTTCCAGGCAGGTGAATTCTTCAGTAACGTGCTACAACCCTGGCTGGTGGAGGGCCTTGTGGTCACTGTGCTGCCATGGGCCTCAGGAACCCTGGGTTCCACACTCTCCCTGTGCAACCTTGGGCATGCCCCTTAGCCGCTCTGTGCCTCGGTTTCCCCATTTGTGCAATGGGGAGATGATAAATCCGGCTGTTGACGAGCCCCGATGCTGCGCTGCCCGGAGCCCTAGACGTAGCTAGGTAGGTAGCTTGCCCCTGCTCTGGCTGGAGGAGGACAGAAATGGTCCTCTCCTAAATTACGGTCCTGCATCTTCCCTTCAGCAGAGGTAGGGGCTCACCGAAAGAATTGCTGCTCTCTGTGTTCTGGGCCCGCTGTGTGCTGAGAGAGAGGCCCTGGTTCCAGCAGGGGGCGATCGCCCTTCTCTCGCCTGCCCTCCCTGTCTGCCGGGGCTTTTTAGGGTGCTGCCCCCACATCTCTTGGGCCGTGCAGGCAGACAGGGCAGGGGACGCTTCTCTCCCCGTTCCTCTGCACGGCCGCAACCAGCAGCTCCAGCTCTGGCCAGCGGCCCCTGACCGCGGCAGCAATGTGGAGCACAAGGGATGGGTGCGGGAAAGTGGGGGGTCCCCAGCCCTGGAGGGGAAAGAGGGGAGCCCAGTGCTGGGGTAATACAGGGTCAGAACTCAGAGGGGGTGGGGGCGCTCTAACACCTAGGGCCTCCTCCTAAATACAGCTCATGTGCCAGGTGAGTGGGGACCCTGGGGGACCAACTGCCTGGTGATAGGATGGGCGGGGGGGGGGGGCCTTGAACTCGGCTTTCCCTTTTCCCAGGGGCTCTCGAAGATCCCGGGGGCGGGGGGTGCTGCAGGCAGTGCGCAGAGAGGGTGCGAAGCCTGGATGAGTCCTCCAGGCCCTTCCTTGCTCCAGGCCGTGGGGCGCCCCCTAGGAGCCCTTTGTGGGATATCCTTGGCCCGCTGCTGGGCACCAAATACCCAGGGTGGGGTATTGGGGGAGATGCCCTGATTGCTGCCACACACACACACCCCCACCGACTCCCCAGAGGAGTGTGCCCTGGATGGACTCCCCACGCCCATCTGTCCCCGATTAGCAGCTTCATGACCTCATCTCCTGCCAGGAATCTGGTCTGAACTGGGGACTGTTTACATACCTGGCTGAGTGTTTAAAGCCCTGGGTGACTCAGAAGCTCAGCTGGGGGGCGGGGGCGGGCGTGGGGGGGGCTGAGCAGTGCTGGGAAGGGACGGAGCACTGCAGAGGATCGTGCACTGGGGAGAGAAGTTCAGATCCTGATGCAGCTCCCCCCATCGCGTGCATTCCCTCGGCGGGAGCGAGGTGCATCAGCAGGGCTCGGGGGGGGGGTCCCAGGGCTGGAATAGCGGGGTGCATTGGCAGGGCTGGGGGAGGGGGGGGGAGGCCCCGAGTCGCTGCCTCCTACCACGGCACCCAGGGCTTCTCACTTCCCCTCCCAGCCAATGGTGTTGGCCAGCTGCTTCCCTGCAAGGCCGTCCAACCTCTCGCTGGCTCGCAGGACGGGCTGACCTGGCGTGACCCTGTGCCCTCACCCTGCCTGGCTGCAGGAGATGGCAATGGCCTCTTGGCCGCACTCCCAGAGTGCTTTGCGCCCATGGTGTGCGGTTGCCAAGCACGGGCGTTTGTGGGGCCGCAGCAGTGATGCAGCCCCTACTGTGGTCGAGGGGAGATGCCCAGCCAGGTTCTGGCGTCGGGCAGGTTTATCTTGGCCGCCGGACCCCAGGCTGTCACGTGGATGGGAAGTGGCTGTGGCTTTCGGAGCAGGGCTGCAGACTCCATCCAGCCACAGTGCTGGGAGCTGCCCACAGGCTCGCGTCCCCTTCTGCTGCCTCCCTACCAGCCTGGGAACCACACTCGGCTCCGGAGAGGCCGTGAGGTCTGTTTGTGGTGGACGCACGTTGTTTGCTCCGGGTGGATCTGCTCAGAACAGCCACCGTTCAGTTTGGCAGTATGTAGGGCAGGCCACCGCTTCCCAAAGGCGGGAGGGGGCACTTGGAAAGGCCGCCACCGGAGATGCCCCAGCAGGAGCTGGCATTTCTGTTGCATTGGCTGGGCAACCGGAGGGCAGCTTTGCATCCACGGGATGAGGGGCTCAAACCCAGAGGGTGGGGGGCCTGGCTGGAGGAAGGAGTTGGGCAGCAAAAGGGTTAAAAGTCCTGCAGCGAGGCAGTCCTGTGCCCCTCTCTAGCGGGAGGCATTTAACCCCGAGGGTGCAGGATGGACGGGGGGTTCTTGCCCTCCCCAGCATGGCACTGAACCCTGAATGGGCTCCCTGGGCTGGGGCCCACGGGATCAATACGCCAGCCGGGATCTGCGGGGGCTTTCCCATCTCCTCACCGCCCTGCTCTGTCACGCGGGGTTGGGCAAACTGATGCCCTGACGGGCAAATTCCCAGGCCGGCCCTTGGCCGAGGACAGGGGCGATTGGGCGGTCCCCTTGCTTGGCGATGGGCCTTCTGCCAGCGCTGCTCCCCCATCCCTGGGATCGGAGCCAGGGCCTTCAAAGCATACGTAGCCGTAGCTCCTGTGAGCTGCTGGGGAGCACACAGAGGTGGTTGCCAGCCTGCATCTCTGGTGCATACGTGTGGGTTCGGCCAGCTTAGCAAGAGATCTTCATGCAGCCGAGGGGACGGGGGACAGCCTGGGTTGTTTAACTGGCGTGGGGAGGATTGAGGACCCTGCGTCTGCTAAACTTTCTCTCCTCCCCCTTAATTGAAACCACTGGCTTGGCAAATTAAATGTGAAGGGCCCGATCCTCAGCTGGTGCAAATCAGCCTCAATCCCACTGCCTTCAGGCCGCAGCGGGCCATTAAGGCCTGGTGGCCTGCGAGCCCTTGGGTGCGCGGGGCCAGACGTTGGGGACTGAGAGTGGAGATGGCACCATGCTGGGTTTTAGCCATGTTCCAAGACCTAGTCGAAAAGGGACCCTGGCGGCTCCGGTCGGCGGCACAGCGGGGGCCCGGGGCTAAGGTAGGCTCTCGGCCTGCCTTGGCTCCACATGGCTCCTGGAAGCGGTCGGCACGTCTGCATGCTGCCCCCACCCCTGGTGTCGGCTCCGTAGCTCCC